GTTTCTTCATTACCGAAGACATCGCACACCCAGGGCTGTCAGAGCTCTGCTCGTGCGGCTGTCGTGGCTGGTGTTCAGTCTTCCCGCTTCTGGAACATTTCCGTTGTGACATGAGCCGTGAGCACACCGATATTCGACCGGCGATTTTGGATTTCAAGGCCGACTGGCCGGCACTGGTCGAGATTTGCGGCCTTCGGACATGGTCTCACAACCTCCATCCATGCCCATGCTGCACGATGGATAAGTCTTCCTTGTTGGCCGTCGGCACACATTCCTTGAATTCCTCGCCGAACCCACTTTTTACGCAGAGCTCTTATGACGAGCTCGTAGCACGGACTTTCCGGGCCGCTGGACTCCGCAGCAGGCAAAGTTTTCTGTTGTCTTCATCAAGTATATTCAAGGAATAAGAATAAAGAACCTAAAAGCCAAGAAGCGGTAGCCGTGAATCGAACTATAGGAAGTGATTGTGCCCGACGACGAGACCCAACGGCGACTTCACAGCTTGCTCCGCTACAGCAAGAATGGTCGGGGACGATGCTTGAAGGCGGCCTTCCCGCCGCTGGGTCTTCGTAGAGGCCATCGCCTGGAGCCATCTGAACATCTTTTGGACGTGGACAACTTTATCCATCTCACGACACCATTCAGCTGTATCTTCTACACCGGCGGGACGCACGGTCGCATCCTCCATCGATCACCTTTTTTGAGAATACCTGGGGTCTCGATCGACTGCTGGTGCATAGATGTGCTCCACACATGGCATTTCGGACCATTGTCCTCGTATGTCGCACATTCGCTGCGAACCCTGATTTCTTCGCCGGTGTATCAGCCGGCCAGTTATAAGGACCTGGAGAAAGAGGAGGCTGACAAGCTCGCCTTGCTTCATCTTCGTGCGGAACTTTGGTCGTTCTACAAGAGACGCCGAGAATCAGACGAAGATTGGAAGAGAAAAGGCTCAGAGGCCCGACGCATCCCACTAACCAGAGCCCGCTTAAGCTTTCCTCAGTAGCGATGGATGACCCCTGCAGGTGTGGAACCTGACCTTGACCATGATTGCTGGAAAATATCTCAAAGCGAAAGCTGCCGAGACACATGGGCTGCTCAACTTCGTCGTCGATAGACTTGCAAAGCATTCGGAACAACTGGCTTCGACGACTGAAGCTGCTTCTGTCGATCTGTTGCTGAGAGCAGGCACTGCAGCGATGGACTTCGATGCAGTGCTGGCGGCTCACCCGAGAGCGGTCGATGCCGACACTTGTGCACTGCTGTTCGACAACTACAACAGGTTCATCTGCCTGGCTGCCAGAGCCCAGATCCCTCTCATGCCTAAATGTCATATGATGTACCATATGATTCAGAGGGCACTGCTGAAGGGGAATCCCCGCTTTTACTCCACTTACATCGACGAATCCCTGAACGGGGCGATCGCCCATGTGTGCCGGTCGGTTCACAGACGAGGATGGGCACTTGCAGTGTATCGCAAGCTTTCTATGTTTGAACAGCTGTTGGCAGAGGATGAGGAGTGAGCTCTGCCGGCACTTGATCTTCTTATTTTTTGGCAGCGGCGACTTTTGCCTGTACGAAACCGTTTAATTGGCAACATGGACGAAACCTTTCAGCCCGAGCCTGGACCGAACCCTAAACCCCAAATCCGAAACCCTAAAAAAAAAATAGATATATATATATATATATATATGTATATATATATATATTCGTACCCTGACCCTGTTGTCGTCCCAGGAAGATTGCCGAATTCCGTTTATGCTGCCGAGCCGCTGGTGCTAAAGCACTGCAGACGAGCTGCTTTCCGCACAAATTATTGTTCTCCTAAGCTGAAGTAGAGGGCTTTCTTCTTTGTGAGGATTCCAAGCGGGTGACGGGTTTTCGTTTGTGTGGCAAGACCTGGGGGCTCAGGGTTTAGGGTTCAGGCTTCACAGATCGAACTGCCGGACCAACTCTAATTCCCCCAAAATAAGTTCCAAGCACCGAAAGCCTCAGACAGTAATTCCCGCAATCAACCTTTTAGGGTAGAACAACGAGGCTGTGCCACTGGTGGCCAGCCCTTCCGAGTCTCGAGATTTGATGGCCTTCAGAAACCTTTGAATATATTAAGTTTCAGCAAAGGCGAACATTAGATTGGGATTTCCTTCCGTGCTAAGCACAGTCACCCGAGGAGATGCCTGGATTCGCGACGCTGGCTGTGGAGCACTGTGCAAGTTTCACAGAAGTAGTGCGCCGGGAACGAGCTTCCAAGCCCTTTTCCTTAAATACCGTGCTTGTGTCTATATTCGATATTCTATATGGGGTGAAATTCCAAGAAACAGTATGCCTCACCCTTTCTGGGCTCTAACCCCTGGCTTCGCGAAGTTTCGGCGCCAAGCAGCAGGATGCATCGTCCGATGGCCGGAAAGAGCACAGATCGAAGGGCTTTCTTGCTTGGGTTTAGTGGGTGTTTGGGTAGGGTTTACGGTTTTGGCCTTACGGGTGGTTTAGGGCCTTTAGGGCTTACAGGGTGTAGTGTGCGACGGGTCTAGCTTCGGAAAGGCTTGCTCTGGAGCCCCTGCTTGAAGTTCAGACCCTGAACCCAAGCCTTCAAACCCTCCCAACTCCCGAAACCTTGCCAAATCCCACGCAAGCAGCCCCAACAACATGTAGATAATTTGTTAACTCAGTTCGTCCTCCCAGTTGTCCCTTTTCAGTCGTCTTGCACACCCCAAAGCGAACACCAGAAAACACCTCAACACCCCAGCCCAGGTCCGCGAAACCGAAAACTTGACAGAACTTAAGCCGAAATCCAGACTTGAGGGGAGAGAACTCTAAGGAGAGACACACAATTTCGGCTCAAGGGGCTCAAGCATCATGAGCATCAGTCTATGAGTTGAAAGCTCATAAGAATCATAAAAAATATTGGCTCGTGCTATATATATACAATCGTTTGCTTGTATATGCAGCCCTGTCTCATACACAACGGCAAAACAACCTGCTGCATTGGTGTGAAGAAAGATTTGTTGGACTTTGCGTGTTTTTGCTCAAGTTATAGGTTTCGCTGTTTCACCCCAAAATGGTAGCGGATCCACAAACAAGTGGGCGTATCCAAGCAGGACAAGCAACATGCGTATCTACTTTCTGGATCCGAAAGGTGGTCTGGGTTAGCCCGCTTTGAGTCACTGCCCTCGGCCTTCTGGTCCTTCTTGTCGCCCTCGGCCGGCACAGAAGCACCAGGGGTCACGCCGGCATCACCAGCCGCATCATCCATACTGGCATCTTCACCCTCCTCAGAGTCCCGACCACGGGTCGCAGCAACAGAAGGAAAGGGGTCAGTGGTAGCCGACACATACGGCATGGAGCCGCCGCGAAGCTTCTTCTGACGGACCTGCTCCTGCTTGGGCGGGGCAAGGGCCGCCCACAACATGATCTGTGCATCGTCACCATCCTGAGCAGCAATCGGGATCAAGTCACTATCGGGACCCGGCTTGGCTGCTCCTCGGAACATGAAACCTTGTCGGCGCCGCGCACGTGCTGTCTGATGAGCTTGACCTCGTGGAAGTAGCCATCCAGAATGTCGGCGGCCTGTTTCATGTCCCAGTGCTTGGGGCAGCCATTTAAGTTCCAGATGCACGAGAAGCGGGTGTTCTCATTAATCGGCTTTTTCCATCCGAGTCTGGTCCCACTGACCGCAAGCCCAATGGACTGAGCTCGCATGGCCCGAGCAAGGTAGTCGCGACCCGGCTCCTTGGCGGCACGATCGATCCACTCAATGGTGACCTTCTCCTTCTGGTTGCCGGGAGGGAACACAAAGACACCGCCTTGTCCAGTTAAGCCTAGCAAGGTAGGATGATCCCGAATCGGGGCCCTCAAAATGCCAAAGACTTGTCGGGCCCCACTCGGGAGCTTTTCCTCTGCCCACTGCCATGAGTCGGTGAGCTGCACGTGGTGACCCGCGGCCCAGCTTGCGATGGCCGACTTGGGCCGTTGCAGGAAGCCTTTCCAGCAGTCGGCGGAGCAGAAGGCCTGTGGCACCTTGACAAAGAGCACGCCAGCCCCGAGCTTCCACCCGGAGCGGTGCCTTGATGCCCTTGGGCTGAGGAGGGCCTTTGCCGGCAGAGGCAAACTGAAGCGCCAAGCCTTCACGGAAACGAATCAAAAAGCTTCCCGGGTATGGATTGCTTGACACCCGCCTCCTTGGCCAGCTCGTGCTTTTCAAGCTCCTTCTTGGTCAGGTCTACCGCGACAAGGAGGGCAGACTATTCACGATTGGAGGCACCGAGAAGCCGCTTGGCAATCGAGATCTCATCGGCCTTGCAGTGGACCACGGCCTCAAAACACACCGTGGGGTCGGCAGCTTCGAAAGCAGAAGCCAGGTCGCCAAAGGAAATGAGCTGGCTGCTCCAATCCTGCGGCCTAAGCATAAAGTCCTCGGCCTGGCCAGGCTTGCGTTGCACAAGCTTCCAGTCGCTGTCGGCAGGAGGCTTCGGGGGGGTCGCGGGGGCTGGAGTGCCCTTGCCTTTGCCTTTGCCCTTCGGATCGTTGCCCACAGCGACGGCTGGCGAAGTACCAGCCTGACCCTGAGAGCCGCCAGCTCCAGTCCTTTTCATAGCCGCATTTCGCAGCTTTTGCTTCTTTCTCTTTTTGGCTTTAGCGCTCAGCCGAGGAGGCTGAGCGATCGGCCCCGGCATGGAGCCCATCACTTCGGTCAGCAGCTGTTTGATCATGTCTCGCAGCATGGACTTAAGATCGAAACCGCAGTTTTGCAGCAAGCCTTGAAGACTACCGGTTGGTTGCCTAGGACCAGGGTGGCTCGCTTCTCCGACCCTGACTCCAACATACGGGTCGTGGTCCCCTTTGCGCATCACACCGCACACAACAGGTGGCCAGCACGCCCCGATGAGAGCGCCAACATGTTGCACAAGACTACAGTAGCCCTCAGCACAAGCACTCAAGGAGGCAAACAAACATACAGGCCCTCGCGAAACCCTTGCAGCACTCACTTCAGCAGTCCTGTCCTCGGAAAGGGCCTCGGAGGTGAAGACACTGTAGTCCTCGGCGGCAAATGTGTAGTACTCGCCCTGCAGCCCAAAGCATCTGCCTCCCTCCATCGCGTCACACGAGAGGCTCTCTCCCAATGGGTCCCAGCAGCGCCGGCCGCCCAAAGCAGCCATCATGCCGAGGTTCTCCGCAAAGTGGCCGCCTCTTTGCCCCAAGCGAAAAGAAGGCCCCCCATGGCAGCACCGGTTACCTAAAGACCCCGGGAGCCCAAGAGGGCTAAGGTAAAAAGGAGTAGAGCTCTCTTGGTCCGCAACCGGATCTTGCTTTCCTTTTCGCGGTCCTTGGGTCCGGTTCCCTTCTAGATTACAATCTGCATCACAATTTTGATCGACTGTTCTCGGTTCTAGGGTCCGGCTCCCGCAAGTCACAGCACACCTTCCATCGGAGGCATCCGGTGAAATCCCAGCGCCAGAGCCGCTCAGCCAGTCGCCACGTCCCTGCTCGCCGAAGCTGTCGTGGCCCAGGAAAGCAGGGAGAGGCACAGTAGGTTCGGGAGGTGCCCTTCTTTGTCCTTCCCCGGATCTTGGATATGGTTTTTCGGTCCTCGGGTCCGGGCCCTTTCTACATACACGTCTTTGCCCTTTCGCGGGTCTTGGTAACCTTTTCTCGGTTCTTGGGTCCGGCTCCCGCTCATGGACTCACAAGGCTCAGCGGCGAAAGGCTGAAGCACTTCGAACGTAGTGTCCAGCTGGCCGCCTGCCTGGTAGAAGTGGTCGAGGCACTGACCGCTCATGGCAGCAGTCCCTGTCACGATAGCTAAGTCGCCCGCGGTGCCCTGGAGCAGAGGCTGACCACCGAAGCGCTCACCAGCACAAGGAAGGCCCAGCACACGGCCCTCTTGCCAGCAGTGGCTCCGCAAAGGAGCCCGTACCTCCTGAGATCCACACGATGACGCATCGCCATCCTGAGCAGTCCCCACAGCAGTGGCATGCACGAGGCAAAAGGCCCACGAGCAACGCCACTGATTCCACATCGCCTCAATGAAGAGATTGAAGCCCTTCTGGTTCTTGAACCGCTTTTGCCAGGCTTCGCAAAGCCCAGCCCGCAAATCGCTGCATGGAAGAAGCTTCCCGCCCGAACCCACAACGAACAGGAAACTTGATTTCGAAGGATACACCCGCGAGTCATCAGGGTCCTCACCCCAGAGGCCCACTATTGTCCGCGACTGCATCTGCTGGCTGCAGGGTTGTGGGACCCCCAGCCAGTCGTCCATACTAAAGTTCATGAACATCCTTGTTGCCAGGCTTCCGTGCGAAACAGGAGCCATGGCGCAGCGACAGCACTTGGGACAAACTCTGCACCTGCCCTCAGCAGGCCCCGCCCTTCGCCATGTGGAGGCGTTGTCCCGTCGGTATTGAACCGAAAGGCTTCTGAGTCACTGCATGTTGTTCCCGCCGCGCTGTTTTCTTTGGGTCGTTTTGCAAACGACTCCTTCCGTAAGAGCAAAAACGTGTCACGTGTTACATTGCGGCTTACATATCTTTTGCCTCCGCACCCTACCGCGGGACCAACTGCCTTCCACGCGCACAGTCCCAGGGAGATATTTCCAGATGGAATGCATGTCTTGTGCAGTCAGGGATGGACAAAAGCAGCTCGGTTTGTCATTTGGACTGGGTGCAGGCTCCCACCGAATATCTACACTGGCAATGTCTGACATGTCAGGCTGTGATTTGGGTTCAGAAACGAAAGCTCAGCACTATTTCTCTTCTGGGTTTTCAGCTTGTTGGAAGGTCGTGCCTATAGAAGCTGCTCCAGACATTAAGGCAGTAAGCATGCTTGTGCCCAGGAGGTGGGATGAAAGCTCGATACGACGTGCAGGCAGAGTGCTGTCAAACCCAGGTGATAATCCCTTTGTGGTCCCTGCTGGCTTCGACTAAGCAAGCTTCAAGACATTTTAAGATGTTTCCAGCTTCATTCCTACGACACCCACCGGCCGAGTTGTCCGTTCTGGGGCCCTTTAACTCAGGATCAGGCATTCTGCAACTGGTCGGTGTCGTTTGTCAGCCTACACCAGAACGAAGTTGCTACAGCATGTAAAAAAGCCATGTGGTGGGCTGACAGTTTAAGCGACATCATGCCTCGATACTAGGGCACCACTGGAATTCTGCTCAAAGAACCCAACTTCCTGGCGGATCAGTGCCTGGGTGCGCGCGGGGTAAGCTACACAAGTTAGTAGGTAGAGCAGGATCTAGAAAAGCATGCTGAAACTGGGATGCAGTCGCCTTGAAGAGCTTCTGGCGCATAGACATTGACATTTTCCACCTGAGCCAGGTGCAACTCAAAAAAACTGTTTGGTGCACGATGACATGTAGCCAGGAGCAAGGAACATGATCATGTACCTAGAAATAGGAACCGCAGTATGAATGAACAAACACATACATACATCCATGCACACATACATACATACATTCGCATTTCGCATTTCGGGGCAATGACGTTCGGCGTGCATTGATTAACGGGTGAAAACAGAAAAGACGGAGCAAGGGACATACATACATACATACACAGATACGTGCATACATGTGTGTATATATCGTGTGCGTGTATATATATATATATATATATATGTGTATATCTACTGCTGTGAGGTATAAGAAAATACACACATATTGATCCTCCAAGTCTGACCGTAAGAACTGGTCATAGCTGAAACACAGCAGATCCGTGGCCCGAGATAGAGCATTCAAACCCATCGTTCCCGAACTGTTGATCTGCAGGGTCGCTATAGCAGCCTGAGGAGGAACTGCCGAGGAATGCATATGGAATGGATTTCGATGGTCCGCATGAAATACTTTCGATGCATGGGTCTTTCGCCCTTGCATCTTGCTAACGATCCAGCTCATAAGAGAAGCATAGCTTCGTGCAACTTTCCAAGAAAGAATAAGCGATGTCTCGCACTTCTGTGACATCTACCTGCAACAATTCCTGCTGCTTGGGATGCTGATCTCTCCAACCTTCTCAAGGCTGGGCCAACCCAGATTTAGGACCTGTTGCATACGCGCTGTGGAATCACACTGCCCCCCTGGCATGCGCTGGCTGTCTGTGTATGATGTGTGAAGTCTGGCAACACGCAATGGACTTCATCCGGAAGCAGTCAGCCTGGCCAATGCGAAGAGGATCCCCTGCACCACGTTCGCCTCGGCACCATCCTATCTTCGCTTTGCTACGGCAGCCCTGACTCGGCTACGAAAAACGGCATGTCTCTATGCTGTGGCCGGGTCGCCACATAGCCATAGAGAGCGCATGCAAAGTAGAAGCCTGGGGTGCTGCTTGCTACAGGGCTCAACAGAAAGGCCCTCCAATCTGCCCAAACGATAGCTCTTCCCGTCCAGCAGCCTGCAATCGGCGCCAGGGCGTGAAACGCAGCCGTGGGATCTCCACCAGTTCTTGCACAGTCCAGGGCAATGTCCAGGAGACGTCCAGTCAGGAAGGCCCTCGGGGGCATCCGAGCGAGTTTGGATCGATGCGACGGCCCCAGGCAGATCTCTGCATCTAAGCACGTGGTGTGCAGATCGCCGCATGAATTTTTCTGATGTGCCTGAGTGATGCTGTCGCGGCCAGCGACATTGAAATCAGCGTGGCAGGTATCAGCAGAAGCGGTTTGGCCTCAGCTTTGGACTCATGCATGGGTACGCACCATGCAAGCTTCGCCGAGATTTGTTGAAGCTGTGGTGACAAGATCTGAACCCCCGGCCTGCCTCCGCCCTGAACTCAGCTGCCAAGCGAGAAGAGAGGGTCTGTGTCATGCCTGCAGAAACTTGCGGTGAATAGTAGCTGGTAAACCAGAATGAAATCAAATGTCCTTCTGGTTCACTGAGCTGTGAGATCTTGGGCTGCCTGCACCGGTGCTGCCGACATGGACCAGGCAAAAGTCACGCTGGCCGGCCACGCCTGCGGTCCTTCTTTCTGGAACATGCAGCGAAGGCAACGGCCTTGGACACGATACTGCCAAAATTTGCCAAAGACTCTACCTGTATCAGAACATGGGCGAAGTCTGTTTTGCCATTCTTGGTTTTTGTTGCATTCCGCTGGCAAGAATCTTTTGAGCTGTCGCTGCGCTTTGCTGCTTCGCTGGTCCATGCTTCAGTATTCGAGGTGAATGCTGGTGCTGCCTTCGCAGAAGGGTCTGAAACGAGTCCTGCGGAGAAAAAGATGCCGTGCACCCAGGTTCTACTTGTCAATCTATCGATGTGACCAAGATTTCAATCACACTTTCGCATCTTTCGATCGTTGACCTCGCGCTCTATCACGTTCTGTTTGCCAATCAATTTTCTTTGCGACGACGGTAAACAAGTCCAGCGGTCGGTGGTTCGATCATTATCGGTACGCGGCTGCAAGACCATGTACTCGTGAACCAATGAAGCTTCCGTCCGGAATCCAGATCTAGGGTCCGATTACAACCCATCTAATAATCTAGTCGGCACCTTCGAAGCATCCACATTACTACAACTCAGCTGCAAGCCGCTTGTTCCTTCAATAAATCGATATGAGGCAAAGGCTGTTATCGTAAGAGCATTCTGAAAGCGCCCGGACCCTCTGATCGTTGGCTTTGGGGATGGGTTTACGTGTCCCTCCGAGCCTATAATATCGGCCTCCCACAGCTTTCAGACCTCCCTAAGCATCCCTTCCAAGGCCTTGCCGGCCTGGACCCCGGAAAACTTTCGGAACGGTGCTGTTTCGCTTCATGTTCGAAAATGATCCGTCAGCCGCCTCAGACAAACCATGCCAATCTGGACGACAAGTCCAGGGCAAGATTTGCACAACAGCTTTCACAAAAGATCGAGGGACTCCCGCAGCGAAATGGTTTCAGACCCCTCATTGTTCATAAGCCTTAAGGGATCGAAACCCCGTCGACAAAGATCTGCGATCTGTTTTACACCAGGATAGTAGTGGCTGTTGTAGTTGAGCCACGGCCTTGCCAAAGCAGGGCGGTCTTACGCGGCATCCTTTGCAGATCTTCCGCAGAAAACTGCCAGTTCTCCGACGCTGAGGCTGGTTTTGCAACAGCAATTCTGAGGCAAGACCTGCTCAGGAGGTTCGCTTGGCCTGTTCGTGCCCTGCTCAGGCCGTAGGCCGCAGAGTTGATGAGGCAGCAGATGCCCACAAACGTCCATGATTCCGGGTCAATAATTTAAGACTACGGGTCGTGGGTGCGCTGCGGAACTGCGCATGAAAGGGCTTGGGACGTCTACACAATATGTTGTTTGTAGGTTTCCTCGGTTCCAAGTCTGTTACGTAAAACTTTCGCGGATTACTGGTTGCCCTTCGTGGACCCATCGCGAGTCTTTCGCGGACCCGCCACATCTTGAAACCGCTTCTTATAAACCCAACCAAACACAGGACCTTTAGATCAATGCGCACTGTTCCTTGGCCGAGATGCAGTTGAGATGCCCAGTTTTGCAGAGCCATCCAAACCTCCAAGTCTTTGGGTGCTTGCATGCCCTTGCGCTTCGTCAAGGCTGGGTGGACAACGGAAGGAGTTGTTGCCGGTGTCACTGATCTTGCTCCAGCAGATCGCAGAGCGTACCTGGAGACAAGTTGCTGCAGTCCAGCGTGAGCACACGACGCAACACAAGTCAGGATCCTATTCACCCTGAAGGCATGTCGCTTCCGACCCCAGAAAAGGTGACACTCCCCCACCACCCGGACAACAATCCGGAGAACCCGGACAGTTGCCCATGTGTTCAGGTATCCGCAGGAAAGCCCGGTCAAACTGACAAACCCGGACCCAACTCAGCCCGGACAAGCCAGTTGGAACAAAGCCACGGCAACGAAGTGACTTGTACTTGCACCACTCAGCAGCCTGACAGCCCGGACAACCGAAAGCAGCCAAAAACAACTCGCCCTCAGAAATTGGAAGAAACGGAGTCGACCCGCAGGATGCAGACGTGAAGGACAGAATACAGCGTTGTCGTCCGGGCTGCTCCGTTTAGACCGGACCGGACCCAAAGCGAAGCCTCAAACGAATTGGCATTCAGACAGGGCTGTCCAGTTTGCTTTCCCTTAGTGTGTTTCGTTGGGAAAGGCCGTACCTAGAATTGGAGTAGCCCAAGCCCTCAGCCCTAAAGCAACAAAGGCGCAAGCCCGAAACCCTAAGGCCAGCTAGCAGCCAGACCGAAACACCAAGCGGTAAACCCCAAGCCTGAAGCCTTGAAACCCTGATCCGCAGATCCTAAACTCTCGACCCTCAAACCCTTAACTCCTTAACCCTAAAACTCCTTGAAGGACTAAGTCATACACCCGAAACATCCCGAAACCCCAAAGCACGAGCTTCTCAAACCCGAAACCGATAGCCTCCTCAACCGTGAACCTCGATTAAGCTCTAAAGCAGCCCAGAAGCCTAAACTCTGAACCATCCACCGTGAATCCCAAACCCCTAAACTCTCAACTCGCGTGGTCATTGTCCGAGCTAGCTTGTTGGTGCACTGTCCGGGGTATCGCCCGGTTTTGGCATCCGGGCTGTCCGAGGGGTTGGGGGGAGGGAGTCGGAAGCGACAAACTTACCATCCAGGAGCCTCATGCGTCACACCGTGTGGCCGAGGCTGTGTCGAGCAGATTCCTCGGTGGTAGACGCAAGCGCTTCAGTGGCTAGTGGGCAGGGTGAGTCCCTAAACTTGGTCTGCACTTGCCTCGTCGCAGAGGTTGCATCATCGGCTCAAGACTCTCCACGGTCCTATGATGTTTCTGCATGTCCCTGACCGTGGTCAGCTGCTGCGATGGAATGAGAAACTATGCATGCTTGATTCTTCTCCAATGCATATCCTATGGGCCTGGCTCGCAAGGCTCGGTGAGCCTAGATTGCGGTGCGATGTCTGCTGTGCACCCAGCACTGCGCAAACAAGGTCCTGTCACATGCATTTGTAGAAGGCGCCTGGGGGCATCGAGTCCAGTCGTGGCGGGTCCCAACTTCGTGCAATTCAGCACGGTTCGGGAGGAAAATCACGCCGCGCAGGCGGTGCGCAAGCGAAGTTAGACATTAACAGGCCCTGGGCTGAAACATGGGCCGATGAAAACTGGTGAGACCAACTGCCCTCATTGGACCGGCAAATTCGTTGCCAGCGGCAAGTGTTGATGCTACGACTACGAGCTTGACAGTGCCTGGTCAATGTCGGCCTTGACCTCTTGAGGTATCAAACGTCATGCGGCACAAACGGGCTTAGGCTACCATGCTTCCATGCTCAGTGCTCGGCACGGGATATTCCCTGAACCACCAGCCGAGCAACCTGGGTTGCGAATGAGGCGAACACATGCAGTATGCTAATGTGGCATGGGCAGAGTTGTGGAAAGATGTGGAATGATGTGAAGGGACGGCATGAGCTGTAACAACCGCTACAACCCCTGCGTGGATACCTCAATGTTCAGCCTGCAGGCATGCTGTATCACCCTTCATCAAGCATGCTCAAGCTGACATCCGCATCCTCGACTTTTGAGGTATTGTGGCACGAAGGCGGGCCATGCAGCATGTGCAGCACGCGCATACTACAGGCTCATGAAGAGCATTTGCAGTGATCCTCGAGACTGTGCTGAGCTTCGCACAAGGCGGCCTCCAGCACCCACAGCCTCATTGCGATAACCCCAGAGCCTGGACACGACCTTGGCCATTGGTCGCAGCACATAAACATTGATAAGGTCTTTGCTGCGCCAAGCATAGCCTCTGTTGCGATGCTTCGTTGCTCCCGGAACGGCCTCGTCCATGATCGCTGATTGCACGACGGCTGCCACATCACTATGGTCAGCATCAGCGACAAACCACTGCTGCTACCAAGCTGCAAGGCCCGAAAGCGTTCGATAGTCTCGCGGACCTGTTCAAAGAGAAAGCATCCATAGAAATTGTGACAGCGACCAATCCAGCTGCTCCAACATCACTTTCTAGGCTGCGTGGGCGGAAGGGGGCAGAGCTGTCTGCAGGGGCAAAACTGCAGGAAATGCACGCTAGAAGCATAGGTGACTTGGAAACTGAGCCCGAGCTTGACAAAGTCGCATAGGTTTGTCTGTCTTACTGTCGTTTACGATTCCGTATTTGATGATCGGTAAAGCCATCCGAAGTAGTGTCGCTTCATGTGCCCGCAGGTTCTTAGGTTGCATTGGCCTTGTGGACTTGGACCGCCACTATTAATTGATCTCCGCCATTTGCCCCGCTTGACCTCCTCTGGACTGCTGAGCGACTTGTGGCATCGAGGGAGTAGGTCGGAGACGGCGGTCCGGGGACGCGAGGTCAGACAGACAGGGGAGGGCGCAGAAACTGACATCACTCCTTTGGAATCGCTCTCTGGTGGACAAGCTTGGTGAGACTCGACGAAGCAAGGCATTCCCGCGCTGCGGGCAGTCGGCTTGAGTCTGTGAACAATAGTTGAGGACAGGACTTGCGGCTCGGCAATGGATGCAATCTCCTGCGCCTGAACAGAGCAGATCCGTCGATCGAGACTTCCGTAGAAGTGTGCGTCAAGACCGGAGCCCCTGAGCTTCCGGCATTTGCAATGACATTCCTGTCATTTCTATCCGGCGTCATTAGGCCTGCACATCACACGAGATGCGCAACAACACGAAGTCAACGCAAGGCCCAGGCCTAGACTTCCAGCTCCGGGAAGATTCCAGGAAGCTGCCAACTCTCTGGCATTGGCGCCAACAACCTGCCAGCATCTGCCAGCTGCCAACTGCCAGCTTGAATGAAAGTCCCAGCCGCAGCAAACCGGAACCGTGCCTTGGCCAGCTCATCCAGAAGAAGTCCCTGTAACCGATCCGTCAACTCACACGTGACGACTCACAGGATTCCATTCGCAGGCAGGGAGCTTGATGCTTTCGTCGCAAACAAGCTCCCACGACGATGCGTTCAGATTGGCATGTTGCTGCAGTCTGTGCAGGTGGCGACTGCTGGTCCAACCCAGCTCGTCATGCCAGGTCTGGATCAGACCAGCATTCTTCAGGAAACGTCACTTAATGGTAACTAGCATCGACATCATGAAAGTCTGAGTTTTGGAAATCCGGTCACGGCTGACGTGCTTCTGCGTCAGCTGATCTGCAGAAATCAAGTTCTCGCTGCTCCCGGCGTTTGCTTGAAAACTTTTTTGGATAATTACTGCCCCGATGAAGTATCAGGTTACACCGACGCTCCGTGGGTGCTTGCGACTTCTGGGCGCTGGTGTACAGAATCACCCCGAAGCCGCTCCAACTCGGAAGGAGACAGGTGCTATCGAAACAGCATGTGTCGACCACAAAAGTACTTGCAATCTGGCCTATCTGCTTGAACTGACCCTGGTTGCATACAGTCTCTGCTGATTCCATGCTGCACATTGGCCGGCGCCTGAAGTGCGGGAGGAACCTTTCTCGCTTGGTCAGTGTCCTGCACCACAGCAATATTTAGCGACTTAAGCATTGCGAAAGTCGCAGTGGATCACAGAAGCAACGAAGGCAACGGCACTGCGTCCTCAGATTCATGTGCTTCTGGCAGGCGTCCCAACACTAGACTGGCCAACCTGTGCAACGAAAGCCAAACATGAAACTAGAACTACTTGGTGTTTTCTGCATCAAGCCCCTGGCTGGTCAGCAAGGTCTGCTGCTTCCTCAGTCCACCGGCGCAGAATTTGGGAGCTTGCCTGAGCACGTTCAGCTGCTGGCCTTGGCAGCTGGGCTATTGTTCGCGCGCGTCGCAGCCTCAGATCGACTCACAAACTTCGGGCACAGGTTGTTGCTGCAAGTGAACTTCCGTGCTTTTCGAGATGGACACACGTGCCTTCGGTGCTCTGTTATAGAACCTAGTTACAGTTTGTTGCTGTCGGTATATCTTCATCTTCAGGTCCATCATCCCAGCCTCGGCAGGGATATGAATGGGACCGTGGCAAGCAGCCGGTCCCGGCTTTCGGACCCTTCTGAGCTGTCCACCCAGGGCCTACATCCTCGCCCTTGGGCGTGCCACCTCAGCCTTGTATCGACGCCAAAGCCCACCCCTGGTTGGCCGCAACCGCCGGCAGCGGCAGCAGCAGCAGCAGCAGCAGCAGCAGCACCAGCACCAGCACCAGCACCAGCACCAGCACCAGCACCACCACAAAAGTCACAAGCAAGACACGGCCCAGAAAAGAAGACTACAAAGTTGGGGTATGCCAGACAAGAAGTTACAACCGACCCTCATATCGTGCGCCTGCCAGTTTCTTGCCAGCAGCCATGTCCACAGCTTCACAATGTGGTCGAAGGCTTCGAAGGCTAAGCCGGAAGACTTCGGAGAAGCAGCATATAACAGGCCCGTTGGTGCTGGGAGGGGATTCGGAGTTTGTCAGGGTCCTGCCCTTGGTGACTGTTGGTGTGCCGCGCAGACTTCTGCTCGGCCACACAAGTCCACAAAGCCCTCTGAAGCAGATCCCAGTCGCCAGAGCCCTGTTTCCTTGCTTCAGATTTCTGGCAGAGTCCAGCGGTGTCGCTCAGTGGCCTGGGACGCCGGAGATCGCTTCTCTTCTTGTCTTGTCTTGATGCCATCCATAGCTCGCCTTGTGGCCTCTGTTCAAGAGCAAACGGTGGCTTCGGGTGGGCCCTCGATGAATTCATCCACGTTTGTGAGCTTTGCGCCAGGCGGGTTCTCAAGGTTGTGGTTGTACCTACGTAGCTTGGGAATTGAACTCGCAGGGCTACGTTTTTATGCTTTTGAATGCGCGAGAAGAATTGGGAAACGCACGCCGAGGAAAGAATGCGGACTTGAGGAAAAATGCAATCTCCAACGCCCACTTGGAGTAACTGTTGAGCTACACAGTTCGCTCAGTCATGCACCACATAGGACGAGAACCCAGTTGCCAAATATTTCAGACCTGCCAGGTGCAAGTCTGTGGGGACAGTCAGCCTTCTCCCGTTGCTGCATTGAGCTCGTCACGCTCTGCACTTGGCTGACGCTCAATGCCTTTCGGACGGAGGGTGTACATGCCCAGCACTGCCGAGCCATTTTCGAGCACGGCACCCGGATTATCTTGACTTGGGAGAGGCTCGACACTTAAGTGAAGGATTCGGTTGCTGAGACCGTCCCGTCTTCTGGAGACACCGGCCTTTCTCGCCACCATAGATGAAGGAAGCCAGCGCCTCAGATCTGCACAGAAAACCCAGAAGCAAGGGAGGCCTTGCCTAAGCCACCAGCCTTGTTTATTCGAGTGTCTGAGTCGGTGATCAACCTCTGCGCAACATATGGCCTCAGCAGTTCAGCACAGCAGCACTTGTCATGCTGCACCCGAACCATGGCATGCATGCCTGCGGTTACCGGCAAACCCAAGCTGATAAACCGTGAAAGCCCTCGGCAGGCACTCGTTGACGATAGAATACTCGGAATCATTACCTCGCTCCGCATGCATATGGACATTCGTGGAACTCTCTGCGCATGAACTCTGCTTTCAACCGCCAACTGGCAGCATTCGAAGCAAGGGCTGCGACTGAGTCCGATCCCTTCGAGGACGGCAAATGCTCGAGCAATGTAGAAAAAGTACGGAGGCCTTGGAGTGCAACGAATGTGCTGCTCAAACTGTGGATGCTGCGTGAATGCTGGGCACTGGTCACTCGGAAAAGGTTACCGTAGCGACGGCTGAGGCCTGCATCACGCTAGAAAGCATTGGAAACGCTAGGAATAGACTTTCGAACAAGCTCCGAGAATGTCCTTGAATTTCATTGAAGAGGCGGTTCACATCCATCTTGCCGAAACATGGAAGAAGGAAGCTGTGCAAAGCGCTGATGCACTGAAGCATATAATCTCAGCTGATCTGAGCGGACTGCTTGTGCTGCACCACCTCCGGAAGTCCATTGTCCGTACACTTGGGCCAATGTGGCCACAACCTTCAACCGGCGAAACCCTCTCCAGAAAAGTGCTGGCATGAACGGCAGTTGATCTGCCTCACTCTTCACGACATCATCCTGCAGCAGGCTTCTTGGCAATTGCCATGCAATCCGTACAGCTGGCGTTAATTGAGACGTTGTTGACTATGCGTTGTCGCCAGGTCACCAGCCCTGAATCACGGCTCGCTGCCTCCATTCCTTCCGGGACAAAGCCGATGCGAACCAGATCTGCTGGAACCGGATCGTAGTCCTCAGCTGTTTGCGCTGCTTAGCTGCTCAACTACAGCATTTGAATTGCACGTGGCTGTCCACCTGTCTAAGGGGCCAGCACGAGACACCAAATGAGCGACATGCTCAATGTACGCCACCTACTCGAGTACTCCAGATGCCAGCCGTTAACCGCTTCACGCCGAGAGCGATTAGCTGAGCTTTGCGATTGCGTGCCCGGAAGCTTGCGTCAAGGGTCGTGACAAGGCCCCAGTCAAGGATGCACAGCCTGCCATCTCGAAACATTCCCATGCCTTCATCCCTATCATATCTGTCGATTCACCATCCGAGGGTTCTTGCTGCCAGGGGTTGACAGTAGCCTTCGAGCAATCGGTTTGTATCTTGTGCTGAGAGGCGCTGGATCCCAGATCTTGGGTCGGGTTACAGCATCTGCTCCAATGCAGTTTCCGGCAGCACAGAAGCGAAAGCAGTTGTTCTGCAGAATCCCTGCAGACCTGCCATCCGGAGTTCTGAGAAGGTTACCTGGATGCGGATCCTGGCGTGAAGCTAGCTGGACTGTCGTAGAACAGAAACACACTCAAACAAGAAACAGTGAACTGCATCCGTGCTAGTCGCGGGTCCGCGTGAAGAAGTCCCGTCTCCAGCATCATGGTCAGATATGTGTTCATCGCCACCGAACATAGCTTCGTCACGTCCTGCAGCGGATGTCCATGATTGCCCAAGCTATGCTGATGCATCAAGCTTGCGAGACCTTCAGAAACTCTCAGACGGAGCACACAGAGAGAGGCGAGGTATTCCCGCCATGGAATGCCATGATCGCGTTGTAGCCAGCCAGCCCGTGTTCTCTGCAGGAACAAAGGGCATGGTGCGGTTCGGTGCTCCATTGCGGCGGCTTTTGCTGCTTTTGGGTGCAGACACGAACCTTGCATGATGCAGATTCCCATGCGCGAAGGCGGGAGGCCGTTCATCACAGCGACCACGAAAGGAGTCACGTCGGACTGCATCATCCTCTACGATCCTGATCCCTCAATCTATGACTTGCTCTGCCTTGTATGTAGCCTGCCAGGCAGCTGACGAACCCACTGACAGGCGAGGTTTAAACCATCGAAGAACTGCCGCATACCTGATCATACCTGCAGGAGGCACTGCCATGGAAGAGGTAGCTTCGTGATGTTGCGCGACGACGCACGCTAGGTTATCAGTGGCGCTGTATTCGAGGAGACTGGTTTCTGGGCATCTGCTATGTACAATGCGTAGAATTGCTGCTTTTTCATTCATGGAGGGTAAGAGCTTGGGGTGTGTTTCTTTTAGTGGTATTTAAGAAGGGCTTGACCTGCATTAACTTCAAGAAAAATCACCAGGGCCGCAACAACGCACATCTGACCGCCTGGAACGATGTGCTGCCGCCGGAACGTTTGTCGTGCAATCTCAAAGCTTAGGCCCTGTAAGCTTTGAGCTCCGTTTCAGATTCGAAAGCCGTGTCGCGAATCGTTAGCAGGCATCGTCATAAACAAGCAGCAGGATGAGCATGCACAAACAGACAGGACATACTGGAGACTGGAGACTCTGCAAGTTCCCTTGTTCTCGAGGACTACGACCTTGCGGCTTATGACGACTGGGAGCATTGGTGCTCTCTTGTGCCTGTGCGATCGAGACGGGCGGAGAGAACTCAGTGCCCACCTTTCCTACCTGGCTCCGTTGCAGAACAGCGGGATCCCTCCCGCCGCCCCACCGTCCTCTGCTTCACTTTGCTCTAAGCGCTCTCCGATGATCCACTCTGTCGTCAGAACCTGCAGGTCAACTGTCCATGTGCCAAGGAAGTGCCTTTGCCCTCGTCCGACAACGGCGAGTACATTGACTGCTGGGCCTTTGCACTGGAACATGCCTCTACGGGCGGCGGAGCAAACACCTGGCCACATCGGAGCACAGCAACACTGTCATTGGCTTCGACGCGCAAGCCGATGTCACCAAACAGTCGATAAAGCACAGGAGAGAGCTACTTTTGCAGGCGCCCAGTTCGTGTTAATCCGGCCAGGCAGGCTGCTCCGGCCAGGGGAGTCTTCGCGATGTCTTCCTGGAATTGTTTCGCATTGCGCGCCTCGGAAGGCAGGTGCCAGAAGCTTGGCAGAGCCACTGCACTCTGCGGCACTCTGCTGCACTGCTTCGCGTGGCGAGCTGGAGCCTCCTCTCGGTAGTCGAGCTCTCCAACAAAGCCCTTTCCCCACTCGTCCACCCTGGGCTGGTTTCGTCGTGGTGTGACACGCTCAGCTCACCGTGTCACAGAGAATCATCAAATATTGCTGCCTACACCCTGAAGATGCAGCACACATCTTTAAGTTGACTGAGTTGGTGGCGTTCCGGCAATGTCGGTGTTAAGGCCAGATCTCGTGAAGGACAGCAGCGTCCTGTGGCTGGGATCCATGCGGTAAAGATGGTGCTGCGGTCTTTTGCACAATAACGGTTCGTCTCATTCTTTGCCGCAGCACGGATGCGGCTGGGGATTACAGTGACAGGGAAGCGAAATGAGCTTTCGGACTTTGAGCTCCAAGATTTGGGCTTGGCGATGCTTGGCGGCTTGGCTTTCGCTCCTCGCCTGAAAGGTCCTGCGCCCAGCTTCAAGAGGTAGAGATCCTCGCGAGTTTCGGGAAAGGGCGCCCACGGCCATTCGTCACTGGTAGTCGTGCTGGGCTGCTTGCGAGAGCGACCACCTCTTCCATTCCAGGCCGCCTCAGACATATGCGGATAGGAGCTGTCAGGGCCTGCTGCTAGAGTAAAGGCCCGGCTGCACTTTTACTGCAACCTCCGGGCCATCACGAAGCTTGGCCTTGTAAACCTCTCCACCAGGCTTCGAAGATGCGGTGCGGACATGAAAGCAGCCATGCCTGACCCAACGATGCTGAAGCGATCGGGGCCGGCGAGATCTCTTCAAAGAGCTCACCGACTGGCCTGGTGTTGCCGAGGAATGTGTCTACTCGATCTTCCTCTCCGGATTGTCGAAAAATGTGCGGCAATGCTGCACTCTGAAAGTTCCTGAGTCGTTGGTGAACTCTTACATCTCGCACGTACACATTTTGCAGTACACGTTAGGTTGGCTTTTCCTAGATCTCTTCGAACAAGTCTAGTGTGCTTGCCATCTCGATGTGACACACAAGTCCGACTGGTTTTCCGTGTGTGCAAGGCTCCAGTCGGCTTGCCTTACAGCAGGCACGACCACATGCACGTGTGCACTGAGAGTGAATTGAGGGAGGATTCCACGAGTGCGGGTGCTGTGCTTTGTGTACGAACGGGCCACAGGGGCATTGCATGGAACGCACTTCGCAGTTCCAGGCCTTTCTGCAGAAAGGAACCGAGATTTTTTTCATGCCCGGACACGACCTCCACAGTCAGGCTAGGATCGACAATCCACAAACTGGGTGCGCCTTTCGGGGCCTTTCGTTTATGCCTCATCATCTCATCGGTCGTATTTTTCAGAAACTTTGAAGCGCTCCGGCTTCGCTACTGCTATGCGCAGTGTACAGGTCCAAGGACTTGCGAGTATCCGTTCTGAAGACTATCTCCTCAGACTCCTCACCCCATGCCCTTCATCCCATAATGCAACTTGAAGATTCTTGCACAGCTCAGTACAGAGTCCTTTCAGGCTTCCCTTGCCCGGCTGCTAGTGATTGAGGCACACTTTTTCGCAGGTATTGACCCCGTGTAGCGAGCCTCTTGTGCACGGTGCGATGCAGCTTTGCCATGATGTCAAGACTCTCGGGTTCGGACCGTCCTAACTCAGATTCGATAATCTCATCCGCTTGAGCTGTCGGAAAAGGCGGAACTCTGTCCTAGAGTCAGCCCGCGTGTTTGGCATTGCCAAGATCCGTTTCGCATGGTGCTCATTGCCTGTCCTGCAGCTCCGTGAGAGCCTCGAGATAGGCCGGGGAAAGGAGGTCCGCACGAATCGACAGCGCCTGGCAGAGGCCCACTAAGCTGTAGCAGCCTCAGCTTCTTGTGAAGGTGGGGCCGGGACTCCCACTAAGCTGGTAAGCTGGGTTCAGTAAGGCCGATTTGGATTCCGAAATCACGACTCCCGCATCCTCTCCAAAGGCAAGACATTCACATGGGCCGTGAATGATACACCCTAGTCGTGGAACGAAGCCTTGGCTTGGTGGTAAACGCAAGAAGCGCAAAGAAATCCCTGGCCGTGTGTTTGCCATGCACGGGCCTGCCCAATCTTTATGAAGGTCGGGCCGAGACGAGTCAGGATGTCTGTAAGCTCACGTGCCCGTTCGGAGCTCATAGCCTGCCGGGCAAGTCTGGGAAATGTGGAGGTTCAAAAACTCCTTCAGCCCCGTTGCCTCTGATACTTGTGCCAGCGCACTCGCGTGGGCTGATTAAGCCATTGCGAAAAAAACTTCCCAGTGACTGAAAACGGTGCTTCGGCGGGGTTGCAAGGTGTTGCCCTGAAGCTGCATCGGACCGGATTCTGACATCGCTTCCTTAAGCTGACCATCTGCTGTGCAACTCCCAGCCTCCCACTGCCCAGTCTGAGAATCTAGAAGAAGCTTGACCTGCAGTGCCCGATGCCGAATCACTCATCTGGCATGAGATGTTCACATTCCGCCGACAACTACACACCATCTCAGTGCACCCGGCTATAGAGCTTTGGCTGTGCTGCCGCCACAAGTTTTGTGCAGAACCGTGGCCCGTGCAGCAAACCCCAGGCTCGTCCCCACGAGCTCAGCAGCACGTAGGGTGACCAGCCATGGACCTGTTAACCGGAAATGCAGTCTTGAAGCCTCGCGCTCGCATCAGCTCCGGATGCTCTGACTGAAACTCATCGAGCGAAAAAACAACCAAGCTTGTGCTCAGAGCTTCGGGCTTGATTTTTGCTGCACACCACATCATACTCCGGTGGCTCTGCCGCGACATGCTGTATCACTGACGGTTGGCTGACGCTACGGTGATCTCACTCAAAGTGGGAGGTAACGAGTGGTGTTTTCAAACATGCCAGAATCACGACCGGCAAAATATGCAGCTGCCGTATCAGCATCATATCGGCCATCTGCAGTAAGATCAAGGGTGCGTATAGCAGTATGGCATGGCGCAGCCAATCAGTTCTCCAGGCGCTGAACGACCAAGGCTGTGACCAGGATATGGGCGTGCTTTGCAAGGCACCCTATGCTTCCGCCTTCGGTGGACCACGTAGGATATGCCTCATGCATGGCTTTGGGACGATCGATAACACAAGCAGCTCGTCTCTCCAAAATTCTCCAACACACAACAGTACTACTGGTCAGTCAGGCCTGAAATTGATGCAGGCTTCGCGAGCACAGGTGCGCAACACTGCGAGACGGGTCTTGCCAAGGGGCGGCCCAATGGCGAATATTTGCAAGCGAAGTCCATCGACGCACAAGAATGCACAAAAACTCCAGAAGAAAGCAACATGCCAGACACCAGGGCAGGTGAACCGGGATTGCTCACCTGCATCCAGGTCTACTCGTTTTCAAGCTCTATGTCTCGATCTACCTTTGGAAATCTCGGGCTGTTGGTGCAAGTGCGAGACCCGACCAGCGACGCTGCACCAGACACATTCAGGCAAAGGCACCCTAGCACTGGCACAAGGGCTGTTGCATCATCACCATGGATGGTGGCCTAGAATCGCAGCTGAGCTGAATTGAGGGTGAATGATTGCAAACATAATCCAAGACGACACCAAGGCAAGCAAAAGAAATCAGAATCCAGCGCAGGTCCTAAGGCGAATGCATCCTGGATTCTGTGCCTTTATTCGCAGAACCGGTCTCACTGCCCTCCATGTTCACTCCGCTGTGCCGGCCAGGGCCATGGATACAAGCAACAGCGGAAGAGCTCGGACCGGCATTGCTCCAGCAAGAAGCAAGAGAAGCAAGTACCACTGAGCTGATGCAGCGGGTGCTTATGAACGGAGCCTTTGAAGGAGTTTCAGTCGGAGCTTCAACGACGGAGCCAACACAAGCGACGAACAGAAGTCCACGGACCTCTTCTTGCAGTTCTTGAGACGGCTCGAAAACACGAGACCATGAGAGCAAGAAGCGATCATGATGCCTCTTCTACAAGCTACTTCTGGAAAGCTTCTCCAGCCTGCTAGAACTCCACCGGTCGGCCATGCTAAAGAAGGTTGTGACCTCCAAGGTTCAGACTGTCGGTTGAAGTCTTGCAGCCGCACCTCGCAGTCGCTGGGTGGCTGGTCCATGTTGCCTTGCAGGGTCGGCTGCTCGCGCGTTGCTCGCGGCAACCTCGCTGTTCGAAAGCAGTGGCCCTACTAGTTGCATGATGCTGTTCCTGTGACCCTTAAGTCTCACTGGCTGTTGGACTGGATCTTGGCTCTAAGTCCTCCGCAGTGGCATCACCGGCTCGTACCCTCTCGATGTCATACCTTGAACTCCTGCGGCAGCAGGGCCATGCCCAGCTCCGATCTTTCCCGCGTGTGAATGCTCAGCCAGGAGCTTAAGCGGTACTGGTACTGTATGAACAAGCCCAGAACCAATTCAGTTCCTGAACCTCCAGGTGACGCCTTGAGACGAAGCAACCAAAGGTGGGAAGGAGTACAAAACAAGTATTCCCCCCCTGAGATTCGCCACGGGAAACCCTTTATTCGACACTGGCGCTAGTGTGAACTCAAAGGTGCGTAGGCATGTCGAAGATGATGGTAAGGCACGTGGGCTGCGGCCTTTTGCAATCCGGCTAAGGTCCTCAGTCCTTGTCGTCGCGAAGCAAGCGCCGGAGGCGGAGGCTCCAATGAGCAGAGCGGCGGCCCCGGCTGCCCTGGACTTGCCTGCCAAAAAAAACGATTGTTTTGCCCCCTCGGTGTCGCCTTCGTCTTGGCTTTGCAAGCCCTTGCCCAAACAGAACTGCTCGACTGGTAAGCTTGCGGGCGTGGGGTCTAGGCAGACTACACTGATTTACAATGATTTGCAGGCTTCTTCACGCAAGTAAGGTTCACCATACTAAAACCCAGGCAGCCGACAGAAGCGAGCAGAGTGGAACCGGGTCGCGTGCATTTGTGGAAGAAGAATATTAAAAATGGGGACGGGTGCTCATCGACATGGGTATGATGTGTCAAAAGCAGGAGCTGCTGAGCTTCAGTGCAACTTTCAGTAGTGTTTCAGAATCTGGATTCACGGATCATCACGGATCCCTGCTGGGGCGGGGAGTTTGTGCAGTGTCTTCGAATGTGGGCTGCATGGAAAATTTCGATCAACGCACAGAGCACACCACGAAGTCCATAAACATGCAGCCATCCTGGCGAAAGTCAGGCTAAAAGGCTCCCAACGCTATCTGCAATCTCCACCTCCCTTGATTAGCACAAACTGGATATGAAGAAGCCTCGGGTGCTTGGCGGCGCCATGGCTGTACGCAGGCTGGTCGAGTGTTCTGCTCTCGGGCAAGGATCTGATTCCAAAGTTCGATAAGCTACCGGCGTCTACAGGCCAAGATGATCTTCGCAGGCAGCCAAAGACTGCCGCCATTGTGCATGCAGATCTGTCTGTCCGGATCATGCGGCCCCTCTAGATTGTGCGAAATTTCCATCACAACGTGAAGCTTCTAGATGGAGCATCAATCGTGCAGATTGGAGCAGCGAGTTGGAAACCAAAAACGAACTTTGAGCTGCAAATGCACACGTTCTCAACCTGATTTTAAGCTTGGTGGCTCAGTCAGCCCGAGTCGCTCCCAGACTCATCAGAACCTGGGGCAGGTCCAAAGTGAAGGTACATCCGCTGTTTTGTGCTAAGCGTGTCCCTGCCAGTTGCAGGTTGTGTTGTAGAAGCCCTTCTTACCGACGTACTGCAACCATGATGTGCTGAACATGTTGGCTCTTGCTCTAGCAGTCAGCTTCAGGCAGGTTTTCTTCCAGGCTGAAAACTTCATCACAGGTCGAAGTCCTGATGTCTGGAGTTCTGATGCAATCGAAAGACCGATCTCCTCCTCTTCTTCTTCCTCCTCCTCCTCATCTTCGTTGGCGCTGGCCTCTTCTGACCCATCGTCATTGCCTGGCAGAGCTCGCAGCAATACCTGGGACGCAACTTCTTCCTGACCTGCAGTCGTGCCTTTGGAGGTGTCGCCTTTCAGATTGCTTAATCTCGCCTGCACAACATCGCGATTCTAGAACGGTGGAACCCTAAACATTCGCTCTCAGCACACTCCCTGAGGCCAAATGGCAAAACAAATCCTCCCGGCCACAGCCGTCGCTGAGCGGCTTGCAGCTTACAGTACATGCTCCTTTCAATCCTGTCAAAATCTCCACTCTTGCTCGACTGCTGAGATGAGTGTCGACTAAATACCCAGGTACAGTGAGTCATAACCTACCGCAATGCCACGAGCGGTCAACCGCCCGGTGCGAACAAAAAAACAAACATGCACATGCTTGCTCTAGTCTCGCTAAACTTGTCGCATGCTTCCAGCCTTTGCATCTTTCAGCCGCTTCTCGGCCTCTTGAAGCTTCTCCGCCTAGCTCTGGACTCTCGGGGCATTTCCAGAAACTCATGCGACGAAGACATCTCAGCAAGGAAGGCTTTGAGAAGGCCGGTACATCCGGTACTGCAACCATCGCATCTATTTGCTGAAACATCCTAGCATCCAGTTTCATGGCTGAAGATGCAACAAGCACACTCAACAAGAACACCGAACTAGCGAAACCGCCCCTCGACACCTTTGCAAGTCCCACAAACCTGCAAAGCCCAAAATCCGACAGCTCAACCTTCAGCACCTGATTGCTAGACTTGAAAGCTGAACATTCCACTAAATGGCTTTCGTACGGTGTCCTACAATTGTGCTTCTTGTGGCGGATGACTCTCAGGATTGATACTACAGTGTTTCGACGATTTCGACCTGCACTGGAGGTCCGGATAGCTACTGGCACTATGTTGGAACTCAACCCGGTCATTTCACTTAAAACACTTTCGGTTTGCCAGAGTGTGCGCCTTCTTGAGTGCGCTCGGGCTGGCTTCACGAGATCTATAATTACCGTCTTTGCCCGATTCAAAGTCGACAACAGCAGGGCTGGTCGAGGCTCGATAGAAAACCCAGCATGATGAGACAGCATGCTGCGGGTCTCGGCATTAGCGGCTAGCGTCACGCACTCCGCGGAAGAACCCGGTCAGCTGGCAAGGAGGGCACCTGTCCATTAAGCTGCTTTGCTCGAGCATCCTGGAGAGCCTGCTCAGGAGACCCAGGCTGACGGCCCCGAAGCGAGACGGCCCAGGCTTTCAGCTGGTGGCCTTCTGGGCCTTGGCTTCGAGCTCCTTGCGACCCTGACAAAAGCAAGATTTCTCCTACTTAACAATTTCAGCAAAAGGAACGAGGGGACCTCGTCAACATTTGCCTGGATAGCTTTGCGCATGTTGGCTGTGGCCTCCGTTCAAGTCGAATCGAAAGGACACGAAAATCCGGTTGTGGCGCTCCCACACTCATCATTACTAAGCCAAGCACGTCTTGCAGGCGACAGGCGAAAACCTGCCATGCTGCGCTAACTTCGCATGCTTGGCGGCACTTTGGAATTGAGCAGAACTTGGTAAATGCAGGGCACGCATGACATGCATTAGCTCGAAATTGCTACCACCGCCTATCACCTGTGAACACAGAGTGGGAGACGGTGTGGTAGCAATACCAAGCGAAGTTTTAAACCAATCCCATGCAATTATTACATCCCGGGATGCGCACTGCCTGGTCAAGCCTCTCCTCAGCCTCCTGCAGTCGCGAAGCCTTTTCTGCCATCAGCTTCTCCTGGCCATATCGGAGCGTGGCGGCTGCCGTCCTTCGAGCTCCAGAAAAGATCATAGCCTTGGCATCCGACAGTCTGGCCGCAATCTCCTGCTCCACCTCAGAAACCAAACCGGAGCACCCGCTTTCATTTGCTCTGCTTTCCTGCCTCGGCTTGCACTGCAAGAACGTCGCCCTCGACCTGTCGACGAGTCGAGTGGCTGTGATGCAGACTCTGAAGGGCACTCCGACTCCTGCGCTCCTTGCCTGGGCGCGTTGCCTCGCTTCTTCTTCCTTTATAGCATCTTGGACGGCCTGGACATGAACTGACGACACTGCTGAACTTCGTCTATGCGATCACTGCAAGATACTGCAGAAGTGGTGCAAGTGGCTGTCGAAATTCAAGCACTCAGGCAGCCTTCCGAGCTTGCGTGAGTGCCTTTTCCTCGGCCGACGTGACACTCTTGCCGAGGAGCTCTTCTTACTGACTGCGGGCCCGGACGGTAGCTTTCACGGCTGCTTCTTTGGCAGCTTGTTGCTTGTCCTCCCGAAATCATGTGCTGCACTACACGACCCCCCTCCCACAAAACCTCGGATGCCTGTTGACCACGAGCTCAGACTTTCACATTCGCACCCCGACAGAACTGCGAAGGTCGCAGGAAGCAGTGCCAATCGGTAAGTCCTCACTCCGCTCGCTTTCCTGCCAACATTCGCGGCCGCATTCATATTCATTACGGCACTCTGCACACGAACTCCAAGTGCATCCAGGTGAATCAGTGAAAGCAAAAGCCGAATGCTCGTACGGTGTAATTTCTTCTTTTCGAAGGGTGCACCAGGTAGTTCAAGCCTCGTCGCTTTCGGAGTCTTTGTCCTGAAAACGCGAAGTGGGTGGAGGCTTCAGCAAATCGGGCAGAAAGCTGCTTCGCTCCTCGGCCTTGCTGGGAGAATACGTGCTGGCATCACCTTCGCAAGCATTTCACTAAGCATGTTGCGCTTTGCGCATGTGCAGCGACAGGTGTATCATTGCGATTGCGATGTGCAGCGAGGCACAGCATCTGTACAGCGGCAATACGGCTGCAACCTAGCCCCTGGGTGCTCGACCTGATTTTGAATCGGGCTTTGCCTTTCGGCGCTTTCTTGATCTCGAGCGAGACCTTCGCCGCTTCTTCCCCCTGCGCCTCCTCCTGTGCCGCCTCCTGGCAGTGCAAAGCAATGCTTTGTGCTGCAGTCTTCTGCGGTCTTCTTGAGGCCTCCGGTCTCGGTGCCGACGTCGATGTCGACGACGACGACTCCGTCCTCCAAAGGGCCGATCAAGTGACCAAGGGCCGATGAGCTCCTGCCTAAGTGCGTGCGCCGACATGCTCCCACCTCGACGGCGGGTCCTGCTGCGACTGCCGCCTGGAATACAACGAGTGTCCGTCCCGCTTCATGTCAGGTGTGCATACCTAACCTACAGGAAGGTCGCTTGCTTCACTTCGCTAGATGTTATTCTATCCTAATTGGGATAGTCTTGATATCACGGTTTTGACTAGATGCAGGGCACCTGTTACGTCGGGCCCCGCTCTCCCCTTCCCCAGGCATCTGTGTGAACTGCACTTCACATCTTAAAGTTTGTGGAAAGCACCATGCCACAAGCATCCCTGCCCCGTGTGCGCTACTGCAACATAATCCTGATAGGCATTCAGGAGATTCAATCCCTACACTCGACTGAGGCACGGACTCCGGCTTTCGCAGCTCTGACTACGGCTACCTGTGAGCATGGCTGTATCGTCGCCGAAGAATGAGGCAGCTAACCACGTATGTCAGTCTTGGTTTGCTGGTTGCAGGAAACAGCCGCTCGACCGGGGACGGAGATGCTGGACCGCGGGTCGGACACTGGTTGCACACGCTCCGGGTGGATGCTGGTTGAAACGGTTCGGTCTTCAAGCGGCTTTTTGGATCATTTTAGAGGACCGTCACCTATGATAAAGCCGATGGCTTGGCCAGCGGGGCTGCAGAGAGCAACACTCGGCCAACATGCAGAATATGCGCCTGCGGCGCGTGCGAGTTGTGTGTCAGGCGTTGCACGCGTAAGGTTTTGGGAGTTTCTTCCGGTGAAGTGTCCTATAGGGATTCTGCCTGCAGCGATTTGTCCTGCGACAAGTGGTTGCAGAAGCATGGCAGGGCAAAAAACAACGACTGTGCAGTCCTTACCGCCTCTCAGCTCTCGGATTTGAGCGTCTGGCTGTAGCTGTCGCCCTTGCCATCAGTCCGCTTCTTCTCCAGGTCCAAGAAATCCTGGCGACTCGTAATTGGCCAATACGCGGAACAGGGCATCAAATACTGTCACCGTCGATATCTCGCAACAGAATGCTTATTGTTGGCATGCTGTTAACAGCATTTACAGCTACTTCGCATCAACTTTATTATCCAATCTGCCGAAACGAAAGCTAACCTACGAGAACTGCATGCTCAGCATCGCAGCACAACAAAAAACAACAACGCAGACCTGAAATTGATTGATATGTGTAGCAAAAGCACAGAGGACAGCAGGAAGACATAATGATTCGAGCCGCAATGCATGACAGACCAAGTGCAGCAACAGCACGATGTACACAACATACACAAGAACCTCAACCACTTGAGACCCAGAGGGAGGTGACGAAAGCTCTAGGTCTGGAATAGCACGCGCGGCGACGAGTCGATTTTGCAGCCTGGCTTAGGGTTTAGGGTCAGCCGCGGCGCAGGCATCCGCGATGCCACACTGCCCGGATTCACCGGCCAGCACGCCCGCTAGAACCGAAAAGCGCGGCACGGCAAACAACCATCGTGAGCACGAGTCAAGACTAAGACCGCACACACAAGAAGCTGAGCGTCGCAAAGCAGCTACGCGCATCATGAGCATCCTGGGATCCCAATTAGCGCCGGCAGGCGAGCATCAGGAGCATCATGGGGCGCCGGCTGGCGAGCATCATGAGCATCATGGGGGGCTCGTTTCTCCATTGGAGGGTGGTTTAAGAACCCACCCGCTGGAGCCAAAAAAAAGGTCTCGACCGGCCCAGCCCTAAATCCCGGCATAGCTTCAAAAACGGGCCCAGAGTGGCGACCTCTTGGGGGGGGCCCCGCCGCACACCCCCTAAGCCTTCTGGCAGAACAAGTTCTGGGCTCTCATGGGAGAGCTTTCGTGACTTTCGATGCTCATGCACAAACAGATCTGCAGTCCTTGCTGCAAACGCACTGATATGGCAGGGAATTGCGCGGACATCAATATTTGCATGTTAACCATGTTGTTTGACCACCGTGGAAACAGTAGAACCACAACTCCCGAAGGCAGCAGGGCAGCAGGTGCAACAGATCGAAGCCGAGCCTAAAGCATGTCAGAGCAAATCCCCACTGAAGCCTCACACGACAATGCACTGTTACATACTGCCGCATCCGGGGATAAGCGTTTGATCCCGTGCCGCTTGACTCCAAAAAGCTTTCACAGCCCGGAGAAAAGCAAAGGACTCCTGCGTTTGCGCAGATGCCGTGGAGAGGTCAGCCCACAACATTTTGTAACCGCGTGCTGGTGCGGGGCTCAGCATTCTACCAGCGCCCGGTCATAACCTTCCCCCTTGTCATTGGCTCCGTGGCTCTGGTGAAAAACTACCCTCTCGTGACATTAAAGCCAGCACGGCAGTTCACATTTCATTTGGCCAAGCCATGATGGACTTGCCGTGTCCCAGTTGTGCCTGCAGATTAATCATCCAGTCATCTATCTAAACACCCACCCAGCAAACCCGTCGACTATAAACCTTTCCATACACCCGGCTGAAGACCCTTCTAGAAACCCTACTAAAATCCTCCCATAAAACATAAATCTATCTATACGTCCTTCCAGAAACCATTCTAGAAGCCCTTCAGACCTCCTTGCAGAACTCCTTCTAAAACACCTGTATTATGCCACCGTAGACCCCCAAACAGTGAAGGAGCTCCCCGACGACCTTCACGACCACGACCACCTGGACCGCCAGGACCACCACGACGACCACTACTTCGACGATCGGTTGTTTAGTACTTGAGTAGCAAAGTTGAGGGAATTATACAAATGCGATAGTCATGGTTAGCAAGTTCGCTAAGTCATATTTAGTGGAGTTAATAAGACCTACATCTATAGTAGTTGCATTACAGTAATTAGTACTTGTGTTGAAGCAGATACTGTTTGAATACAATGTAGGCTATCTGGATAGCATGGTTATGCTAGGACTTCCGTGAGTTAGCTAAGTCCAAACCAGCACAGATAGTGGAGATAGGATAAACATTCTATGTCACATGTGTACTTGTGCTAAGTGCAGTTATGTGTAGAATATATGCATGTCTAAGAACAGCATATGTCAGAAATCCGCATGAAAATGGCACACCAAAAGCACCATGCTCGCAAGCCCTCTTTTGCATGGTGGATTGGTGTGGCTGCCGACTCCCGGGATGTTCCTTCGGTCGAAGACCTCAGTCTAGAAAGAGGCCGTATCGAAACAGAGGAGGGTCCAACAAAGTTTGAAGGACCCACGGTCCACGATCTTGGGCCAAAATGGCAGAGCCATTTTGGCAGACGTCTCCTGACATAAGTCTTGCAAGTCGGCAAGCCTTGGTAGCAAGTAACTATTTATCATGTCCAAACAGCACATTATTGTTTGAATGCCACGGACATTGCTGTGTTTGCAGACTTCAGAATCATTTTTTTTGATGATTGCCTCAAACATATCTTCATGATTGTAGCAGCTCGCCGGCATTTTTAGCCTGGCAGGGCTTATTTTTGCATAGAAACCCATGGACTGTTTTTTGCAGCTTCTGGCTGAAGACTTTGTTTGTTTTGGAACCGACATTTCCCGATGTCGCTGACACACGAAGTGTCGCAGCAGATCCAAGCGATTTTGGATTCCTCGTGAAGTCGGTGCAAGAGCTCTTTGGGCTCCTTCGCAAAGCTGGCCTCATGACCAGCATGACCTTGCCACCCCTTTCTGTTGGAGTGCATCCACAGAACCGTGATGGGATTATGCTCAACCAACAAGACTGCCATGAGCTGTTAGACTCCATAGCCCAGGTGGGCTTCGTGCCAACCAGGGTCGAAGCCATAGGTGTGGAGGTGTGCAACGAGCAAGAGAGGTCGTACAACGTCCAGCTGTGCACGGCAGCAGCGGGGAATCTGGGCTCGATGGACCCGGGGGCCCTGAAGATCCTCAGTCTCACTGCCTCTCACACGAATTTTGCACTCAGGCTGGTCGCCAGTGCGGCACCGCATGTTTCTGACACGTTGTCAGTGAACGGAATCCTCAGCCTCGAACAAGTTCGTCTGCGAGATCCTGTGCTGGCCCAGCATGTGGAGCAGGGGCTGACATGGAATGTCATTGCCAAAGAAGTGGCAGTGGCCCATCCTGCTGTACTTCAGCTCGTGCAAGCCAGCCAGAATGCGACATTACAGAAATCGGAGAGCGAGATGCAGTTGCTGAGGAGGGTCTTTAGCTTGTGCAGTCGCGAGAACCCTCCAAACTTCCAGCAGGTCAAGAGCATGGCCCTGAACTCAAAACCCCCGTGTGCGGAGACATTTCCTGCTTTGTACACATTCGCACTTCGGTGGCTGGGCTTTGATATAGATGCTAAATGTTTCTCTTTATATAGGGATTTGGGTGCATGCATGCATGTATGAGGTATTGCGGCGGCTCTGCGGGGAGATTTCTCCGTGAGACGGAGGTGTTCATTCGGAGTCAAGGCAATACCCGGTCTTTGGGCTTGGGGTTCTGGCAGCTGCTCGCCCAGGACTTCATGAAGGGGCAGCAGCAAGTTCCCCACATGAGGCATGCAATCCTCAAAGTTGCCTTGTCTGCTACTGGTTTGACACAGACCAATGCCAAGAAGATGTTTTCTCGGGATTGCAGCACCAAGATCTTGGAAGGAGAGAAAGTTCTGAAGGAGCTTCGCGAACTCGTCTCCAGTGCAGGCACTGACATCTTGCAGGATGTTCGTTTCGTCAACATTCTCGGCATCGTGGATATGACGGTGGCCAGGTTTTGCCTTGGACTTCAGGCAGAGGACAAAGACACCGGCAAGGATTACAAGAGCATCCAAGGCATTGCTCACGATGCCACCATGGTCTTCGCAACCATAGGGGTGGAGTTGACTTCTCCGTGGCAAGCTTGTGCCGAAGCATCGAAGGGAGGGCAATCCTCTGCACAGGCAGCAACGGAGAGAATGAGGGAACTGAATGCCGACGGATCCTTGCGGAATGCATCAGAACTTCTTGCAGACAAGGGTTTCAAATTGCAGGCATTCGTCCGCCGAAAGGCAGACAAGCTAGAATGCAGAATCGATGCCTTCCAGGGCCAGCATGTGCATCTGACCGAGCTCGGAAAGAAGGGAGTGATGAAAGTGCCTTTCGAGCAATTCATGGGTGGGGCCTGGGCTACATTCCAGCCCAGGAGTGAGCCTGAGATGATCGAGGACCTCAGTGTCTTCCACCCGTCGGAGTGCCATGACTTCCAGGCGGCTGTGGTCGTGGCATGCATTCAGAAGGAGCTGGCCACATTGACCGAGGATCACAAGGATGTCCTATCGCAGCTATCCATGCAGCTCAAGCCGACGAAGGCCCTCGTGACCAAGGAGAAGTTCAATAAGGGGCAGCTCGTTCTGGTCCCATCTTCCTTCAAGATCGTGCAGAGGCCCACATCCCAAGGAGATTTGCCCAATGGTGTGAAGGTCCAGGTTGATTGGACTTTGGATGAGCGATCATTCTGGATTACGGCATCCAACAGCATGCCGAAGGAAAGCGAGACCTTCCAAGTTGGTAGGTATTGTTTCGCTCCCTTCTTCATGGTGCCAGCTTCAGAAGAAGTCGATTCCGTGAACCTCGTCTTGTGCAATGCAAAAGCCAATGTCGCGAAGCTGTTGATCCCCATCTTGAAGAATACCCATGCAATCCCCAAAGGCACCTCGTTGCTGCAGGCCCCGATCAAGAAGGACAACAAGAGGGAGAACTTGGAGATGCCGAAGCCCGTGAAGCGGGTGAAAGGCAAGCACTGAGTGCATTTGACCGTGCCGGAGTTTTGGTGTCAGACAGAACGAGTTTTGGCGCACAGAGCTGTTGAAACGGGTTCGTGCATGCTCGGATGCCATCACCGCCCTGCAGGGCTGCAAGCTCGCAGGCAGTTTCTGTGCAGATTGCATGCATGAGCTGATTCAAACCTGACATGAAACATGACATGTACCCTGCATGAACCCTGTGCTTCGAAGCTGGCAGAGAACATTTCGAGCTTGTGTCTTTTGTGTATAGGATATCTCTGCCATGGCTTTGACAGTGAAGATGCAGCGGGTCATTTCAGATGGCAAGCAAGATCTTGTGCTTCCTCAAAAAGAGGTGTCGGGCTTGGGGTTCGTTTGCTTGGAGAAGTGGAACCGGCAGCTCGTGAAGGTGCTGACAGGAAAGGCCCTGGACCTTAGGCCGGGAAAGGCTGCAGCATCCGGCAGTCTCAGCTCGAAGGTTTGGGGGGAGATCGTGAAGCAGCGACAGAATGTCGCCAACCAAAAGCTCCAGGAAGCCCTCGAGGTTGAGGTCAAAGATAATACTGCCAATGGTGCCCGAAAAAAGCCTAAGGCAGTGAGGGCAAACAGCAAGCACATGATTATGCTGCCAGAAGTGCTCGACATCGAATGTCGCGAACATAGCCTCAAAGTCTTGACTGAGGGGATCAACACCCAGACCATTTGGATGCACTTCACAGAAGAGAACATCAACTGGTTCAAGAACGAGCTGGATACAGAGGAAGCGAAGCCTCGGGTGACACGACGATCCGGCAGCAAGAAGCGAGCCCGGGGTCACAGCAGCGACGAGGAGGCCGAGGACGGCGAGGTTGTTGGGCAACAGAAGGACGAAGACTATTGATCGGCAGCATGTTTCCCATGTCTATATATTACATAGACGATTTTGAGGGGCCACTTTGCATTCTTGCGAGGGAAAGAAGAAATGTGGTATACAGCTTTGCTTCTTGCCATATCATACAATGAATGATGGATGCCTTTTCTATACACACACACATGTAGCATGTTTGAATATACATATGACACGGGGAAAGGGAAAGTGTTCCAAATCGCAGGGGTGAAAGAAGGGGCAGGAGAAAGAGACGGTTACGAGAGAGTGTATGCTTTTGTTGCTTGCGTTGTCACTGCTTCCTGCATTTGCCGCCCCGCATGCACGAAGGCTCTCGCAACAGCATGTGCACGTGCACAGGAGGATGCATGCAGCAGGCATACAGCCAGTGAGGATGCATGCAGCAGGCATACAGCCACCGATGCATGCATGTCCAAGTATAGGGCTTAGGAGGCCTTCGGGGTTTAGGGCTTCAGCTGTCGAAGCGACATAGCCATGGCTTGCTATCGCCTCTTTTTCAATGGAATGCCCGAGGCATGTCTGCTGCACTGCATGCCCTACATATTTGTAAAAACCCCTAAACCCTCAACCCTATATGCAGGCAGCGGAGCACGACTTGCAAGCTTCGATCGGAGACCTCTTCACGAAGGCGACGGCCACAGGGGTTGTGCACTTCTCCAGGTTGAAACTTTGCAGTCTGTGCATTGGACGAAGGACAATAAGAAGAAGTGGAGGTGGCTTTCGGGGCCGGCTGCAAGGCCTTGGGGAAGGCTGAGGTGGACCAAAGCAGGTGGGGTGCATGTGCTGACCATGCATGGAGAGAAATGATTTTTTTGGTCCAGGCTGGCACGTGGACAAGATGGGGGACTCCGAGGAGGTGCTCTCCATCTGGTTCAATGCCTCGAAGTCCGTGGAGCCTCCTGAGAAAGGCCTGTGTGAACTTCAACATACACCCAGCAACCCAACACACCGATCAGGCTGGAAGTTCTGGTGCTCCAAGAAGGGCCGGTACAGGAACAGCCAAATCTACTTCGAGGACCTTGGATGTGTGTCTGAAGTATTTCGGATGGAACATGCAGTGTTGTTGTATACAGGAAGTCAGATCCGGCGAGGAGCCAGCCGAGGCACTCGATCGTTACAATGGTTCTTCTTGTCACCCGATGTGGTGTGAAGAGGCTTCGGGCTCGAAGCCTCCTCCGGAGCCGAAGGGCTCGCCTCCTCATGAGGTCGAGGCCTTGGCGGTCATGGTTCCATTGATGCTGTTTCCCATGATGGTTCTTGATGTACATTTATATATAAGGTCTCTGGCCATGATGAGGAGTTCCAGGCTGGAGTGGCCACGGAAAATGGAATTTGTTTTGTGTGCTGTCTGCGACAGGACCCATGGGCGGATCAAGATGATGAAGAAGCCCGTTTGGGAGGGGAGGAGGTGCCACATTGTATACATATTGATATTATACCCAAAGTATTGTGACTGCAGGAGGAAGCGGAGCAGCACTTCCACGAGGATCAGGTGCTGCATTCTTTTCCTTAAAAGGAAGCAAAGGTTCAGCTCGATGTTGAGTGCAGGAGCTTTTGATGGACCCGGAGCCTGCCTTGGAGGAGGACCAAGTGCTGCTTTGTTTTTAGAAAGGAAGCACAGGTGCAGTTCGATGTTGTGTGCACGTGCAGGAGCTCATCGGGCCGATCATCCACGAGGATGATGACGAGCAGGTGCTGCATAGATTTCACACAAGGAGCATAGCTTCAGGCATTGTGTGTGTGTGTTCACGGAGGAAGAAGTTGCAGTGGATCCGCTGCCCGAAAGGACAGAGGTTCGCAAACACAGAAAGAAGTGAGAACCCATGCAGTTATGATTCGTTGGCCTTTGTGTTGTTCAGACTGCTGTCGATCTCACGGGCGAGCACAAGGCGAGGGAAACACTCACCATTAAGATTTTCGTCTGTGGCCGGTGTGCAGGCTGTGGTGCCTGCTGCCAAGGATGACCCCTTCAAGGCCAATGAAGACACGAACCGCCGGAGTGAAGCAGCCCTTCTGTTATTGTCCTGCTGCAGGCTTTGACTGTGCAGGCGGGGAAGCCGCCGACCAAAGCCAGGCTCCAATGACTTCAAAGCTCGCTCTGGCATGCATGGACTTGCTTGTTTCAGGTCGCTACGGTGGAGATCGCTTCCGGGAAAGCTCCATGGGCAGTCAAGAAAGCCACCCCGGTGCAGGGCAGACAGATTCATGGCTTTCTTGATGAGAATGGAGTTCTTTGGCCGCCTGGCAGCGGAAGGCACTTGCAGGGTTGAGGGTGTCTTCTTTTTCTAGGGTTTATGGACCCTGCCCCGACTGCCGACAGGATCCGGTCGAGAAGCCGTGGTGGCCAGAGGGTCAACGGCCAGGAGTTCAAGGCCATCAGCACGATGGCTCAGACCCTCACGAACCAGGCCTCCTTCTCCACATGTCTCCCTCTCCCCTCCTTCTCTGCTCCTGCTGCATCTGTGGCTTTGGGGTTTGTGCTTCCTTGCTTCCTGGCAGACTGAGCTCCAACGGGAGATGCTGGGCTTCCAGAGGGAGATGTTTGCCTCGCAGGCTTCGAGCTCTTCCCAGGGCGAGGTCTGCGACATTGCTCTGTTCGAAGTACATTGAGAGCCCCAAACACCCGACAGGACAAGTGGAAGAACACTGTCACGTGGAGCCGGCGATGGTGAACCTCCACAAGGACTCTGTTGTGCTTCGGGAACACAAGTTTATCGATCTATAAACTCTCGGAGTTCGGGGGGGGCAAGGGTTTATCGATCTATAAACTTCTGTCCCGGCCTTCTCTCTTATAAGGAGGACGAGACCAAGGGTTTATCGATCGATAAACTCCCGGGTATCATCGGGGCCAAGAGTTTGTAGATCGATAAACTCGTGGTTGCATCGGTCGTGGTGTCATCCAGGGGCTTTTGCCTCTGCTGTCCCGATTGCAGGATGCTGGGCATCCACATGGGCCGGATGATCGTGCCGGCTTTTTATCTCCAGGCACGGACCGGAGATGATGTGATTTTGTGTCGGCTGGCGGTTGGCACCCTGTGGCAGGCCCATGCACTCTGAGCTCGGCTGCAACAGTGCCGGGAGCCTGGAAGAAGCAGGCAGCCAGAACAGGCACAACACAGCAACTCACACACCAGATCTTCCACAGCACACAGCACACACAGCAGCAGGGCGAGAGCCACAAACCAACACACAAACACAAACATATACAGCACGGCTGCCGATCATCTTCCAGGTGGCCCCAAATCCCTGTAGATGTACCTTGCAAGGTACCTGAAATTGGCCCCGGACCCCGGCCAGTTGTAGTCGTTCGACGGAGACACAGTTTGACCGGCTTCAGCTGAAAATGGCGATTTCGGCGGTTGTGCGCTGAGAGCTGCTTGCTCGGTTCCATGTACTGAAGACTTGTGACAGTTGTGTCCTTGAGGTCAGAAACATGTTCCATGTATCGACATAATATGCATATATATAGTCATGAATCGTTATATGAATGTATACATATATATATATATATATATATATATATATATATTCATATGTATATATATATATGTATATATACATATATATATATATTTATATATACACATATACATATACCTGTGTATATACACACATGTAGGACAAAACAACAAAAGAAACAAGCAAACCTTTTTTGACCATTGCACCAAACAGAGAAACCAAAAAGAGAAACAACATCATGAGCAAAAACAACAATGCACGTGTGCCTGCGAGCACAAGTGCCCTGCAAGGCCAAAACACACAAAGGCAAAGACTCGAATTGCCAGGCGAGGACACACACACACACACACACGACAACAACCCTCCTCGGCCCGGCAAAGCCCACCTTTACTGTGCTTTGCTTCCTGTCCTGCTCGTCGTGATAAATGTATATGTATTCTTTTACATATATACATGTATATATATATATATATATACATATGTGTATATACACATATTATTTGGTGTTGTATGTTGTTTTATACATTGCACATATTCGTATCTCCCAGCTATAGGTTTTACTTGTTCATGTACATTTATTATGTGTATATATATATATATCACAAGTCTGTCTCAGGTATCATCTGTAATGATTACTTTGTGTGGCCTCTCATTTCTTACATCTAAAATATAATGCTGTATATATATATATATATATATCTACACACATTATATATGCCATAGTATATACATATATACAAGTGCATATGCATCAGAGAACTCTCTCTCTCTCTCTCTCTCTCTCTCTCTGTCTCTCTTATATATATACACATATATATACATGTATTGGTACACATATTTCTGGTTGTGTCTATATATGCTTCTATACGCATATACTATATATATATATATATATATACACGACACATCTATATGTCGAAACACCATGCACCCACCCCATCCCACCCCAACCCTCCACCCATGCACAGCATGCACACCGGCATGCATGGGGCATTGTTTGTATGTGAGGAACATGCACTGCCAGGCGAGCACAATGCCACCATTGCATGATTGTGAAGCATGGATGTTGCCCTGCAATCTTGTGCATGGAGGAAGGGGCATCGATTTGCAGCATCCTGTTGTTGTACTCTGAATGCATGAGGCTTGGCTCTGTTTTCACATTATCGCCAGCAGGGCTTCTAGCTCGCTGGCAGCTCGTGTGTGTCTCGAACATGGCAGCTTCAACCGCCGTGGACCAATTCAAGGGCGACCTCTCGGCGACCATCAAGTTCCTGGGGAGCATGTCTTCCATGCCCAACTATGAGTCGATTCGCCAGATCCAAGCTGATGCCCTCACGAAGCGAGCTGCAGGGCTTTGCCTCGACCCTGAGGCAGGGGCAGCACTGGCCGATTCGTGGAGCACCGGCCCATGGTCTGTTGACCAAACCAAAGCCTTTTCTGAAGTGCTGGCCAAGGGTGTCAGTGCAACAAGTGGGAGCAAAGGCAGCAAGAATCGCAGGGAGAATCAAATGTGCAGCAGCTTCGAGTCCTACCTGAGCGAGAAGGACGTGGAAGTGCTGACTTCTGATTCCAGCATCCACATCAAGATCGACACTGCAGCAAGCAGGTGCTGCCGATTGAGGCTCACATTGCCCTCAGAGCAATGTGTGAAAAGTATCCTGGCCGCCATCGCTGCAAGATCCGGTGGCACATGCACTGAAGCCGAGCTCTTTCTCCAGGTGGCGGAGTTCAAAAGAGTGCTTCGTCTCAAAGCGAAGAAAGTCCCAAAAGAAGGGATTCACATTGAAACCCATCCGGTTGGTGGGCCTCGTGAGCTACCGGATGTTTTGTTCAAGGCGGCCTACGATGCCGAGGATGGACCGGTTAGCACTCTGCTGCCTGCTGGGCAGGTGGCACTCAAAGCCATGGACATTTCGCTGAGACCGACGAACAAGAAGGTGAGAGGCATCTTTGCCACACCGAAGGCGAGCACTGCCATGGTGCCTGCAAATTCTATGCCGATGCCTGGCATGCACATGGCTGGCATGAACATGATGGTTAACCCCTACATGCAGGGAATGATGGGCATGCATGGCATGCCAAATGCTTCGTCCATGCAGGGCCTCATGCAATGGATGAAGCAGCAGCAAGATTTGGTGCAGCAGGGAGGGTTGCAGAACCTCCAGATCTTCGCTCCCGGCACGGGGTCCTCTTCGGGATCGCAACAGCCGCCATCTTCTTCGACACCGGCATGTGCACAGCAGCTATGTTCTTCGACACAGGCACAGCAGCCATCTTCTTCGACACAGGCACAGCAGCCATCTTCTTCGCCACAGGCACAGCAGCCATCTTTGCCATGTTCCGGCCAGAACGGAGAAAGCGGCATCGAGACAAAGCCTGCAGACCCCTTCGCCTTCCAGCTCGACACAACTCAGGCCCTAGAGGAAGCTACCAAAGTGTCCGATGCATTGGACAACCGCAAGACTGGAGGCCAGGGCAAGCGAACGGCTGACGAGTTCGAGGGAGTTGCCAAGCCGAAGGGGAAAGCTAAGGCTAAAGCAAAAGCTAAGGCCAAGGCTAAAAGTGAGTCCAAGCCGAAAGCAAAGGCCCAGCCCAAGGCAAAGGCCCAGCCCAAGGCAAAAGCCCAGCCCAAGGGCATCTTGAAGAAGCCTTCAGCCCATGCTGCCGGCAAAAAGTATTGGCAAAAAGTATTGGGCCTCGCTCCCCCTCGCGAAGCGAGTCTTGTTGAGGCCACACGGTTGCTCCAAATGCAGGTCCAAACCGGGCTGCTGCCCAAGCTGTTTCTAAACCCGTTTTGCCACGAGGGACAAGAAAATGTTCCCTCAGTTCCGCCATTTGTGCATCTTCGTCCAGCAACATCAAGCATGCCTGCAGATGGGTCTGCGTGAGCATGATCGCGAGCCGAGACAAAAACATGCAGATTGCATGCCTTTGGCCGGAGCGAATGCATGCATGCACATATCGACATGAGAGTTGCTTCGTCAGCCGTGCATGTGGATTTGTTTGCAAAGCTGGATCTGTGCCAGGCCATGTAGTCAGATCTCATGAAGCTGCTTTGACACCTTATGCCATTCCAGGACTTAAGGGTTATCGTTTTGGGTTAAGTTATATAGGGTTGAGAGCTTATGTGTATGGGTTTTAGTGTTAAGGTTTTAAGGTTTATGGATTTAGGGTTTATAAATAAATAAATATAGAACATAGATAGATATAGGGAAGGGAAGCCTCAATACAGGTAATTATATGTCCTTCGCAAAATTGCTCGTAGTTATAAAAGCCGAGAGCATGATATTATACAGATTTTCATTGGGGCCCATCAAGCCGGCAGGGCTGCAAGCTCGCCGGCATTCAGAAACTAGCCATGTCGTTGGACGTGGCCAGCTTGGGTCGGAAGCATTATGTGAGCCAGAGTGGTTTAGCAGCTGTTTTGAAGGAGGTTTCCGAATCGTCTTCCACAGTGGCACCTTCCAGATCAGGCATCAAAAGAGCCAGAGAGGAACAGGTCGCCATCGACACACCATATGGCGCTTTGATCGACAATATGCAGATCAAAGACAAGAAGGGAAAGGAACGGAGTTTCCCAACATTGAACCTGAAAGCCTGGATGTGGTACGTCGTCAAGAACCTGCTTGTTAGTTTTTTCAGCAGGAAGTTCCTGGAACACCCGCCCAAGGCAAACACACCTTGGCGGGTGTGTTTATATTGTGATGAGATATCACCGGGCAACCAACTAAAGCAGCAAAACACACGGAAGATCCAAGCCTACTACCTTTCCTTCCATGAATTCGGGGCGGAGTTCCGTTGCCAAGAACAAATGTGGTTCACGGTGGCTTTGGCGAGGTCCCATCTGGTGAACCAACTTCCTGGCGGCCTCTCGCAGTTCACCCACCACCTCCTGCAAGCACTGAAGCTTGAGGACTTCGAGCATGGTTTGCTTCTGGACTCGGGCGGTGAACGAGTTATGTTCTTCGCCAAACTGGACACCATGGTGGCAGATGAAGCTGCCTTGAAGGCAGTCTTTGATGTGAAGGGCTCCTCGGGGACACTACCATGTCCTTTGTGCTCCAATGTTGTTGCCAAGACGAGCATGCTGGAAGGCTGTGACACAACTGGGACACTGGTACCTGTGCACGAAACTGCTCTGGAGAAGTTTTGTGCAAGAACGGACAATACCATCTGGCAGGGCTGCAGGTTACTGCAAAGCCGATGTGGCCAAGTCTCCAAGAAGGCTTTTGAGCAGCTGGAGCAGTCACTGGGGATGAACCATAACCCAGATGGTGTCCTGTTCCATGGGAGTTTGCCTTTGGCCTCCACTTTGATGTACGACTGGCTACACTGTTACTTGGTAGCAGGACTGATGCACGTGGAGCTGGGGCTTTTGTTCCCCATACTCTATACCCACGGTGTGACAGTGGAAAGTCTGAAAGACTGGATGTGTTCCTTCGAATGGCCCTACGGCTTGAGGACACACCGCAACGAGACACTGAGGAGTTTCGACAAGAGAATTCCCCCTGGCGAGCTCAAGTGTAGTGCCTCTCAAGGTCTGAACCTGTACCCATTGCTGCGACTTTTCTTGCTCAGTCTTGCAACAGGAAGCATTCCAGATTTACTGGCAAAGGCGATGACCAGTTGTTTGAATTTGTTTCTCGTCCTGGATCTCTTGCTTAAAGAGAACCGGGGAGAGCAGGTGCCACCAGACGACTTGGAGGCCGCCATCCTCAAACACTGCCGGGCATTTCTTAGTGCATATGGCTCCGAGCATGTTGTGCCTAAATTCCACTATAGCCTGCACCTTGGCGCTTTTGCTCGAAAGAAACCGCTGATTTCCTGCTTCACTCACGAAAGAAAGCATCGCCAAATCAAACAGCTGGCAAACGAGATTCACAACCCTGGAGACTGGTTTGAGAAATCCGTCTTCAGAGACGTGTGGGGCGAAGTGATCCTGCAGATGCAAGCGGACTCTTTCAGTCTGCAGCCCCATCTGCTGTCACCCAAGAAAGCTACGATCTCTTTGCAGGCCATGTTGAATGCAAACTTCGGCGATCGAGCATGCGGTGCGACTGTTTCCTTTCAGGCCGTTTGCAGGCCGGGCCAGAGCTGCGAGAAAGGTGATCTCGTGCTGCTTTCTTCTGGTGATGTGGTCCAAGTGTGGCTGCATTGCCGCCTGTATGACGGGGACATGTGCACTTTGTGTAGCATTCTGAAGCCTCTGGGTAAGAATCGCTTCCTCCTGGACGATTCCACGGCTCGGTTTATTCCGAGTGTCCACATCCAGAGGGCATGCTACTATAAGAAGTGTCCCAAGGATGGCGAGGTCATGGTCACTCCTGCCTAAGAAAAAATCTGCATGGCGAGCTTGTAGCCCTGCCTGCGAGTCTATTGAGATTGTGCATACACACTCACAGTTATATGCACTCATATATAGAAACACCTATACATAACTCCGACACATAACTCCGCTATGTGTACTTAGCTAACTACACTACTCTACATATCGTAAGTGTAACTATGACACTTTCCTAACTACATATACCTAACCTCGACAAGCCTGCTATTTATATACTAAGTGTGCTACTGGAGACCGCGAGGGGACTGCGAGGAGACCACGAGGAAACCACCAGGGACCGCCAAAAGCCAGAGCAGTCCACCAGCAAACCCCAGACAACCAAGACGACACGGCCACAGGAGCACCACCTTTGCTTCCCCAATCACGCCCAACATGCTTCTCCCGTGTACTGGCGCAATTCAGGACCACGATTCAGCGCAACAGCCAAAGTGCGTTGCCCACTTGCCCTTCCCCAGACAGTCGAGGTCGCAATTGTCTGTGCACATACGCGGCCAATCGTCACGAAAGATCCCTGGTAGCAAAAACGCTGGTCGCAAGAGACTGAAAGGTGGAATCGATACTCAGGCGACAGAGGGACTCTGCTCCGTAGTCTGTCCTGCAGGAACCGCTGCTCATGCCGGTGTGGATCATAGAAACCTTTCCCGTACTTGTCACAGTAGTCCCACCTGACACACCAAACCAGCGCACTGGGGAGCATGGTTCCCGACCCAGCTCTATGAAGCTTGCTTGAACCAGAGAAGTCCGAGGATGCTGAATTTTGAAAAGCGGCCATCTTTCTTTGAAGCGCTTCGACTCCCGCTGACCTCGCTTGACCTGACTCCCATCTCAAGTGTAGACCCTGCATCCGAGCATTAACATGCATTATCCTTGCCTGATCCGCGAGAACACCGCCCTTGGAACCTGTGTGACGAACACCATCCGTCACCAGCCCACTGTGCTGGCTTGGCATAACTCGCCGGCCTTTGCTGCCGTCCCCGGGCTTCGCAGCACTGCCGGCCCTGTCAAAGATAGGCTGCCCAAAGGACTGGCAGAGTGCTGCTTGAGTATGGGCATGTGAGAGGCAGAGGAATCAATGAAACGTTCCTACGCCGGTCCTACTATGTTGATTGCCCTAAACTCAAAACGAAGGGAAACTAAAAGTGGATCTTGACACCGCTTTCACTATAGCAAGGCACAAAGATCCGCGAAACTTTTCGTTGGCCTGCGCTGCCGCCCGAGTTCAGGCATGTCACGACCGCAGAAAGCTGTGAGGCAGGAGTTTCGCAGTTGCATTCGATGCGAGCAAGAGCGAGTGACAGTGTGACCTGTAGGATTTCCGACCTCGCGGCTTCCTGCGGTGCAAGGCAGGGTGAGACTATATACATAGAAGTGCTGCAAACTTCAACCGATGTGCTAGTGCATCATTGCTGCGTACAGGTGAGAAAACGTGCCAGCTCTTACTGTGAAAGCAGAGCAAATGCTTCTTTCGCTGATGATCTTCGCATCTGAATCCTAGTATGCCGCTCTGCCTCACTGCTGCGCAATACTGTACCACCTGGAAGCCTGAAAACAAACATGATTATCATGATGCGACGTTTGACGAAGTCATTTGCTGAGGATGGCAGAACTGAGCCTGCTCTCGCAGGCTGCACATGTCATTCGCCATCCTCAAGGCACTGCAGACCGAGGGCCGAGAGTACCGGCGCCGCGCTCTTCGAAGAGTCCTCTCCAGGCACCTCTTCTTCTGGAGGCCCTATCCCACCTCCGCAGCTGCGTACGCTGGTAGTTTCCCACAAAAGCCATGAGGTCCCTTTCTGCCGGAAGGTTCCCGCCTGCCACGGCGTCGTCTGTCATTCGCGCACCCGTTGCCAGACGGTCGACCACCTTGTAAAGGTTCCCCTTGCGGGAATTCTACCACCAACGAAATCATTGAAGAGCGGCATCTGCTACACACAAGAATCCATGCGGACCCAATCAGGATTGCAAAGGTCGCTCTGGAAGAGAGACTCCAGGGTCTGAGGCCTTACAGGTAGACTTGAGAAAGGCTTCTGCGACGATAGTCATTAATTACTATACAAAACCCAAAACGCCCCAAACCCCCCAAAACCAAAGTTGTCCAAAGGAGCATGGTCTATGATTCCTGCATTCCCTATTCGAGAACCTCTTATTCTTGCGCACTCACTAGTACTGCGCACATCGTAAATAAGTGATCGGCCGTGGTGATGCGCTTCCGCAGCTTTAGGGTGTCCTGCGTCTAGACACACGTTGAATTCGATGTGTGCTGGCAGTCATCTTGCTGACCGTCTTGTCAGACAATGGTGAGGAGTGCGGAACCGAGCTGCTGAACGTTTCTTGACTCCAAGGTTAGTTCCGGCAGCACCAAGGGGTTTCTTGGGCCGAAGCTCGAAAAACCACCACGGGTGAATAGAGATTGGCTTCGCTGAACATCTGTACTCGCAGGGTGCAGTATCATCGAGAAACGCTCACGATCGAGAAATTCTTCTGGGAATGTTTTGAAACTGCTTGCAATGTTCCAACTTTAAGCCCCTACGCCAGCCCTACGCTACGGCCGCTATGGCTTCATGAAGCTGATCGCAAAGCGTGCAAGTATGGTCATGTGGTGCCACTTTGGCCCCAAGGTCCTGAGGCACCTTCATAGGAGGAGGCAAGCTGTTGCCTTCCTTCACGCTTCTCGCCTCAGAATCTGCCGGCAGAGTACTAACCCAATCGGACCTAGCACCCTTTCGCTCAAGCGAACCTGTCTGCCTGGCCTTGCTACGAAGGCTTCACGGAGGGTCGGTCCAAACCACGTCAACCGAAAACGAAGCCTGACCTCCACAGACCTCAAGACCAAACTTCTCGGGCTACCATGTACCAGTATCTTGTGTTGACCTGCAGGTGCCGAAGGTATTTCATCATGCAAGTCTGACAGACAGCTGGGGGTATTCTAGAACCTCCCTTCAACGGCACTGGGCTATTGACTATTGGGAATCTACACATGAACGGGCAATCTTGTGCTCGCAGCCGATTGTATAGCATGTCGAACTGGACTCGGTAGCCTTTCGACCGTGCATCAGACACGCACATCTTGGGGGGCTGCCAGCCCCCACTTTCACGAAGCTTCAGACATGTCTCTAAAGCAAGATCCCGGCCAAAGTAGTACCCCAACAACAGTTATCATTTCCGTCGCTGCGGGTTTTCGGTCCTGGTATCACAACTTGTCTTGCTCTGGTGGCTCCCCTGTTTATCGATCGAACACGCCCTGCATGCACGGGAAGAGGCGCAGTTGCATCGGCATAGATAGACAGATATAGACAGAATAGACGCTGCTTAATAAAAGACTGAGTCCGCAGGCCAGCGCTGTTCGCAAAAGATGGAGCAAGGAGGTGTCTACCTGTCGTTGGGGAGGCGTCTCAGAAGCCAAGCGTGCTTGCTGAATGTGTGTCTGTGTGATTCCTTTCTGTCGTATTGGTGTTTCGCAGACTGCATGTAACTGCATGTTGCCCCAATAACGTACGCTGGAAGGCTTGGCAACGAGCCGAGACCTCCCTTGCCCTTCTGTCTTGTCCTTCTGATTCTAACATCACTTCGGCTCCATGCTTCATAGGCAATCAAAAGGGGCGAGCTTAGAGGCTTGAAGAGCCCGCCTTCTCCTCCCAGCCCTGCTCCGTGGTGTCACAAACCTCTGGGGTCAAATGCCTGCAGGCCCGTGGGGTACAGCACCCGTCATGTTGAGAAAACCTTTGATCCAATTGCTAACTTGCCTTCTGAGGGCGATGAAATTCTCCTCGTCCATCCCGAATCTAAACTTGATCAGCAACAGCACGAGTCTTGGCCAGTCCGGCAGAACTCGCGACACCGTGATGCTGACTGGAACAACAGCTGTAGGCTGGGGGAACAGCTCAGTCGCAGCCGAGAGATGGCAAGAGACCTGCACATGTCCAAGCCGAGATGAGCCGTGTATAAACTGCACACTGGCATCAGAGCCAACAAAGTTATTTCAGGATCCACTGATGACACAGCAATACCTGTCATTACAAGGCTGACCGTTCTCAGAGCTTGTTCCACGTCGTCGATGGCATCTGTAAGCAGCAGTGTCTGCTCGAAGGTCAAATTGAGCCTCGCATGCCATCGAGACAAAATGGAGCTACCTGTGACAGCACTTGGGCGCGGCAGTGTATCCAGATGATTCAACGGTGATGGATTCCGATCCTTAAAGCGAACCAGCCTTAGAGCAAGCTTGACAAATTCTGCGCCGGCCCGCTGAAACTGTTCTGTTCGTCCAAACTACACTAAGCTGGAAGCAATCTCTTCTGGATGACCCGGTACTGCTGCGTTCGATCTGCTAGGTCCTGGGAAACAATCGTGCGCTTTGACAGATAACGCTGGTCTCATTCCCGGGCTAAGGGTCACAGACTACGACATCGTGCGAGTCGGCAAAGTCAAAAAGGCTCATGACACTCGCTCGGGCACGTGCTTTACGCAGTTCGTCCAGATGTCGTCGAAGATCGAAATGATCATCAATCAATGCAAAGTAGTCATGCCTCGGTGGAAAAATCTTCACATCGTGGACAGCAAGTGCATGCACATGGATGTGATGAGCAGCGAGCAAAGGCAAACTGTCTTGGAAAGTGATGAAGAAAGGCTCCTGACACCGTATAACATGCACAAAGCAGCTGGCCTCAAACCCCTTTGCACCCTGTGACCTGGCCTCGTCGTCTGCGGCAGCACCTCTGCAATGTAAGCAAGGGTTTTTGAAGGATGCTCCTCTCCGTTCCTGACGAACCGCCTTCACCACCTGGTCCAAAATACTCATAGAGGCGGTTGCAAAGCTCCTGACTAGAACGACGGCACAACACTGCACTACCAATTCTTTCTAAGGATTGCTATATCAGGCAGATGCTGCACCGGAGATACTCAGTGATGCAACCGTCTCCGTGGACCAGTTTACGGCGGTTGCCCAGAGATGTTCAGCAGCATAGTGTGGGCTCTAGCTCCAGCGTGCAAATGCATGCAACGAGAGTTGAACCATTGAACATGAGCTATCCAGGTCAGGAGATTTCACAGTAATCCCAGCAACGCCAGCGGTGCGGCTTTTGAGGAAGTATTTCAATGCGTTCCAACATGTTCCAACAACTCAAAATCCACACAAACCCCTTCATGCACTCCACCGTCCTCCCTCTTGTCTGCGCTTCTACTGGGGTGTGGGGCTTTCGAGTCCACAAGCTTCACTCGTGCCCTCCGGCACAGCCGTCGATGTCGACAGCTCAAAGAACGATCACACCTTTATCATGTCAGCACCATAAAGGAAACAGACAAACGAGCTAACGTTGTTTCAACAGCATAGAAAATATGGTGGAGCTTCCTGATCGCACGAGGTCATTGCAAGACTGCAGCCGCAGCTAGCCGCGACAAGCATGTCCTGCGTCAATACCCAGAGAGCGGCGAATTCTGCTGCTTGTACGCAGAAGCGCCCGCTGCTCTTCAACCTTAAAACGCCATGATGTACTCATCCTGTGAAAAGTGTGGAAAGCAATCCTTCTCGGATGGACAAGTGGCTAGCGGCTGGCATGGACTCGACATCTTTACCAACGGGACTTCTCGTTAGACTGGGTCTGCTGCATCAGCACTGTTGCTTCCGTTCCGGAGACATACTGTATGGAGAGCAGGTTGGACCTGCCACATGCCGGTGCGTGAAGCGACCATGAAAATTAACCCCCGAAGTACGGCATCCTTCCGTCATAAGAGCCAGACATGCCCTGGCTCACTGCAGCCGACCTCTCTAAGAGTCTGTGGCATGTAGAAGTGCACTTAGTTGCTCCTCAACGGGCTCCGAACACATGCGGCTGGTTGAGCAGGCCGGCAAACAGCACTTGCAACTGTGGAGGCTGCCTGGGCTGCAATACTTCACGATTGCAGGTGCGAACTGCGCTGAGATGTCTGCTTGTTGCAGTCCAGCTGAATCTTGTGCTTTGCATTTTTGACGGGCGGAATCGGCTTGGCCTCGGGTGCAAAGAAACCGTCGACGCTGCGGCGCGCCCCCGAGAGCGAGCGTCGCAAAGGCGGATTCTCAAATCTGGCTGGTCTGAGTCAGGGTCCACTAAGGCAAATGGCAACAGGAAGGAAGATGCGACGGTACGAGGCTCATTGTTCAACGAATAGTACCTTGCATTGATAGACAGCCCGGAGGTTCTGTGCTCAACATCCGGAGATGCACGGCGCACGATGCACAAACAGCTACCTCCAAGTTGGAGCAGAGTATCTTGTTCCACCTTGGCACTGCACGTGTTGACAGCTGCCGTTGACAGCTGCCGCTGGCAGGTTGGCAGCACAGACTGCCCTCAAATGCAGACCAAAAAGGCTCTGGCACGCGAAAGACGATCGGAATGATCACGGGTGGCCGGCCAGGCTCGACCTTCATCTGAAAGCACGCGAAACCAAAGTTGATAGCATTCGTCGCATTTCGTCGCCACGAGCATCAAGCATTGATGGCCTTGTCTATGAAGATCGATGTCTGCGACAGGGCGAAGCATTGCGGCGCCTGCCACTCTTGGGCCCCACGTTTAGTCGACAGTTTGAAGAATTGAGCCAGCGAAGTTGTAGGCTCGCACAGGGAACACAACGGCCTGCCTTCAATGTGATCGACACCTCAGCAGCGACTTCAGAAGTGTGACAAGCTGATCAATTTGGGAGAGGAGAGTCCGCTGCGTTCTCCACGGCTTTGCCACCGCCCAGAGTGACACACAAGTTCACTGTAAGCTGCATCACCATGCCTCCGGAGTAGCTGCAAGTTGTGCACGTGTTGCGGCACATGTGTGACAAGGAAGCACATTCAAAGGCCACTGACCGTCTGAACGTCCCACGGGATCATCCTTAGCAGAAGCAGATTGGAACCACAGGTCGATTTTCGAGTAACCGCGACAAATCGACAGATCCCTGCCATCCACCTTTTTTACTGCCTGGCTGTCACTCTGCATAGGAATGGAACTCGCCGAGGAGAACTACAGACTTTTCTTTCGGGGCCAGGGATCAGCGTCGCAATCGTCCTCGTTCATGCCCAGGTCGAGGACTTGAGGCACCTGCAGGAGCCCCAGGAGCTTTCTGAATGGCGTGTCTTGGCCACTCTTAGCACGCCTGCGAGTCCACCACTAGGCTCTCTTCAGGCTCTGTGGCCCCATCGCCATGCGTTTGCCTCAATTTTCATGCAGCCGGCCCAGAAGCACGTTTCCATTGAGGTCTTTTGGGATGCAGCTGTGACCTTCTCGCTCTGAGCCTGGAATTCTGAGCCCTGGACCGAATGACACGCAACAACTCCTGAGCACAGCCACACGGTCACACGGTGTCTGAATCGCAGCACCTCGCAGGGGTCCTAGGCTTCCACGTTGTCTTTCTCTGCTCGCTCGAGGCCTCTCCTCCCTCCCTCGCTCCCAGTCTTTCCCTTCCCCTGCTCTGTCCTGATGCTCCTCTTCCATCTCGTCGTAATTCAACTCCTGACAGGACTGGCAACAGCAGCCAAAACCAAACAACAAAGGCAAGAGTGTTCGAACTTCGAACTTGGACGGTAAGACGTCAGGTGCTCCGGGGAGACTGCCGCACTCGGCAGACACCCCAGATAAATGCAAGCGGGAGCAACCTTTTCTTCAATCGTCCCCCCCATGAAATCAAAGATCCAAGAAGACAGAGACCGACTCTGGGATCTAGACGCTGTGATAGTACATCAAACGACTCACCTTCTGCAGTAGACGATAGCAGATGTCAGACGCACCGACTTCAGCAAACAAGAACCTGCAAGCAGACGCTGGAAAATCATAGAACGCATGAAGGCATGACTTTCCAGGCTCAGAGTACAGAGGCCGGCAACGGCTGGACAAGCGAGGCTCATCCAGGCTCAACACAACGATATGCTGGCAGCACAGCCCAGAGGCATTGGCAAACAGGATACCAAGACGAGGATTTACTGCGGTATCAAGGCCAGGTGTTTTACTGCAATGTCATCAAGGCCATGTATTGCGAGCATGGCAGCATGTAGGGACAAGGCCAGCGGGACAACAACTCTGAGGAAGCAGGGCTAAAGGAATCATCAAGCTGCCGCGGCCGCATGCTGCCATGCTCAAGCGAACTTGAAGTGACATCTGAGCAGAAGATGACATGCCAGCGTAGGCCCCAAACTCCAAACAGTTAATCAGAGCACCACAGAGCGCCTAGCAGTCCAAGCTCTACTCCTCCCCAAACTATCCCTTTTGAGAGCACCACCGAGGCTCCCAAGACCCCACATGCACTAGGACGGGTGGCAACCTAAAGGGAGCGCGGAACTACGGCGATGTCCACTCAAAAACACGCAAATCAATGCATGCATATGTATATGTATGCGTATATGCGTATGAGCAGATTATACAAACACACATGCAGAGAGACATCCATGCCTAACCGATTGATCAAGTTCGGGCATGCCAATGTATTGCATGACCCCATGATCTTCGTGACTGCGGTGTTTCCGGGACTGTGTAAAGACTGCGATGTTAGTCGCCGCGGTGTGCCGGCCAGGTGCGCCTTGCGCTTCCCCTATCCCTTTCCCTGAACGTAGGAACCCGACAGTACTACCCACGCTGATTTGTACAAACCACACTCTGCACACAAACGGCACAAGTAGGCATTAGGTGCGAATGTGAGAAGAGGGAATAGTAATAATACTTATTTGGACCGTCCAGAATTTCTTGTACAATCACTCAACGTTTTCATTGCAAACGGAGCAGAAAATGCTACACACGAGAAGCTAACGCTTGCACAGCTTACACATGTATGACGAGGCCGGAGGCCTCAAGTCTAGTGCGGCATGCCGCTTCGTTGCACACTCTCGGTTCTCTTCTGCTTCTCTCACCCTAGACCTGGCGGAAAATCCCAGAAATCATACTTGAAGCGATCCATGATACTACGGAAACTCTGCTCGATTCACCCTTGCAGAAGAACAGCTGGTATGTGCCACCTTCATTTCCGTATTTACCAAGCTCGCAGTGGGTGGATCCGTGCCTCGGTGGTCTGGTACCCATGTCACAGTGTTGTGGCGGAACTGACTGATATCAATCAAGCATCAAACAAACCCAATTCAGGATCAAAGGTAGAGTCAGTCCCGGTATGCACATTTCTTGTGCGCTCTCATTGACCGCTCGAGGTGTATTGAGGCCAACGCCCAAATAGCATATCTGAAGCTTGCCTTTGCCATCCATCAGCACCACCATGCCTGCGTTCCATGCAGCTCGGCGGGCAAATGCAGAGAAGTCAAGCTGACAAACCGACTTGCACGCGACACGGTCACACTCGCCTCGCACGCCGCCAAGAGTGTCGACGCAAATTTGCGCCGGGACCTAACAGTCACAACATGCTCTCCAAGGTCCAGTTGTGGAAAATATTCGGCTTCGCATGTGAGTAGGTACGTCACAGCACGGCCAGCGATAGCCTGTGGGACACTGAGGGGCTGAACCATTCCCTGCAGTCGCGCGCACCATACAAGCTGCATCTCCTTCAGAACCAAGCAGTGACCTGATCTGCGAAGCAGAGCTGCCACGACCATGCAAAAGCTTGTTCACATCAGGATAAAACGACTTAAGCACCGCACGAGCAGTCAAATTGCTTGAAATTCCAATGTATCTCCAACGAGCAGTCAAATTGCTTGAAATTCCAATGTATCTCCAATAAAGGAGCTCGAAACAAAACACTTAGGGGCATCTGAACCCCCATGGAGCCACCCTTTCTGCCCTCAGGCATGTGCCGTCGAAAACAGCATGATGTCTCTCTCGTACCCTGGATTAGGGTGTAGTTTAGAGCAGCCTTCACGAGCTTAATGGAGAAAACCCACACTTTCAAACCGCGAATCCTGTCATGACGAACTGCTACAACAGTGGAAAACAATCATCATCGCTGATGAAAATTGTTCGTGCGGCTTCGAAAGCGGCGACTCGCGGCACCAATACAGCGGCATTTCTCACGTTGGCCCGAATGCACGCAGATTGATTTGGAACATCAAGGATGCACGGTGGTGCGTTTGTTTATCAGGTGTGTCGGCGCTCTTGTGTACACTGCGGCACTCCTGTGTCGGCTGTGGGTCTCTTCCATTCTCTGCTCTGGCGGTCGAAACTCCTGACTTCCCAAAACACTTAATCTTCTCAGGCTACGAGACAGTCCGTCTGTCAGCAGCTGAGTGTGTTACCAGTGCTTGTTCCCAGGATCAGATTGTGATTCGCCGAGGCCTTTGCGCACGCTCAGCATCAAGCTGAGGCTTGGCAGCATTCTTGCTACAAACATTACTTAACTTCCCTCCCTCTTGCACCTGTTATGAATTACCTGGAATCACTGCATCTCGCACGTGGTTGCTGCTCCGTGTCCCTGTGAGGCAGCGGCGTCTGGTGACTCTGGCGGCATCTTGTAGGCGAGGGAGGCAGCTGAGGCAAACGCGTGTCTGGATGAGTGCAGCAGAACATGCGGAATGCACAACTTCAGCGGCCTGCCCTTGCCAAGCCAGAATTGGTTTAGTCAAGACAACGTTTGGCATCAACTTGGCTCCAAGCTGATTCCATACTCGGCCAGACGCTTTTGGAGTCGGATGCCACCACTATCCTCGTCAAGCCAACTAGGACACATTGCTTGGGTGTCCGCATGTGGATGCAGTGTGTGGGCACTTCTCCAGCTTTTCCAGAGCACAGTCAGCTCACAGCCAACTCGGTCGCACGTCTCTCTGGGTCGCAATGGCGGCCACTCCTTGAGAGTGTAGATGGTTTGCTCGCCCACCACCAGAATCTCCTAGCATATTGGTACCACTTCCAAACTGTGCACGAGCCATCGATTAGATCTTCCTGCTGATTCGCGGAGAGAGATCGGCTAAAGCGCACCACCTCGATACTCCGAGCCTGATGCAACAGCACAGTGTCGATTCTGGCATGATCAAGCTTGGACTAACTTGGGGACATGTCTTCTGCGCTGCTAAGGCTTGTGCATGCTCACCAATGTTCGTAGACCAGTCGACCTTCACCGTCGATTCCATTACAAAGAACTCGAGAATCTTGTCTGCAACGCTTGAATGCGAAGAGCCGTGGAAAAGGAACTCTCGCAATGTAGAGCTAAAAGGCAACTTTGAGTGACCATGGGCACATGTTAAAAAAACTACATACACACACACTCTCTCTCTCTCACTCACTCACTCACTCACTCACACACACACACACACTGACTGATTCGGCCGAGAGTAGGAGTGCAGGAAGGGGAAGAGAGAGAGGCGGGAGAGAGGCACGTTGTCGTCGTCAAGTCGCGTCGTGAGGACGAGGTTCTTGTCCTGTATTGTCGTCAAATGCCACGTAGTAGGGATAATGGGTCCTGTCCGTGGCATTATAATGTGGGACAGGTTTCTGTCCCCGGAGCCAGACATAGAGAATGGCTGCCGCTGCCGCAGTCGAAGTGCGATGTCCGGGCAGGGCGTAAAACGTTCAAAATGCCAAGTAGTAGGGATTGGGTTCTGTCCCTGGCACATCGGGGATATGGTTTCCGTCCCCTTGCAGGTACGTTGCAGCACCTTGCTATCAGGCTCTTCGTTGGCCATTCCCTGATAGCAAGGCTGAATGGCCCCCTGCAAATGTCCACATGTGAAAAACAGAAGGAGTGACCCTCTGCTCCCATGCGCTAGGGAGGTTCACACACACACACACACACACAGCCCCGTCAGGGGCGTGTATTGAGAGAAGTTCAGAAAGAAAGAGACGAGAAAGAGAGGCCGATTACTTCCCGGCGGAAGCTGCAACCACTTGCATTAGACGACGGTTACTGCACCTGCACTCATGTCAGAAGCACATGCCCTTGCAGTCCCTGAGGAATAAAGAAGCGGTCGAATAGAGGACAGACTAGCGAGGTAGTCCTGTGCATTAGCGGCCAGTAACTGCACTAGACGCCAGTTACTGCACCTGCACTCATGTCAGACTCACATGCGAGCATCAGAGAGAGAAGGTAATCATAAGAAGCATCGGGAGATCTGAACGGTCTGAACGAAGGCTGAACATCCGGTCTATCACCGGTTTCCCTTTCGGAGGAACACCACGGCGCCATGACGGAAAGCCGCTGCTCAGGAGTCTCATGACCCACGATAGTCACACTGACTGATTCGGCCGAGAGTAGGAGTGCAGGAAGGGGAAGAGAGCGAGGCGGGAGAGAGGCACGTTGTCGTCGTCAAGTCGCGTCGTGAGGATGAGGTTCCTGTCCTCTATTGTCGTCAAATGCCACGTAGTAGGGATAATGGGTCCTGTCCCTGGCATTATAATGTGGGATAGGTTTCTGTCCCCGGAGCCAGACATAGAGAATGGCTGCCGCTGCCGCGGTCGAAGTGCGATGTCCGGGCAGAGCGTAAAACGTTCAAAATGCCAAGTAGTAGGGATTGGGTTCTGTCCCTGGCACATCGGGGATATGGTTTCCGTCCCCCTGCAGGTACGTTGCAGCACCTTGCTATCAGGCTCTTCGTTGGCCATTCCCTGATAGCAAGGCCGAATGGCCCCCTGCAAATGTCCACATGTGAAAAACAGAAGGAGTGACCCTCTGCTCCCATGTGCTAGGGAGGTTCACACACACACACACACGCACACGCACACGCACACGCACGCACGCACAGAGGCACGCATGCAGGCACACAACACACACCCGCACACACGCGGACGTGCACGTGTTGTATACAAAGTTCGCCCCGCTCTTCTCTGTGATCATCCTGAATGCTTTGCAGGCTTGAAGCTGGATAATCACAACTTGGTGGCTGACTACTGTACCCCTTCAGCCAAATCTGCTGCCATGCTTACTGTCTGCTACCGCATGAAACATCTGCCTGGACCTTCTTGCCAGGGGCGCCGTCTCCTTCAACTGATGTGTGTTGGAAAATCGGGCTCACACGGATCTGCTCTCGTGCGACAGAACAGACCTGCTGTTTGGTCAACGTTGTCTGCAGCAGCTGCCAGAACCTGTGTTACAGTATGCGACCCAGAGATGTGAAATGATGTGAAGCAGCTGCAATGTCTTTCTTGCGTTCTGGTCTGCCGCACCTGATACCGATAGGCCTCTATACACATTGCATCGGTGCCTTGGCTTGGCTCTGTGAGCTGCCATGACTCTGCCATGTCAGAAGGAAACGAACCAGAGTCGAGATTACCATGCGGACTAAGCCAGCTGCATATGACAAAGCTGTCGATCTTTGGCACATAGCATATGGGGCCGGGCACCCTGTGCTGGATTCGTCACTGACGTGCCAAAGCTCGGGCAGAACCGATCTGAAACAAAATCTGAGATCAAAGCAGAAAATTCGTTGTCAACATCCGGCTGAAGGCAAACGACTCCTGACACGGCGTGACCCCTTGCCTCCTGTCCCAAGAGCCGAGGGTCTTCTATTCGTTGCGTCCTGCTCGAAAAAGGACAGCACGCCATCCAACGACCTGGAATTGCATTCACAGAGAACTCCGCTGCAGGCCAAATCTGCTGCGCCTCGGAAGCTCGGATATGCGGCCACACATGCCCAAGTGCCAGGCTGGACACAGAAATAATCGCGATCTCTAACACCACCTTGGTGGGATGCGGATGGGTTGGGCTCCCGGACTGAAACTTAGTGTCACAGCGACGGGCTCGGCCGCACACCGAAACATCCGTAACACATGTTGAAGGCCGGCCTCCCACTGAGCACATGAGCGCACACACACACACACACACACACACACGCTCTAAAGACTTTAAGCCTTAATCAAGACTTCAGCTCCACTTCTGAAGTGCCTTGAAAGCTTGTGCTCATAGGCCAGAGCAATGGAGTAGTAGTTAACCGAGCCGCCAGACGAAACTGCCGACCTTAACGTTCAACCAATGGCAGACGCCTGCGATGTCCTGCACATCAATGGCCTCTACTTCACCCGTGCGAGCCGCCGGTGCGGCGCAAGCAACACAGAACTACATTTCCAAGAATGTCCTGCTCGCACTAAATGGGTCAGCTATGATATTTGCTTGCTTGACGGAGCACTGGACCCAGTCTCCTGACAATGGAACGGATGTTGAGGCCAACACACCATGTACACCGACAACTTCAGTGGGTGAAGCAAAGCCATGCAGATCTCTCGACCTGAGCAATGCTCTTTGACAGTCCAGTCCGGCATTCTCCCACCCCTCCTATGCACTCCTTCCAGAAGTCTTGGCTGGCTGCTGCCCTGGACAAATCTGCCTGCCTCAATCTGAAGGATCGGCGCCTGTGCAATGCAAAACCGCTTACACGCAAGAGCAAGATAGCCCTGTCGGATGTCGCTTGCCTCCATGTTGCTCTCGAGAATGAGGTCCTCGATTTTGTACTCCTTCTGCTTCGGATAGTACCTACGAAAACATAAAGCAAACGTGAGGCAAGCAGTATTCGGACTTGATGATGGAGGTGGGCAGTGCCACCCACTGGACATCTCTTGCATCCGCATAGTCGAAGCGCACATGCGGAGCATTCCCTGGTAGCTTCCAGTGATGATCTTGTTCGCGCCGCTTGGCCTTAGAAAGAAGCATCTGGCGATACATAGGTTGGCACAAGCAGGATTAAGGCGATGGTCGCGAGCCACGTCTACTTTGTGAACATTCGTATTAGGAGTCTCTTGGGCGACAGTGGCCACACAAAGCCGCGTGGCCAGTGGCACATTCATCCTCAGGAGCCGGGCTCATTGTCAATGTTGGCCAGGCACAAACAACCGGTGTCAAACCTCAGCAATCCAAATGCCGCTGTGCATGAAACCAGGAAAGACCGTGAGCTGGGACAGTTGCTCCTCATCTTCGCTAACTTGGGTGCTCCACCACTCCCGCGCCTGCGAAGCACAGCAAGACATACCAAAGTTTGCCCACATGACATCTGAGATGAGACTGAACTTGTATCCTCCGCGAAGCGGTAATCTCATTTCAGCTATGGCCGCAATTGTTCTGGCAGAAAAGTGGTACCAAGGACGCTGGATCGAGCAAACCCAAAAGTGTGTGTTTGTGTGTGTGTGTGTATGTGTATATATATATGTATATATGTACATGGTCGCTCCCCAGTTGACAGACCATGCCCTTTCAACTGAGTCGTAGTGCCTGGTCTGTCATCGGGGGGAGTCCGCACTCAGCCCTCAAAAACTCAACTCCAAAAATACGGAAATTTCCCAAATTCTCTCCTCTAACTTTCCGGATATCCGAAATTTCCAAAATTTCCAAAAAGTCCGCCCTTCTGTGTTGGAAAAACACTGTCCACTAGGTCGGTAAAGTTCGGAAATTTTGGAAATTTCGGAAATTTCCAAAAAATCCGCCCTTATGTGTTGGAAAAACCCTGTCCACTAGGTCGGGCGGTTTGAAAAGTTTGGAAATTTCGGAAGTTTTGAAAATCTTGGGAAGTTTTGGAGATTTGGAAAATTTTGGAATTGTTGAAACTTTTGGAATTGATTTTTATGAAGGCTGATTAGACCCATCCGATGACAGACCATACACTACGACTCACTTGCAAAGGCAAGGTCTGTCAATACTCATGCCAATATTTAGACGAATATCGACGTCCATATATATATATATATATATGTATTGGTACTCCTACGAATACTTTAAACTTTACAGCTACTAACACTGACATTGATCATTTATTGAATGCTCAAGCTAATACCAGCATTAATACAAGTCGAATATTACACTTTTACAACGCCAAATACGAACATGCATAATACAAATACTAACTTTGATTAATATTGCCACGAATATTCCTACGCATATCAATCGTCATATCCATATTGATATTATTGTATACAAATAACAATACCAATACACACCTGCCCAATACACACCTGCATATACTAACGTACATAAATATACATACCACTATATCAAAACACACATACATTAACTCATTCATGTATTCATCTGTTAGTATATTTATGTAATCAAGAGTAATACTCATAAAAACATTCCTGCGAGTACACATCATATTAGTACTAGTACTAACGCAAACACTATTACTAATGCTAATCACAGTCTTATTCAAACTAAAATCAATATTTATATGGGTATTGATGCTCCTACGCACACTAATACATATACTTTTGAGGTGTTGACAGTAATGAAATCACCAATACTACCACGAACATTGATAGTTTGTTTAATATTCAAGAGTATAGTATCATTATTAGCATTCACGCTTACATTAAGGCTAACACGACTGTGAATAATCCTAATACTAATATTAACATTCATAGTCCTACGAATATCAATAATCATCTTCATATTGATATGACTTATGAATATTAGTACCATTACTAATAGACACTTGCCTATACTAGTGTAACAACATACACACTGCTATCTTAAAAATACAGATGTATATTAATGCATTCATGTACTATGCTTTAGGATAAGCATATACCCATATACCAATGTAACAATATGCTACTTATTAATGTATGAGTCTTCTATACTAATGTGCAAATATACTAATATACGAATACTTTAATATGTAAGTAAACCGACATGACAAATTAGTATACTAATATGCCAACATACTGATATACTTAGAACTCATTAGACAATGCACGAGTACAGTGAATATATTGACTGGTATGCTAATATACTAATATACTAATACACCAGTATACTGATGTATTCATGCACCAGTTGTACTAATATAATGAATATACTAATATACAAGTATACAAATAGGTTACTGCTCGAATATTGATATATCTATCTGCTAATATACGAAACTATCAATATGCTAACATATCAAAACTAATTCTTATACTGATACTACTACTACTAGCACTTCTGCAAAAATTCACTCATATTAAAACCAGCAATAAGACTGATACTAATGCTAGCAGTAGTACAATTACAGGCATTGACATTGGACTAACACCAGTACTGACACGAACATGAGCACTAGCACTTATTTATATCTACTAATATTGATATTTATACTTACAGTAAACACTATTACTAATGGTAATACTCATCCTAATATCAATACTACCACGATACTATTGACTCATGTGCCGCGCTTCTGGTGCATGGGTCCTCAGTACATGGCATGTTAAACATATACATTGTATATCTACTGTCAAGGTTTTACTGTACAGATTATCGTCGTGTGTAGTGTGTTTAGATACAGTATCTCCCCCGCGTCCCCTGCCAAGAGTACTCTGTCGAAGGGCATGGTCTGTCAACGGGGGGTGGGTGAGATATGTATATATATATATATGTGTGTGTGTGTGGGTGTGTGCGTGTTTATCTGTTTATCGTTTTTACCTATATGTATATATCCAGATATGGTGAATGTTGAGCATGATATGTTGTAAAAAACACGAGACATCATATGATAAATAACACACTGTATAAAATGTATCACGTATTACGTGTCACGTGTTTTAAATTTTATATACTGTCGGTTATACATTATTGTATAGGATACATTACAGACCATACATCCTATACTACATGCAATACATAAAATATTGAACATATGCTGTACGCTGTAATATGTGGGCTGTAAGCTATTAATTTGTATTGCATATGCTGAGATATATAAACAGGTGTATTGTGTGCATAAGATTTTGCACAATACAATTAAGCCCCGTTCCAATTGCGGCCTTCCAACTTTCTGGCCGCAGTCATAGTATCATGCCTTTGACATGGCAAATCATCAATTTTGTATGGTACATCATATAGTTTATATGGTGGATCGTTGCATATTTTGTGATACTTGTATGTGCATGCATGTGTATATATATATATGTATGTGTGTGTATGTGTAGGTGTGTGTTTGCATTCGTATAACATGTTTTCAGGTATCTGTTGCAGATCACATATTCAAGCTGTATTTGCAGATCGCATAACCGACATCTTATACTGTATGTGGCATAGCTTACATGTTGTAGTATGTCGTGCATGTGATGTGTTCTATGCTGTGTGATATAGGCTACGTATTTCATAGTATGTGCTTCAGATTTAAATACTACCGCCTGGCTGTTGTATATTGCCTGCGCAATCAACACCTGTGATGTGCTACCTAATGTCTATTTTGTCTTGAACGGTACCGCATATACGGTGTGCGCCGTATGCTGGCCTGGATTCTACATCATCTCATATCAATCATATCATACCACCCTGTCTCATATTATATCCTGATGCACAAACATCTCTTTAGATTGTGTGCTATCATATCGTATCATATGGTATCATGTTTGAGACCATGCCATACTGTACTGTATCTTGTTGCACCGTAATGTACCACAATGTACCATAACATGCCAAATCATATGATGAAACATCATATGCCATGGAGTCACAGTAGATCATGCTATGTTGTATCACACTGTAATGTGTTGACCCTATGCTGTATTCTATGCAAACATATCATGTTGCTTCTTGCTACATACCACTTCATTACCTTATACCGTTATACCATATCAGATCAGATTATACCACCTATCATATTACATGAGATTATGTTATACTATACTACATTATGTCATAATATGCTACGCTGTATTTTACCATGTCACATTGCACTTCTTGTTTATTATGTTTGTTACATAATGTCATCATATCACATCACTGGATTCTGTCCATGGGCACATCGTACGAAATACACTGTACTATGCTGCGTAATGGTATTCTTTGCAAAATGTGTTGTATGTTGTTATCTTGTGGCATACGTTTATGATATCATAACATGCTATACAGCATTTACACACACATACATATATATATATATATATATACACGTATATATATATATGCTATCTTGTATCGGTACGATACTATAATATACTACACTACATTAATTATCCTATAGTATACTATGCTATACTATATGTTGTCGTAGCTCATGCTATATTATGATGTGCTGTCTGCCATGTCTGTATATGCATAATATGCAGATGTATCTGTACATGTGCGTGTAGAAATCTGCATGTATGTCTGGCAGCTTCAATGGGAGGGAGAGGGAACCCTTGTATCCGGAGACCCCCAAGTTTTACGAGAGGATATCAGGGTGTCCTTTTTTGCATATGCATCTGCCTCAACTCTCTAAGCTGCTGTTGTTCGGTGTGCCACCTCCAGCTGAACCCCTTTGGCCTGGGGTGTCCTGTAAGCGGCCGAGACTTGCAACGCAGATCATCCTAATATCCCGGTCAAGATGGTTCGGTCCATCGTCAAAGGTGTCACCATGTCCGGCACAAGGGAAACTTCCAACACTCTTTGTGCAGTGGTCATCAACTAGCGGCCAAAGAGCTCACGTGCGAGGGAGCCTCTTACCAAGTTCAGGGGCCACGCGAATGTCGCAACGCAAAACGGTACTGCGTGTGAACGCCGGGTAAACTAGCTTGACTCACGGCGAATCGACCAAGAAACCCTAGGACTACGTGCCCCGGGTAGGTACCGTTCCACCTCAGCCTGACTGGGCAGGCAAGCTAGGCTCTCAGAGACGGCAAACATGTTTCAATTAAGTACGAACAAAACATAGCGAAATCCGATAATGCATGATAATGCTGATGATGCTGCTCTCGGGCGAAGTCTTGCGCATGTCGAAGTTGGCTCTGAGTTAGCAGAGGTGCCCTCCTCTGAGACATAAAGCTGCTCCCTGAACCAGCCTAGCAACACAAGACAGCGTATCCGCCTGGAAAAGGCTCATCCACAGGCCATGCGCTTCACCTTCTGCCGTGCGACCCGAAGCCTCAGCCGGTTGGAATACAAAAACGGCAAAAGTAACCAACCACCGTCTGAATCCCTGAAGAGAAAATGGAATGTCATTTTGCCCGGCATTCCTCCTGCCTTTAGATGGCTTACTTGCAAGCGCAGGGCTGCAGAAAGCTTGAAAGCACTGTGAGGCTTACTGGTCTCGACAGCATTGGGGCCCTCGCAGTGGAAGAAGGCTCAAGATCTATGAGAGGAGCACAAACGGCAGCGGGGCGAGGCAGTGGCAACTAAATGAACAGACACCGTCTTCGGGCGAAGAGAGAGAAAGAACGCGAAATTCAGAGCCAACTTCCGGAGGCTGACGAACTGCTATACGTGGGCACAAAACGGATGCGCTGGCCTGGCATCCTGACTCTTCTTGCCTTGCACAAAGTCTATTGATGAAAACGTCCGAAATATGTTTCTTGACTTGACTGGCCTTGCTTTGTAGATGAGGAAGAACGAGATCTCGAGCCCGAGCATGAGTTCGAACGTGATCTGGATGGAGAAGCCTGCTGTGACTTATGATAATGAGTCAGCCGTTACCCTGCATTTGCCTGGCTGCTCGATCTGAGCCTCGATTTCCAGCGGTTCCTGCGCCTTCACGGCTCCATTCCTGGCTGGCTTGTCTTTGGAAAGAGCAGGCTTTGCTGTGACTGGGGCTGTCTGCGTTAAAACTACATCTAACGACCACGGGTGACCCCAAAGACTTGAATGCCCAGGCATGCATGATGGCTGGCCTCGTGGAAGCCACATGGACACGTTTAGCATGCTGGCAGCCATCCGTTGAAATCGCGTAGTGCTTTTTATACCCTGACCTCCGAAGCAGAGTAACAGCCCTGAAGCTGAGCAGTAAAATGCTTGAGATGGCTTGCAAAATCTGTCACGAGTCACGACCACACAACCCAAGCGCAAGCACAGGCCTTTCGACAGCCGTACTCAGGGGTGGCAAGGCTTTCGCAAGGTCAACTTTCGTGATTGTACAGCCGCTGGACGAAGCTGTGTGCCAGAGATGGTGTGGTGCGGTGGGTGTGCAGCAGTGGCTTGGAAAAGTGTTGTCATCACGCGCTGCCTTCATGGCTTCCTCCCCGCACGGCCACGACCCTGAGAAATAGTTTGCGGAAACATGCCCGGGAATCGCTGGTGCAGAGACTCGGGTGAACAGCTCACTGCTGTCTCCTGTCCTGGCGGTCGTCGAGACAATTCTTCCACTGACTATACGCAAACACGTGGCCTCACGACTAGCTGTGAATTCGACGACTCCATCTCCAGGCGGCATTGTATTTCCTGCACGAAACACAGCCCTGCAAGATATGAGCTGTTCTTAATGAATCTGGTGCCTGCGAGCCCGGCAGTGATGCAATCCATCTTTTCGGCCACTCCTGAATGCGTGCAGAATGCCGACTCGTTCGAAATCATGCTATCGGTACTCCAGCCTTCTCGGCGTTGACCTCGGCCGTTACCTGCAACCCAACCCGAGGGTAAAACATCCCACAGTGAACCGCGCCCGCCTGCCAAGAGCAAGTCTCCGCAGCAAACTGTAGAGACAGCTCACCTCCTGAGGTGTTATGCAAGAATAGGGGTGCAGGACTTGCAGGCATTTATGATTGGCATCTCAGCGTCCGAATCCGACTCGGAGGCTCCTTACCTTTCCCTTGGAGACCCAAGGGAAACTATGCAAAGAGTTGCGGGAAGCTCACAGCTTTGCTCCGTCCGATTCTGCATGAGGGTTCGGAGAGGCTTACAACAGCAGTCAGGAGCAGGCACAAACTCCAAATGAACACAAAAACGTCGATTCGAGCGTCTTATGCCGAGTTGTGTTCTACGGCCTGCTACTACTTGCAACTCAACCGACCTATCCAAATTGGGACTCGGATGTCCTCTAGTTGTATCACTGGTACCAGGTGTGACAGGCATGGCTGGGAGCCTCAACCACACTCTCAAGCTGACTCCGTACATGCGTGTCCTTGTAGGGAGATGCTGAGGTTTTTGCCCCCTCAGTCAGCTGCACATAAGTGGCATGTCGTCCACACGCAAAGCCCGAGCATGCAAGATCTTCGGTTGGGCCCCGAACCACTTTGCCATCTCCCGCACACAACACCGGATTGGCCGGAAGTGATCTCCTCAAGGCATGCTGCATTGGTTTGCGACAGGACTTCGAAAAAAAACCTGTAGCCATCTATAGCCTTCAGTGCAGCTGTGCACCCCTCCCAGCAGCTGTGACCTCCATGCGCTGCGGAGGTCGGAGAAGAAAGCAGCGGGGACGGTTTCCCAGCCATCACAATGCGGCGGAGCAAAGCTGTGCCCGCAATGAGTTCTGCTTGCAAGTTGCAAGTGGATGTTAGTCTCCGCACCGTCGTCGGCATAAACAAGTTCACGCACTGTCCTGCAATGCAACCGTGATCTGCTGCAGGCTTCCCATATCGGGCAGGTTCAGGAGACTCACTCGTCGGGCGTTTCTTGTCGAGCGTTTCGGCTGTTGTTTCTGTGTCGGCTGCATCATCAGCTACAGACGGCTCCATCACCAGTGACCTGTCCATCGATGCAGCACTTGCCGAAACCGCCGACGGTTCATGTGTTGCAGCCTACGATTAAACATGCTGGCTGCCTTTTTAAAGCCTGGAAAAGCAATGTCAGCAGAAGATTCTGTTTCCTTGCAGATGCAAGAAGGTTGCCTGCGGCCGAAGGCCTTGCCTTTGAAAGCCTTCTAGCTGAGATCTTCCCAGCTTTGCCTGAAGCGGCAATAGATCAAAAGATCTTTACCGAGCGAGGTGTGTTTCACTTGTAGCGCTCGATGTGCTTCTCAATCAATGCCTGGAGCCTCATTAGATCTTGGCCGATCTTGTGTGTCTCTCAAGGCCAAGCACTTACTTTCTTGTGCTGCGCCAGGGAACCATTGAGCCTCCACCTCGGGGAGGCCTTCCTGCCTCAGCGCAGCCAAGGCACGGCATTCACAGCACAAGATCTTGACTCTTGTTTCTCAGCATTGCGACACGCAGCCACTTAGCTACGCACAGAGACAAGCATGTTGTTCGGAAGTTGACTGAGTGCTACTCCACTTGCACTGCACTGCATGGCTCTCAGAAGGCAGCACTTTCACGCTCACCAGGCCCTCTTCCAGCCTGCAAACTGCGATGTGTTGACTGTGTCCTGGGACCGTAAGCCCGAGAAGCCTGCTTGCTTCCAAGGAGCACCACATCCTTGCCTCCAGTGGACCCATTGGTCGAAACAAAGCACTGGAGATCGGCCTGCTTCGGACTCCGTTGGCACTTTTGCACATTACCCAGGTGGAATCCGAGCCGCTGGCTGTTCGGCCTTCTTCGAGAACCTTGCCATCTACTCGGCCTTGGCATGGACACATGTGGCCACGGGCATCGACAGCTCTCACCGCTTCGAGAAGGATGACATCCAGGCACAACTTTCACAGGGCGCTACTGGATCTGAAAGGCTTCACAGCAGGTAGATCACGTCAGATGATCTCTCAGCCTACTACGGCAATGGCCCGAATTCATGCTTCATGATATGTACAGGGTTGGCCATTCCTGCACTCTCAGAATAACCTGAAATGTCCTGCAGTTGCCAAGGGGCAAGGTTGTCTTGGATGACCTATCCGAAGTAATGCCGCATGTCTTGGTGTCCGGACAACTGGAGAAGCTGCCTCGTCATGTTACGCTGCACGTCTGCATCGCTCCCCAAGTCCGCAGCTGTCAGGTGAGAAATTCGACGATCTAGGATCTTATCGGTCCTCTTGTCTGAAAAAGTCGCCACAGATCTCAGAGGAACCCTTGAAGCACACAGACATGCACCGTAGCAGAGGTTTGTGGATGCACAGCTTGCTATGCTCAGGTCCCAGTTCAAAGACAAGGCCGCTTCTGAAGACGTGCCAATTATCAAGGCATCTGGAAGCGATTGCACAGTCTCGCGGTCGCCACAGTCGCCGTCGAAGATGCGCAGGGTGCCATCGATGCGGATGCTGAAGAGCATGAGTTTGTCACGAGCACCATAAGCCCGCGAGGAGCGGCGTTTCAGCGGGAAGCCGAAGAAGGCACCGAAGACTTCGCCAGAGAGACTTTCACACGCTAACAGCTGCATCCTCCCTAATGCTGCAGTTTGTCGTAGCAGGCTCGCCAAGGAATTCCCGTGGTACCGTGACGAGAAGGAGAGACATGCAGTTTGCAAATTGAATCCTTTTATGTGCAAGTGCATGCTCAGACTGTGAAGGCCAAGACGAAGCTTCTCGGCAGCGCGCATATCGAAGTGGACGAACTTGTTGAACTGCCGAGGAAGCAAAAGGCTTGGAACAACTACTTGCCGGACAATGAGGTTTGTAATCGCCAGCAGGCAGGCAAGCAGGCAGGCAGGCACGCACGCAGGGAGGCAGGTTTGTGAATTATTTACTTAGTTAGGTTAGGTTGGATTGAGGTTTCGCTTTAAGTTAAGCCGGTCGGAGGTGCTTAGGTTTTAGATCAGGCCTAGTTTAATAAGTTTGGTTTACATAGGAGTTAGGTTAGGTCAGGTTACGTTACGCTATGTATCGTTAAGTTAGCTCAGATTAGATCATTTTGGCAGGTAAACAGGCACGCAGGGATGGCCTGATGTCTTGCGCCGCAACTGCAGAAGCCAGGAACAAGTCTCCGTGCATGGCAGACGTTGCAGAAACGGAGAGTTGCCACAGCCACTTTGTCTAGGACTGTGCAGCCGCCCAAGTCCGTAAACTCCTCGACCTTGTCTCGTACGACCAACGGGAAGAGCTTGACGTAGAAGTGCTGCCAGAAGCTGTCAGCTCGGAGGGTTGCTCGCAGTTGTTTGCAGCTTCGCATGATGTCATGGATGGTCGGAAGACTCAGAAACTCAGAGAGAACATGAAGCACTTCCGATGGAAAATCTGCAAGGGGCACGCCGAAAGCAATCACTGCATCATCTTGTTGTGGGAACAGGACGTTGCGAACATCTTCCACCTTGCAGGGCATGTAACTAATCACATTAGCGGACACATGGAGACAAAGTCATTCTGTCTGCATCCAGGGATGCTGGACTCTGCTCCCCACCTGACTTCGCTTCAGCTTGAGTACCATGGTCAAGGGTTCGCAGCAGCACATGTGCCGGAGCAGCTTTGTGGTCCAATTAGTGCGGCTGAGCTCGAGGTGCGAAGAGCCCCAGCGAAGCCGAAGGTGGCTCAGCGGAAACACGGTTGGTGGCTTGTGATAAGCAACGTAGACGCGAAGATCCTCCGATCCGATCGCGAGGATACATCTCCTCCTCTCCCACAAAGCAGAGACTGAAAAGCGGCATCCAGGAGTGCGAGCTTCTGCGATCCGCTGAAGGTCTGGGCCGGCTCTGGCTCGCTCACGGCTGGCCGTCGCTACCTCTCTGGCACGGCCCTGAAGGGGGCCCTGAGGGTCTTGGTCTTGACCTTTGGGGTGAAGGCTGCCAGACAAGCCCTTCGGCTCGGGCATTGCACACATGTTCGTCGCGTAGCTTCTCAGTCTCAACTTGACCCTGCTTAGTGTAATCAAGTCTATTCCGCCCTTTGAATCGATAAACGTTACAGCGGACAGCGTAGGTCAAACCAGTAGTTGCCCTCAAGTGCTCGCACTGCCTGAGCAAGCAAACGGCAATTGGAACAGAAACGTTGCTCCAAAGTGTCTTCCGTCATCCGAAATCAAGCTGCTCGCCTCTCACTCCGATACAGAATCAGCACCACTGACTAGGTCAGACGCCGAATGTCCACCGGTCACCATCAATTTTTAGTTCTGTTGCTCCCCGTAGAAGAGGGCCGAAGGTTTCCTGCACGGCACGAAGTAGCTGCTACAGCTGTTCTCGCGAAGCTACTGGCAAACGCTGAAGTCATAACCGGTCGAGCGGAAAATTGCGACATGGCGAAACCCCTCGGAACGCATCGGTTAGGTCAACGTCAATCAAGTCATGACCGACCCACTCAAGATGTTCAAACCAAGCGAAAAACAGAAGCCCCACCCGGCCCCAAACCCTAACTGGCCCTAACTACCGAACACACGCTCAGCCAAGCACAGAAGCCGCCACCCCACCACCCAAGCGCCAAAAACAGTGGCGGTATCCCATCATCCCCCAAATCCCAACTGCACACACCTCCATACATGCGCACGAAGCAAGCGAAAATCAGTCGCCGCATCCCCCAAACCCGTCCAAACCCTATCTGCACGCGCCAGCGAAGACTTTTAACCCTAAGCCCAAGCCCTCTTAACCCTATACCCCAGAGACCCTTTTAATTTCAAGTTTTTCCTTTTAACCCTAATCCCTAAATCCCGGTCCGTCTTAACCCAACCCGGACCCTTTTAACCTTAAACCTTACACCGCAAACCCCTCCTAACCCTAAACCCCAAATGCCTGACCCTCTTCACCACCCTCTTAACCCTAAACCTGTAACCTTTGATGAACCCCCAATCCTCTTTAACCCTAAACCCTTAAACCCCAGACCTTTGTAACCGTTTTGACCCAACCCGGACCTTCTTCACCCTAAACCCCAAACCCCACATGCGCTCAAAGCCAGCGGAAAAAAACACGCACCACCGGATCAGGGTGAAAGCCGGCGACAGTGACAATAGCCCACATCCCCCAAGCGCCAATTACACGGCCCACCGAACATACGCTCAAAGCCAGCGACAACTACACATGCCACCGAACATACATTCAAAGCTCGCGACCAAACACATCTGCCGCATCCCCCGAAACCTCAACCAGACACACCACCGAACACACGACAAAAACGGTAGCCACATCCCCCAAGCCCCAATTACATCAATTACACGCACCGTCGAACATACGCTCAAACCAAGTGACAGCTACATGCACCACCGAACACAATCCCCAAATCGAGCGACCAAATCAGTAATCAGTAGCCGCATCCCCCCAATCCCAACTTCAGGCAATACCGAACACATGCTTAAAGCAAGCGACGAAAACAGTAGCCATGTCTCCCACACTCGACTACACACACCGAGAACGCAGCAGATCCCACACAAGAAAAGCCAGGTTTCAAGCAACGCCACCTGGACACGAACAACTCCCTAACATACAACTGGCGCTGCCTTGCATGAAATTCGAAACCCCACCCAGGCACAAGATCCTGCCATCCCACCAAAGTACTGCCGCCCACGGAAGCAAAAAGCAACGACTTTTAGTAGCTGGGGGGGGGTGCGGTGCAGTTGCAACCCGCTCAGACATGTGTGCACCAGGGGTGTACAGCTTGCGGGGTGGGGGGGGGGACCCCCTACGTTGCATTTCTAGCAGCTGTTACGTGGCCGAAACCCCCCCCTCGAGTTACATTGTCAATGCTCCTTACGTATGCTTCTGATTCGGCAAGCGTTTGGCCAACCCCCCTCGAATTACATATCGAACTCCCCCCTTTGTTACATTTCATTGGGTGTTGCATGGATGCTGTATGCTATGCCAGACCCCAGTGCGGATATGGCTGAAACCTGTGTGCGCATGCAATAAATACAGGTTCTCCGTTTGCTAGCAAATACAAGCAATAGAAAACGACGGGTAACAAGTAACAACATATTTCAAGAATATTGAAAGCTTTGCAGAATGATCACCACTCTTTGAGTAATTTACCAACCTGGAAGGATTCCTGGCCAACTTATAACAATTCTTATCTCGTGCTGCGTAATCTCATGTTTCAACATGGGCAGTTTTTCCAAGTCAATTTCACCGCGCAACCTTATTTCGTATCCGCGTCTTCTTTCTGCCTCGCAGCGAGTCTGAGGCAGGTCGGGGGTGGAGGGAGGATGGGGGCAGCGAAGGGAGCGGGAAAACGAGATAGGTGGCTGCCACTTCTTCGTTTTGGCCTTTCGAGAGTTCCTTCCAAGCTCGGGTCTGAGGAGGGGAGGGAGGGGGAGGTGAGGGAAGGGTTGATTCGTTGTTGACTTCGCAAGCTCCGGTCTGGTGGAGGGCGGGGGATATGGGGGGCGAGTGGGGCGAAGCGCGTTTGGGACTCTGTGGACTACTCGAACACATGCTCTTGCTGGGACTTGTCTTGATGCTGACGGGGCTATCGGCGATCTGCTTGCTGGGACTGCCTTTGTCGGACTTGCTCCTGGTCGAGCTGCTGGACTCAGCAACCTCACAGTCGTTCTGCAATTGCGCAGGAACCAATGCCAGCTGTGCCCTCTCCTGATTCTGAACGAGCTCCACGTGATTTTTGCATTTCTCTGCATGTTCCTGCAGCGTCCGGTCGTAGACATGTTTCGTGACTTTGTAGCTGCTTTCGCCAAATTTGCTGCCACCACGCCTTGCATCCGATGAAGCGCAAATGCTGCCGCTCAGGAATGTCTCCTCACCTTTGTACACGAGTCTTAGCCAACTGTATCGGTCTTTGTTCTGCTTGTATTATTCTTCCTCCGTCTCGACCAAATTCATGGCACTCTGATCCCCGCGAGTGCCCTCACACTTCCCCGCGCAACCAAATTCAAATTTGCGCTATCTTAATCCTCAACCCACGAACCTCACATGCTCTGGGCAAGCCTTGACTGCGAACCACGACTGTGCAGTGATGTCTGTGGTCGCAAACCCCTGCTGGCTACCGATCTGAGCCTAAGCCGCTAAATCACCCGACAGCAAAGGTTCAAAATGCAACGGCGCCACTGAACGCCCCTGTCTGAAACGGACAACCCCCAAAACCCAAGATAAGATGCTTTGGTATTTAGGTTAGCCTCAAAGCCATAAGTAAAACCCACAGCGGAAAGCCAACAAGACCCTAAACGTCGAAACCCCCTAAAACTACCTCCCCCTGAAGCCCAATTTCGGGCTAAACAACCCCAAACAGCCTGTTCCCTTAGACGCCTCGGTGCTCTTGAACTGCTTCATTCGTCCCGTAACCGGCTCGAGGTCAGAGCTGGGTGTGTTGAACTGCCACCTCTTGGGCTTGTGGAGGTTAGGGTCTTGGGGGATCTTCATAGGGTTTAGGGGCTTAGGGGTCTAGGGTTTGGGGTTGAGGTTTTAGCGCCCAGGCTTCTGTGGGCTCACAAGCGGTGTAATGGTGTGGTGGTGCTTGTGCCCCGGTTGCCACCCCGTCCCTGCCAGGACGTGGGCGGGGAACCGAGTTTTCCCGTTTCGGGCAGAAGGTGGTAGTGCAGGTGGTGGTCGGTGGTGGTGGTGTTTTCTCCTCTCATGTCCAAAGACTTGGGGGAAGGAGCTTCCGTGCCTGCAAGTTTTAGGGCTACCATTTTAGAATCCTTGTCATAAGGTTGGTTCCTACTATTTGGGCTCTCTCTTTTATTCAGCATTGCTTTTTCTACACAGAAAGCTTGCATTGATGCGCACACACACACGTACGTGGTATCGCTGCTTGGAATTGCTTACACTATCACGAATGACAATCGCTGGCAAATTTAAGTTTGCATGGTTGTTAAAGCAAAATCACGCATGCCAGCCCCGAATTACACCCCAGTTCTGGGGCCTCCGATACAGCTTCCTAAAGGGTCTTGGGGCCTCTGATACGGCTTCCTACAAAATTTTGGGGCCTCCGATAAAAAACAGCTGCGGCAATTAGGGTTTCAATGTCAGTATGAAAAACAATGCATGAATAAGCTGTCAAAACGGCTGGTACCTACGGACATCATAGCTCAACGGAAAAAGCCACGCTCCTATCGTGCTGGAGAAACTTCGCGGGTTCAACTCCCACTGTCATCCTGCATGTAGTTTAGTATCATGATCCTAGTACTTCAGGGTCACTGTATACCTTAAGATCATGACGACACTACGGTGGCTGACTAAGTTAAGATAATGGTCAATGTTGGCAGGGTTTGCACCTACCTCTAAAGTAAAACCTGAAGAAATCGCCTTAAAGTAGTCCCTATTTGAGTACATTTGGGGCCAACATGTATACCGTTTCGGCGCCATCACACCCACCACAACATGCAAGCGAGTGTGAGTTATAGCAGGGTTGTACGTACACCGTATACAACCATTCAGAGTACCAATGCCTTCCATTCGGCTACTTGGCAATCTTCGGGCCTGCTTTCAAGTAGCCAATTGCAACGACCACCTGAGAGCATTCGAAGTATTTGGATTTCAAGGGTCGCCGCCCCGCAAACTTTGCACAGGTCCAGAGCTGATAGGAAGGTTTCCTTTGAGATTCATGGGTAATTTTAAATGGGGTATAACTCGGTATAACTACGTCGAACCTCCAAGTAGGGGTCAAGGCTGGCTTAAGTTTATGGGTCTGGATGGGGACGACCTACTTTCTGCATGGAAGCGTCTACGTAACTGGTAGAGTAGCATTTGCTGTAGCTCACTAGCTTAGCGAACCGAACCTGCAAATCCTGAATCCTCAAACCCTTATCATCCTTACTTGGACAGGTCTTTTACAGATGGGGCAAGGCGTGTGCTGCTATGAAGGTTTCATGAGCCCCAAACCCAGACAGGCTACGCCCCACAAAAAATGGACCCTAAACCCTAACCCCTACACCCTAAATCCTAAACCCTAAACCCTTAAACCCTAAACCCTGAGCCCGTGATCGTATTGTCGGAAACCTCTGTCTTCCCATGGCACCTGAGAGGATGTGCATCGCGAGGGTGGTGCCGCCAACTCCAATCTTTCTCCGGGTTCACCACCTGCTGGGGGATTCTGAGGAACCTTAAAGCGATCCTTAAAACGTGCCTTAAGGGATCCTTTCAAGGATCTTTAAGCGTTTCTAAGGGTAATTTAAAGGGCCCTCTGTGGCAGTTTCCGGTTCAAGGCTCTGTAAGACCGGCATCGAACTTCCCCTAAGGTCCATGTGCTCAGTCACATAGTACATACTTCGGTCCTGAATCATCTATATCTGGAGTGCCCTTTTTGAAATTGGTTACACGGACGCTTAGGGTTCGTGTTTAGGTCATAGGGTACCCTATACCCGAAAACCTAAACCCCCAAACCTCAACTAATCCGGAAGAGTATGAAGCATGGGCCCATGTGGGTGTACCGGGTTGAATTCCTTGGGCTTGAAGGGTTCAGCGATTCAGCGATTGGGCTTGAGTGTTTACTCCATGCGGCGCTCTGGGTGCTGTAGCTTACAGAAACAGTGCTGGGTTGCGTAACTATGTAATGCAAGTGAGCAAGCAAGGAATCAAGCAAGTAGATAAAGTTGGGATTGCCTGTTTCATAGAACTCTTGATGATCCTAAGCTTGCTGTATGCAATGCTCCTGAAGGAGGGGTGCTGGCTGAACTTGAACCCTAAGACTTACCCTGAAATCTCCGTCCTCCCAGCACGGACTGCGGGGCTCGAGAATCGACTTGGAAGCTTTGAACTGATTCGGCTGATTCGGTTTTGACTGCGCCACGGATCGTCCCAGGTGGCGAAGGAGCACATTTTCTTGTGGCATGATTGTGACCCTGCGCGCGTGTTGCACGCAAAAGCTTGCATCTCTGAAGTAGTCCGTCAGCAAAGCTTCTGCAATGTGCTGCAAAGCTTCTAGGGCTCCGGTAGACATCTTCAGCTGTTCCACTTCCAGCAGAGTTCATTGCTTCTTCAGCACATCCAGGACCAGGTTGCCAAAGGCGGCCTGCGGTACCAACAGATCTGTGGAAGCTTGAAGCTTGGCAATGCCACTGCAGTTCTAGCAGCAGTGGCAACAGGTACACCGTATCCAAATGGCATAGTGTAGCTTCAAGTTACAACAAACGGTGGCCTAGAGACCTAGACTTGCTTCGGTGGGGGCTGCACAAGCCACCTATAGGCATCAACTTAGCTGTTCGAACAGCTTCCTGGCGGAAATTCAGGAATAAGATGTGGCAGAACCCCTACCCCCGGCTCTATGGCTTTATTATATTGCGCACAACGATGGCCTGCTCCGAACCGTCCTGCTGCTCTGGTGCGAAAACACGGTTCCAGCTCCTGTTTTCAATCTCTGATAACCCTATGAGCTTTGGCAGAGGTTTCGGCTTCTGTTTGCACCCCGAGCCCCGACAACATAAACTTAAAGAGGCTGTGGGGTTAAGAATTTAGGATATACGGTTGACGAACTTTTGTAAAGCAAGAGCGACCATGAACTTAACTTACGAAACATTTTACGCCCTCGAGCTTCACGGACAAAACCTAAACCCGAACTCCTCAACCCTAAGCTTTACCCGTCGAGAGCACTTGGAGGTTCATGGGTAATTATAATTTATAAGTGGGATAACTGTAGTTAATACCGAAATTAGGGGACTTATGAATCCTACTGAACTGCCCACAAACCCCCAAGCACAACCCCAAACCCCTAAACCGTTGTAGATCCTTCATCCTGTGCCGCCCCGCCTTCGACGAGGTGCGGCGGATTTCCGTCGGGCCAAGCAGAAGTTTAGAGGGTTCGGGGCTTATTGAATTGGGTTCAACGGTTTGGGTTTAGGGCTTAGGGAAGGGGACTCCGGGTTGGGCTTCGAGGGTTTTAAATAACAGGCTAAGCTCCTGAGCAAGGGGCTGGAGGGAGTCTCTAACGCTTTGTAGGTTTCAGAGTCTTTGGAGCTTTCCATTGGTATCCAGCTCCCCCAACACTTCCATGTTACTTACCCTTTGATTTCGGAAAACCCTTGTAATTCTTGGAGCTAACCCGCATTGAGTGTGGGGTTATTTGTTTACGGGATTCTATAGGGTTTTTTGGTGTTCTTTCGGCTTTAGGTTGCCAGGTTTGGAATTAGGACTTCAGGCCTTGAGGCTTGGGTATACCTGACTGGGGAATGTAAGCCTGCACGAGAACCTTGACAGATCCCTTACTTAGAAAGGGCCCTTTTGGGCCGGGGCTGGAGGGGTGTGGGGCTGGGGTGCAAAAAACAGCCCATCTGCCAGATTGATTGTGCGGGTGTGGGTGGTTGATACGCTGGGTGCATGTGGGTGGGGGTGGGGGCAGCAGTACAGGTTCCTTTTTGGTTGTAGAGGGATTAAAAAGGCCCAAAATTAGCCAACAAAGGTTCAAGGTTACCTACTCTACCCTGTACTATTAGGTAAGGCTTCAGAAGGGCTCGACACGAAAGTTCATGGCTGGACAACCACCCCCACCTACTCGCCGCCAGGATTTCGCGATTTCGAGCTCACAATTGAAAGTCAATTAGGAGCGTTAGGGGGGGCTAGGATTGTATGAGCTTTAGTAGAGCCAAAGATTACAGCTGTACTAATCAAACCGAAGAGACCAGAGTTTTAGGGTTTCAGGGTTTAGGGCTCAGGGCAGAGTTTAGAGCTATAGGGCTTTGGGGCTTTAGGGTTTAAAGCTTTGCTGTTTAGGGTGGGGATGTCGGCTCTACAGCCCCGCCGCGTGATGGGCGGTTTTTGTGTCGGGCTCATTATTACTCAGCCCCGAAACCCCCCCTAATATTAAATTAGAATCCCTGAAATCAAAGTTTATATTAGGGGGAGGGGGGGCATGCGATGTTAGGGGGAAGGGATTACTCTTGCAGAAAATCCAAGGCGCATGCCGGGATTCGAAACAACACAAGTTTCCATCGAAGGCATCTGCCAAACAAAAGGCTACGGCTGACTAAGCTTTACGTTGGTTCATCCCTGGAATTGTTACGATGAATGCTCTGGAAAAGCCAAAAACCCTACCTGCGGCAGTTAGGGCGCTTTCGGCAGGTGGTTGGTGCAGACCAAAGAATCACTGTCTGTCCTCGTCGAAGTCTCGTTGAAGTCTCGAACTCCAGCTCCATGGCCAAGTCGATAAAGAACCGCAGAGAACCACGAACCGCAGCCGCTAACTGCAAAAACCAAGAAACGCTAAGAACCGCCCGAATCGCACGGAAACGCCTTTTAAGAACAGAAACGAACCGAATGGACTGGTAGAATCAAGCCCCAAAATTAAAATTAAACCCCAAGCCCTAACCCTGAAGTCTAATCGAGGCGGTCGATTCTTAAGCCTTTGTTTCCTACGTACTAAAGCCCTGAGCGAAAGGTTGGCCCGAGTATTATTTCACACCTCGCGCCGCGCGAATTTAAGGCTATTTCGGAAACTTACCTCGCAGGGCTCGCTGGGCTCGCTGTAATTTGCCCAGAGGATTCGGATGGTCAGAGCAATTTGTTCGTGGTGTTCGGTTTTCGGATTGGAGAGGGGTTGGTAAAGATCGGGCTACCTGGGAATGGTGGTTTCTTGTTGGTTTGTTTTTTGATTTTGGTTTGCCTTCTGTTCCCCCGGCAAAGCAGCTCCAACAGCAAAAACTAAAACAAATCCAAAACAACAACAAAACCTAAATAACGAAAAACGCTCCTCCGCGTTTGCTCCGATTGGAGTTCGACGACGAAGAGCAAAGAACAAGTACAGAATTAATCGGAAATTAGAAAATATATGAATAGTATGAAGGAATAGACAGAGAATGAGCAAAAAAAAGAGAGAGACAGAGAGAGACGGAAAGCGAGACAGCTGCAAAACCCTCTCTCTGACCCAGAAACCCTAAACCCCAAACCCCCGCAAACCGAGATACAGAGAGAGAGAGAGAGAGAGAGAGACTATTTGTCGTTCTCGGCTTCGTTAGACATTACAAGCCATTAACATGTCGCCTGCTCCAACAAAAACACACACACACACCACCGGATCAGGGTGAAAGCCAGCGACAGAGACAACTGCCCACATCGCCCAACCCCCAATTACACCGTCCACCGAACATACGCTCAAAGCCAGCGACAAGTACGCATGCCACCGAACATACGTTCAAATCTAGCGACCAAACACATTGGCCGCATCCCCCGAAACCCCAACCAGACACACCACCGAACACACGTTCAAGCGACAAAAACTGTACTTGTCTTCGACTCCACAAGCAAACTGCATGGCAAAACTGGGAAGTGGGAACCTGCTGGTACCTGTGGCTTGCAGATACCCGCATAAAGGTGAGCCAGGGTACTGTTCTCAACCCCAGCTTGGTCGTGAGCCAAGTCTGTCAGAATACTTAGCCATCGCTTGTACTCGGGCTGCTTTTGCACCAAGTCCCCGAAGGTCACTGATCCAAAAAGATCAGTGCAGGACAGAATTGCGAGCATGCAGGTGATTTGAAAGGGTTTCGAGTGGCGTCCTTCAGCATTCCAGCGCCTGCCGTCCAGAAGGGAAGACTGAAGAGTGCCTGGCATGTTGCATGCTGCATGTCCCTTCTCGAGTGCCAGAGATGCAAAGCAGCTCTGGAAGCAGAGCGACCAATGCAGGCACGGGGTTACCATAAACGAGGCACCAGCGGCAATCACCCCTGCTGTCCAAACCGCAGTGAAAGTCGTCCAGGCTATTCCGAAAGAGCCTCTAGAGCTCACACCGGCTGTTGGCAAAGCACGCACCGCAGCATGGGCTCGAACTAAGACACGTGCCCAATGAAACTCGTGATTCCCATCTAGCAGGTGGAAGCAACACCTGCATCAAAGACAACTTTGCAAGTGAAATCGATGTTTCACGATGAGCAAGTCCCCACTTGCTCGCGAGTGAACAGGGCACCCTCAGCTCCTCTCCGCGTCTGTCCACAGTTATTAGAGACCTGATCACACACACACACACACAGACACTCACACACAATACACCAGTCAGGCCTGCAATCTTCAGGAGCTCTGGACAAGAGCGACACTGAACGCTGCAAGCTGCACTCCGGGTTCTGCACCCACGCGGAGGCTCCAAAGTAACCTGCGCCAACGGGAGAATCTCATGAAGGTATTGCAAAGCTACCAGGGACTTCTGGAATCCAACTTCCCTGAACCGCTCTCTGACTCTCCGAAATTGCGAAGCGAGCTCCGATCCGCGGGGCCCCACCTGGCTCTTGACGACGCTCGTCGCCTGGCCTGGGCCTGGGCCTAGTGGTGAAAGTGAGGCCTGTGGAGACAGAGGACTGCATTGCATCTACCCACCTCTGCAATGACACAGCCTCTGTCGGCTGCCGCAGGAAACTCAAGGCCTGGCAGGATCGCGCGCGCGCGCGCGCACCAGGCAGCAGAAACTTTGAGCATGGTATTTCAGGGAACCTCCGCAGCGGAGCTGAACCGATCTTCGGGCGCGGGTTCCAGCCTGGTGGTGCTGGCACATGCTGCGCTTTCGGCCAATCTCATAGGTGCATGCGAGGCTCATGTTGAATGCCGAGGCCTAAGCAGTCCTTCCAGCAACTTCAAAAACCAGCGCTCCTGCAAACGTATGCACTCCGACACCACGTCCCAGGCAACGCATCCTAGCAATCCAACAAATCCTTTCCAGTGCAGAGGCGGCCCTGTGGAAGCTGCAACAGCCAAAGTTCACCGCATTGAGAAACTATACCTAAATACTCCAAGACCTGTACCCCACGCTGAAGCATGAACCTGTTTCTCCCACACTGTGCCCACGAAGGCTTGGCGAAATTTCACCTGGCAGCACTTAGCACGAGAATCTAATTTAGTTCCTGAGACAAGACGGATGAGACTACATGACCATCTGTAATTGTGCCTTGAGGCGTTCTTGCGGCAGCGTCCCAGGCCTTGTCTTCACGGGTTCACAGGGTCGCCTAAATCGCCTTGCAACGACGCAGCATATATATATATATATACACATGTATTATCAGATTGAAAGAACTGTGTTCCGAATAACCAAGCTGGTTCTGTTTCAGATTCAAAGAACCAAGCGGCTCCAACCCCGTCGCAGCATACAACAGAGTCGCGCCAACACCTGCAGCGATTGCTGTGGAAGGCGTGACGGCGACAATCCGCCAGGATTCCACAAACCGAGGTGCAAGCTGTAGAGGTCGGACCTAGTGCCAGTTGTTGAACCGTTGCCGGTATCAACTTCATGGGGTTTAGGCGACTATAGCACTGGGATGCACTGGGACATACAAGCATAGCCATTGAGTGGCCATGGACAAAACTGAGGGGAGTGCTTCGGGGTAAAGACCCGACCAAAAGACTCTGGTGCCATGTATCCGAAGGTCCCTTCCGCAGTTCTGGCAGCAAGGAGTCTTGGTCACGTGCAAGTGTGCAGAATGTGCCCTTGGCCCGGCTGTCCTGGTTCCTGATCCAAGAACAGCAGATCCGAAGTCGACCAGGTACGTGCGCCAGCTGCCGAGCGTCGCTCTCTCCACGCAGGGATGTGCAGGGCCAGGCATGAGCAGGCCGCCAAGCAGGTGCCTTGTGCGCATATCATCCGATGCCTGCAGAGGCCAAGGTCTGATCATGTCCAGCTGCTAGCCAGCTTCGTGCAGTCACCCTCATTTTCCATCGGGCTTCCGCTTTCGCTCTTCGTACCCAGATGATGCACTGTCTCCAGCTGACATTGGCATCCAGATCAAGAAAGGGAAAGCTGCCAGGACCTTACAAGTTCCGGAGTTTAAGTTGAAACTGTTTCTCGAAAAAGCTGTGCTGAACAATCCTCTCGCGTGGGTTCGAGTCTCAGAGCTGAGGTGCATCGCATGCACCCTTCTCGAAGGCGTGCATGGCATCCTCGCGATACTCGTGGAAATGCTACAATGTAGGCGCCTAGACTCTGGAAGTAATCGAGCGCACTTGTAACTTGCCACTGGTGAGCTCCAAGCGCAGTCATGCCATCAGTTAATTCGACATTTGTCCGCACCCCATCATCCTATTTCCTGCTTTGCTTATGCTGCCTGCTCGCATTCTGGCATGTTGACAGATGTGCACGAACACTCTTCTGAGTAATATCGCGAATACACACAAGCTTTCTCTAAGCTGGGAGGTGCATAGTATCGCGACTTGTTGGAAATGACAAGCTACACAGCCTCGCCAAAGAGCAAATGCTCCCACCAAACGAACAGGCGCTGCTGAGAAACTGAGAACAACTGTGCGGGAGGTGTCTAGAATCAAGAAAATTGTGACATTGGAATGTATAGAACACAAGTGACAATACAGGCTTCTTTTCAGCACACTCGGTAATTACTGCCGCAATGGCACATGCGAGTACAAGACAGTAAAACAGAGGGAGAGCGAAGAGAGAGAGAGAGAGAGAGACAGAGACAGAGACAGATGCACGTATGTGTGCGCAAGCGAATGCGTACACGCACACACCCACACAACAGAAAACAAACAAGCAAACCAACAAACAATTCTTTTGCACGCGCTCACACACACACACACATGCACGCTCGCATGGACGCATTACAGACAGAACCAGTCTTGCAACATCAAAACTCTGGTGTGCACCTTTGACGCATGTCAAGGCATGTAACTTTGGGTATGGAAGATAGCCTTTTCAACTGGCCCCCCTAAGGTAACCAGAGACTTGGGTCTTTCTATGTCTTTCTCATTGCATTCATGGAGTGATCAGGGCAATCGGTGGCAGGCATTCATTTCAGTCTTCACTGAATGCACGGATCCGATCCTAGCTCGGATGTCAAAGACGACTACCGTTCGATATGACATTGAAGGCCATCGCTTCTGTCTGCTGTCGTGTTGCAGCGGGTGAATTGCGGCAGATTGCCGGATGTCTGCCGGATGTCACATTGGGCTGACCTCTGTTGTATGTGGACGTGTCGCTACGACTCCACTATCCGGCCGCACACCGACTCTCCGAACGGGAAGCCTGGAAACCTGTCATCAGCTCCCCGCCCAAATCCACATGCGGATCCCAAGACCTGCGGAGTTCGCACATCCTTGGAATCATGCAAGCCCTCGCCCCTTTCCGCCCATGCTGGATGATGGCACTGTCAATCCGCAGAAGAAGAAGGCATGCAAACTCGAAGGATTCGTGAGGTGAGTGCTACCCGCCGCAGGATTTCTTTACTCTTGCGATCCATGTGGGAGTCCTTCGGAGTACAGACAATCGGATCCTCGTGCATGTTAAAGCCTGAGTTTCGGACTTCATCATTGCTGAGCATGCGCATGCTATGCTGAACTTCGAGTAGGTGAGCAGGGGCCTTTGATCAACTTGCGCCAAGTAGCTAGTATTGATGAGGCTATGCATGCCGGTCTTTGCCTCCTCAAGCTGGGAGAAGCGTTCGACAACATGCCAAGCGTGCTGTTACTGTGTTGTTTCTATTCTTCCCAAGCAGCGTAGTGCACCAAAACGTGATAAGCTAGTCCGTCACGTTCGTCCACGACTTGCGGCCTCACCTGCTGATGCTTAAGAGGCTGCTCAGTGCTACTCCATAATTGTGCTAAGCAAGCTGAGCTGCTGTGTTATCCACATGCACGACTGCAGGGCACATTTTCTTCAACTCCGGCGTGGCTTCATAACCTCGAACTCACGGGTGCGGCTGAACGCCACGTTATCATGAAGAGGTGCCCATAGACATTGCCATCCCCTAAGAGCCGCGCACATCGTCATATGACGCCCGGCTTCTAGGTCCTCACAGACCGTCGTGAACCCTGAAGCAAGCTCGAACGAAATACTACAATCACAAACTTATTCCATTATCTCGAAGTCTGCTACCAGTAGCGAGGAAGGCTCGGTTGGGGGGGCCTTAACCCCACACACTGCGCAGTCCTCGATAGGAAAGTCCGAATACGCTTGCCCAGCAAAACTTCTTAACGTCATAGGGGCAAATGGCATGTAGTCCGTCCGCCCCAAGCGTGCATTCCTGGGAAAGCGTGAAATGGTGCGTCATTTGCCAAGAAGCATAACAGTCAGCTTGACATGTTTGCAACCCAGTGTCAAGTCCGAGTTGATGGCGGGGTCTGTTGCAGAAGCCAGCAAAGAGCGATGCCCAAGAGCTCTCGGGCCAAACTCCATGGCACCCTCGTACAGCCCCACGACCTCGCGACCCGAGCCAGGCCAAGCCGAACCGCAAAGTCAATCTAAAAATCTCTCTGCAAGCGAATTCATCTCAAGGCTCGCGCTTTGCCCTTTGCCAGATAAGCCGCCACCTCCTCTGCAAAGTCTTCTAAATTTATTATCTCCGACCCACCTGGGATGCGAGACTTTGGGCATCATCGGTTGATAGCACAAACCGGTGGCCAGTAGCACCCTTTGTGCACCTCCTGCCCTGAAATGGCAATCAAGACACTGAAGGCGGACACAGGCCGCAGAATGCCACCAAGCCTTGATGCTGCTGGGCTGCTGGGGGGGCTACACACCACCCACATGTGACCACCTCCGACAGAGTTCGAGCACTCTTTCTTCGGGTTCGATCAAACCTTCGCGGCGAAGATGCAAATTGGCAAGGCTTCGACTCAATATTCGTAGTGGGATGGAAATCCAAATGACAAGATGAGTCTTCATCATTTCATTTCGAAGATGACATGACATGACATGACATGACATGCCACCGGATCAATGCCGAACTGCAAACAAATCCATGCAACTTCACAAGTCCCTGTTTCCGGCGGGCAGCTGAAAACTCCTACTGCCTCCGGTGCAAGCTTAGCCAGGGTTCTATATCTGGTCCTCTCTTGTCGGCAGGCTCTTCCAGATACGGGACAATCTTCTGAAAGGCTGGCGTCTGGGCCAATCGAAAGGATGCACTGACAAGGGTGGGGGGGTCTCTCATGTCATGCAACATGCTCCCGCTCTCAAACCCATTTGCATGCGAACCCGCTGGGCAGACTAAATGAGCAGCCCTCCTTCTCTGGCCTCTCTTTCCTGCCTTGGCAACCTCTGCTCCCACCCACGCGTGCGAATCAGGCATTGTTTTCAGCTGCCGTGCATATAACCACCTATGCTTTGAACTTGCTTTGCCGACCAACCTAGTCTCCTAGTCTGGCAGCCATCGGACCGCTAGGATCAGCCAAGTCTCTCTGTGGAGAAATCGGGTCCCAGGAAAACACTGCCTTTCCTTGGACGGGCACTGCTTCAACCGCAAAGTCTTGTCTTCTGTTGCAGATGCTACCGGACTACCGGATAGACGACCAGGATAGCGGTTGCGACACGATGCGGCCAAGAGTCGGGCAGGACACCTGCTGGCCTGCGTCGGAAGCTGCCAAAGCTGCAGCTCCAAAACAGAGCCCTCCATCCCCCATGTTGGGATAGACGGAGACCTCTCCAATCGCAACAGCAGAACATGGCAAGCAATGGTGTTGTGTTGTTGGTGCAGCATGTTGCAGCCCTACCAGTCCCTGCTCCCTTCGCCTGGGTCACATCCTGGAAACGCTGCCGCAGCCGCAGGTTCAGCCGCACATTGGCGAAGACACCACCAGCAACGCAGATGTACCGCTTGACGAAGTTGTTCAACCGTAAGTAATCCAGCAGAAGATCCTCTGTGAATGTTTGCAAACCTGCGGCGACATCCTTCGGGTGGTGCTGCTGCAGCTCCTGGTAAAGAGCGAAAGTCCGAAGGTCTCGCCTTTCAGCTGCTGAGCCCTCCAAGCTGGCCAGAAACAGCATGAAATTCTGCGTCTCCTCTACTTGCCAGAAAACTCTGATCCTCCAGAGGCCTCCATCTTCTACCAGCCCCATCACTTTCTCGAACAGACGCCGCGTACGACTGCCGTCCCCGTGAGCAGCTAAGCCTGCACCCACGAAAGCTTGATGACAGGTCATGCTGCGTGATGCTGATGTGCGGTGTACACAGAGAGTCACGGTAGCTGGCATTGTGCTGACCTTTCAAACTTGAGTGTAATTTGTCTCGAATGGACCTGCGTCAGCGAAGTTGACCTGTGCAACGGCTGTCATCCAGCCCTAGATTACCGTCAGTCGTTGCTGTTGGCCGTCAACTTGGCACTCACCAACCCGGTCTGTGCGTCACTTTTTCTGTAAAATGGAATGGGGCTCTCTCTCTTTGGATAGTCAGCATTCTGTTTAAACGACTGTATCTGCATGCTGGAACAAAGTCAGACTTTCATCACCACCTTCAAAACAGACCTTCATCGAAGCGAAGCAAACCCTGTCTCCGTGCCTGTCAGCTTGCCCTCGTGACGGAAAGCTTTGAAACCCAGGGCAGCAGTCACAAAGGCCCAGAGCATACCAAGGCTGTCAAACATGGAAGTCACGTCAAGGACGGTGGGTTTCCCCTGAAATTTCACAATCTTGCCAGATGCGTAGTCTCCACGCCCATCCAAAGTAACACAACAGCAATCATAGCAATCGGCTGTCAGGCGCGCTGGCCAGGCAAAGAAAGCGGCGGCAGCATGACAGCTGTGGTGATCATACATTCGTAAGCGAGCTTCAGGGATTCCCAGGGCTTGTAAGCCTGACCGAAGCCGCGCTTCCACGTTCAAATCTACATTGCGAAATTTCTCGGCCATCCAGCGCATCTGCTTTTGAACCTCCACCGGCTCCGCCGCAAGCCGTTTTGTCAAGTCATCTCCATCGAACAGCCAGCCATGCGCGACGATGCTGATATCATCTGGGGCGATATTTTGCGACTGCAAGCAGTATTCGATCGACCGCTTCGGGAAGCATCCATCATGCTTGCGACGACTGAAGCGCTCCTCGTTGGCAGCGCACATCAGCGCACCATCACGAAGCAGACATGCTCCAGAATCATGCGGTCCTGAAGTGAGGCCCAGGATCCAAGCCATCCCATCCCAGGTCCCTTCAATACGCTGTCTGAGAATGGCTGCAGCATGCCTGCGGAGACTGTGCAACAAGGACAGGCGTCACGGTACCGAATCGCCAGGGCCTCCAGCAAGATATTCTGGGGCTTGATGTCTCTGTGCACCTTCAAGATGTATCAGATATACGCACGACGGCTCCTGAGTCCCAGGGGACCCTTGCCTGATGCCCTAAACCTGCCTTCGGCCTGCACCTACACGATGGAGGTAGAATGAGTAACCAGCAGAAACTATCAAAGACTGCCTCCTAACGGTGCAGCATCTTGCTTTCGACTCACACCCCAAGCATGCTGGCGCACAATCGGCGGGGCGAAGCTGGCCAGGTGGACACATACCTCCAAACAAATTGCTGATTTGGACGTGATGTCCCACCTGAAGTAATTGGCACACACCCTTGAATCCAAACTGCTGCACCTCCAGAAGGGTCTCTGCCAGCAACTTGACATTGTCCACTGTTGCGACCTGCTAGTCTCCCGAGCTGGTTCGCTTCGGAGATTGAGGAAGTTGTGAGCTGACCACTGCAAACATGAGCTCCCGAGTTTGAAATTGACGAGGTCTCGTTAGCACCCCGACTCTACGAAGGCCAGCTGGCAGAAACAGAACTGGTACCCGGCAGGTGGCACTGAGTCCAGGTCCCAACGCCCAGTGCGAAGCTCTTCTTCAAGTGTGTTGCCGTTGACAATATTGCACACCAGGCCTTGAGCAAGACAGCGTTGCAGGGATGTTTGTTTGCTGTTGTCATCTCTGTCTGTCTGCCGGGTAGGTCCTGCGACCCAGTCCACACCCCTTCCCAAAGCTCAGCCGAACATTAGGAGTCTCGGAATGGAAAGGAAGTTGCACAGATGTGAAGGCCCTGCTCCAACGGCGAAAGCAAACTTAAACCACCCGGCGTCACATCTTGGCAAGCACGCTCCTCAAAACAGGTTCTGCTCCCGGTCTCCCAAGCGAAAACCTCACTGACTTCTCATGACTTTCTGTCAAGCTGCCGAAGTCTTGACCATTGGGACGGTCTCTAACCACGCTGCCATAGTATGAGGGGACTGCAGGATGCCGCAGCCTTTCCCGAAGAACATCTGAAAATCCCACACTGTCTTAGAGTCGTAGAGCTTGCATGTAACCTCTGCAAGACCGACGATTCGCGCTCAAATTTGTCCAAAGTGGTCCAACCCTCCTGCTCAGGGCCAAGCTGAGGCGCCTTGCTTGCCAGACCATGCGACAACCCCGTCCTCCAGCTTGACGAGTTTCAGGGCCACCTTCTGCCCTTTCGACAAGTCCGGCACCTGTTCAGTGAGACTGCGACGCCAGTAAGACTCCGTATATGCCGTTTGCATAACCCAACAGTGCTGAGGCTTTGCCGGCGGAATACCGTGGGATGTCACAGCAAATGTTCTGCACAGTGCTGCTCGCCTCGCACCGCTCACTGACGGTGGCCTTAATCAGCATGCATGCTGTCAGCTGCCATATCTGTGATGAAGCTTCCACGCGGGTTCTACGGTGTCTGAGAAATCCAGCCTTCCACGTCGTGCCGAATGAGCCAGCACCTAACTTCTCCTCACGAAGAGCACCACGTTTCACAACGAAGGCAGCCTTCATACAACTGTCTGCCATGAGCCTGTTGTCATTGTAGAGGAGGCCGACCCACAGCGAAACAAGCACGGCTCCTCCAGCAGCAAGCCCTCGACCTGACGGCAAGGTCTCAGTGGGTGCACTTGCAAGCGTGTCTCGGTCCGTGTGTGTATATGTATACTATATGTCTATATGTAGGTTCTGGGATCGAGCGGCCTAGTAGCAGGCTGGCATTGCTCCCGACCCCGTGTGCCGACAGCGCAATAAAGTCATTGCGCTCCGCCGCCTACTGCAAGATGCTGCTCGGGAGCAGCAGACGTTCCCCTCCTTTGCGGCGACGACCTTGGTGACAAAGGAATCGGGACCCCCGACCCGGCGCCACGAGGACAGCCCGAGTTAGGCCCTAACACGGGCAGTATGGCGAAACATATCCAAAAACGATCAACCGAGTCAGGCGGACCGAGACGCGGCTGAGGAAGCTGGAAACAGAGGTGGCAGAGAAGGAAAGAATGGGAAAGTTTCCAGTTCCACATAGCCGCGTGTGGCAAGTTTCAGGAGAAGCATGGACAAGCTCCAGAAGGAGCGCGAGGAGCAGCGAATTGCTCCAGAGACGGCGATCGAAGAGTTGATCCTCGTCAAGCCAATCGGGAGTATGGTTGCAGCGGGCGAGGAAGATGTCAACGGCCAAGGGTATGCCCACTTACGCCCTTTGGATGTGGAGTTGGCAACACCCAGGTCACCGACCACAAGCAAGGAGACCCACCGGAGATCTGTGCCAACAACGATCCCTAAATGATCTCCCCGACAATTACAAGCCTGCTGCCGCCCACGCCGGACACCAAGACTTGTGTGAAGCCGCGAACGGGACAGAGAGCTCCAGTAAAGCGTTTGAGTAGAAGTCCGGCGCCCTCGAACTCCGCTGGTTTTAATCTCAAAAGATTGTTGTTTTTGTCTGCTGCCGTGGCTAACTCCGGCTTTATAAGTTAGAGCTGCCAGTCTGCAGCATAAGACCGTGGAAATGTCAATGTAACCGAGCCAGCCACTTGTGGAGAGCCTCGAGCCCAGAAAATATTCGAATATTACACGTGTGTTTCGGACATAGTTTCCATTCGTGGCACCACTACCTCTGATCTCGATGCAGTGTTGACGCAGAATCCCTTTTAGGACTTGAAAGTCAAAGTGGAAAAGTCGCCGACCAGCCACAACATCATTACACCCCAAAAATGCTAAACCCAGCTTTCGTGTTCTGACGAAGTTTAACTGCCGCGAGCAACACTTGCTTAATCACGTTTGCATGAGCATCTGAGCGCTTGCGAGCCAGCGGTTTGAGCACAGACGAGTCGGCTTCCTCACTTTGACTTTCCTGTTCGCTGTAAGTTCTTTATTACAGCAGGGTGGATTGAGATGATTAAATGAGACGACCTGTGAGTTTTCGTCTCGTTTCTTCATCAGACAAAGCTACGCGTCGCTCAACCAATGCTACTGTGTCCCTCTTGATGCAAAGCGCGGAAAAATAATTCTGGAATCTACAATGTCAAACCGAAGACTTAAGACCCGTAAGCCTCGAAACACCTCAGACCTCAAGCTTAAAGCCCTAAATGCTAAACTGCTAAGCCCCTAAAGCCGCAAAAAAGCCCTCATGCCGTGCAAAACTTGTAAACATTGGAACCCAGGAGGTTGTCGATCTTCACCGTTTCGTTGTCTTTTGAGGACTTCTGTGGTACGACAGAGGATTGGGACAACTTTGCTCAACTGGGAGTTCGGCCGTTGTCTGACACTAAAGGCCCTACAACCCGAAACCCTAAACCCTAAAAACCCTGCAATACAAATACTAACGCTAATGGTAATGCTAATGCTAATGACCCTAAAGCCGTCAACCGGGCGCGCCTAACCCTAAACCCCACAACCCCAACAACCTAACCCTTTAACCCTAAACCGTAAGATCCCAGACCCTAAACATCCTAAACCTTGTAATACTGATACGGATACTAATACTGATACCAACGCTCATACTACTGTAATACTAACAATAGTTACTAACTACAAACCCTAAAACCTAACCCTAAACCCGTCAACCGCGTGCGCCGGGCACGCGTAACCCTAAACCCTAAGCCGTAAAACCCAACAACCTCAGCCCCAAACCCTAATTAAACGTAAACCGCGAAACCCTAAACCCCAAAAATCCACAAACCCGACAATATTGATAGAAAAATTGAATTTAACTACATTTTACCTACTATCCACCAACATCTACAAACAACCACTAAACCCGTAAACCGTACGCGCCGGGTGTGCGTAATCCTAAACAATAAAGGCCCAACAGCCTAACCCTGCAATACTAATAGTTGTACTAACACTAATAGTCATACTAATGCTTCTGCTAGCTATAACAACTACCAGCTACAGACCCTAAACCCTAGCCCTAAAGCCGTCAACCGCCCTCGCCGGGCGCGCCTTACCCTAAACCCCACAACCCTAACAACCTAACCCTTAAACCCTAAACCGTAAGATCCCAGACCCTAAACCTAAACATCATAAACCTCGCAATACTGATACGGATACTAACACTGATACCAATGCTCATACTACTGTAATACTAACAACAGTTACTAACTACAAACCTCTACCCTAACCCTAAACCCGTCAACCGCGTGCGCCGGGCACGCGTAACCCTAAACCCCAAGCCGTACAACCCAACAACCTCAGCCCCAAACCCTAAACGTAAACCGCGAAACCCTAAACCCTAAAAAGCCCTAAACCCGACAATATTGATAGAAGAATTGAATTTAACATAATTTAACTACATTTTACCTATCTACAAACATCTACAAACAACCACTAAACCCATAAACCATACGCGCCGGGTGCGCGTAATCCTAAACAATAAAGGCCCAACAGCCTAACCCTGCAATACTAATACTTGTACTAACGCTAATAGTCATACTACCCGTCAAAAGCATGCGCCGAGCGCCTAACCCTAAACCCCTAAACCTTAAACCCTAAACCGTAAAACCCCCAACCCTAAACATCCTAAACCCGTAATACTAATACGGATACTTACTAATACCAATGCTAATACTCATACTGACAATAATTTCTAACTACGGACCCGAAACCCTAACCCCAAACCCGTCCACCGCCCGCGCCGGGCAAGTGTGACCTATCCCCTAAACCATAACACCCAACAACCTCAACCCCAAACCCCAAACGTAAACCGCGAAACCCTAAACCCAAAAAAAACCTAAACCCTACAGTATTAATAGAAAAACTGAATTTAACCACTATCTGCAAACAACCACTAAACCCGTAAACCGCATGCGCCGGGCGCGCGTAATTTAAAACAGTAAAGCCCCAACAGCCTAAACCCTAAACCGTGAAACCCCAACCCTAAGAACCCTAAACTCCATAAATGGTTCGGATGGTGCAAGTGGTGCAAGCGGTGCTTGATGACAAGATTGCAAAATATACCCACCCCCACCCAAGTGCGCATACTACCAAGATTGCAAGATTGCAAAATGAGCAACCTTACGTGCAACCTTGCCTCCGAACCCGGAGAGCAAAATAACAAAATTAACAAAATCTTGGCCATTTGGAGACCCCCCCAAGATTGACAAGATGTGCAAGATTAGCAAAATCTTGCTCCCAAACAGCGTGCTTCGTTTCCCAGCAAAAAATGCAATAATGTAGTAGTAGTAGTAGTAGTAGTAGTAGTAGTAATAATAGTAGTAGTAGTAGTAGTAGTAGTAGGAAAAGTAGTAAAAGTAAGAATAGTAGCATTATAGTAACAGTGATATTAATAACAATCGCAATAGTGATACTACTAGTAATAACAATAGCAATCACAATAATGGGCAATAGTGATAGTGAAAGTGAAAGTGACCGGGATAGTGATAGTCAAAGTGATAATAATAGTAATTCTAGTGGTAATAGTAACGGTAATGGTAATAGAAATCGTAATCGTAAGAGTAACAGTAAGAGTAATAGCAATAGCGATAGCAATAGCAATCATATGAGTAATGGTCATGGTAATGGGAGTAAGAGTCATAGTTATAGTTCTAACTGTATATATATTTATACACACCAATATTATTAGATATTGTTACTAAAATGACATCAGTATTAACAGTGATATATATATATATATATATATATATATATATATATATAGTACTAGTAATACTACTAGTATACTCAAAAGTATTATACTACAATTACAATAATAATGAATATGAATACGGATACTACTGTTACTAATATCACTCTTAGTATTTATATGTGACAACACACTATATATATATGTGTATATATACATATACAATACACATATACATATACGTATTTACATATATGCATACCAACATATATACATAGATACAAAAAAACCATATATACATATCTACATATGAGCGTTGATCAATATTCTTGTTTCTCGCGGAATATTGCTTTCCTTTCGCGGGACTTTCGCCCTCACTTTCGCGCGACATGTTTGAGGTAGTAGTAGAAGTAGTAACAGTAGCAGTAGTAGTAGTTGTTGTTGTAGTAGTAGTAAGGGTAGCCGTAGTAGCAGTAGTGGTAGTAGTAGGAGTAGTAGTCGTAGTAGCAGTGGCAGTAGCAGAAGTGGTGGTAGCGGTAGTAGTAGAAGAAGTGATGGTAGTAGGAGTAGCAGTAGCAGTAGCCAGGCTGCAAAAGCCGACTCCAAGTCGTGGGCCATGGCGTGTGCCATGGCCTTCAAACGACGGGGCTTCTTTCGCGGCGTCTTTCGCGCAGCCTTATCGGATCTTTCGCGCTGAATCTACTATGATTTCACAAGAATATATATATATATATATATTCTGACGTTGATGTTGCGTGTACGTCGGAAAGACCAGTCCTTGAAGCGCAAAAGCCTGAATGAAAGGCACGACCATGCCGAACTCCCACACCACCTCCCACACTTTGTGGACTGGCAGCCGGCCGGTCTAGCTTTGAGTAAATTACGGTATGTCATAGCATGGCCGGACAGCGAGTTTGAGATCTGTATGCCTACGGACTGGTACAGCATATACCATACAAGTCCTATGGGACAAAATCTATTACGCAACAACTTTCGCGGATTTTTGCTTTCCTTTCGCGGACCCATCGCGCATCTTTCGCGGACACCTAGTTTAAACGTTAAAAGCCGTTTTATATAAATCCCACACAAGGACCTTTAGATCAATGCTCATATATATATATATACATATATATATATGCTTTCATTATTAATAACGTTAATATATTGATATCTTATGAACGTGATATTGCCATGAATACTAATATTAATATCAAGCATGCGAAAAAAACTGCCAAAGATGCAAAAATAATAATGGCGACAAAAACGGTCCCTCCGCAAGACAAGAAGGCCACTCGCGTCGCGCATTCATTGGTCGCCGGAAACAGCCACTACTGCTCTCTTTTTGTAAAACACATGCAATCCCCGGAACAGTTCATAATCAGTGATGGGCTTCCACCTGTCCGACCCGACTGGCCTCGTCTCCAGCACCAGCCGCGCGACCCACCAAAGATTGCAGGCGAGGCTGCCTTCGCCCAGGACAGAAAAATCGTCTTAGGGCGATCAGAGGACATTAGCAGGCCTTGGTCGGGCTGCGACAAATCGCGCACAGACCTGGCGCAGGTACACAGAGGTGCACAGACGTTCCCGCCGACGCGAGCCCCACAGGTGAAGATTAGCCGTCCAAGTGACGCGCTTGTCCACAGAGGCACCTGCCATTGAAAAGCATTCGGCTCAAATTGCATCCAATCCTCAGCCCTGATGCTGTACTCACAATCCAAAGAGGACACGGAATAAGCACCTGTCTCTGCGAAGCCACAAGGCCTGTCTGAGCTGAACTGTCTGAAGACACGGAACTTGTGATGGAACACAGCAGTTGAATGCGGTCTTGTTTGCGGCTGGCCTGCACTGCCAAATCAACAATGCCAATACACATGCCTGCAGCTGAAGTCGATTCCGAACTTGCACAAGAATGCCCAAGGTCTCTTGCTATCCGCTTAGAACAACTATTGCTTTATTTTTTTTTTAAAGTGCACTGACACTCCTTTTCTGAAGCGCCTGCCACATCGGGGCTTACACTCAGTACAACTATTGCTTTAACCTTCCAAGATCTCTGCCGCACGCCGTCCAGGCACTCGGTTGATGTGGCAGCCAGGCATGGCTCATTATCCGAACCGGCAGTTCACCATGCACAGGATGCAACTTGCACTGCTCGAATCTGCTTGAAGTTCCTGCAGGTTCTCAAAGTCAGTTCAATGCGCTCTGGGAGGAATAGACCAGGCAGATGCAAATGTCGGGCTTTTGTCATCTTGGGCCAAAGCCCTTGGAAGACTCGCGAATGTAAGCGAGGAACATGAAATCAATCGAAACAGAGCAACTGCCACCTTTTTGTTGCGAGAACAAGCGTTGTGAGTCTCGGACTCCCACATCCTGGGTCTTCGGGTCTTCTGGCTTGCAGGAGCATGTGTGCTTGGGAAAATCATTCCATGATTCGTCAATGACTCAATTGGACTCTCTGTTCAGTGCCTTCACGGATCACGAGTCACTGATGAAGCATTGGTGCATATCAGCTACAACATGTACAACATATGCACAAGAAAGGCTCCAAAGCGCTTCGGTCGATATGCTGTCAGCCACAGCAAATATCTCAGATCCGACCATCAGGTCAAGCCAGGTAAAGAGTCGGAGATTCCTGCGTTCGAGTTCCCCAAACTGAGGCTTTCGCAGAGCAATGCATCGATTAGCACGACAACTCCGGAAGAATCAAAGCAGTGCAGGCTCCAGTGCTTTGCAGATCAATCTTCAACAACAGTGAGCCCGGTCCTCTCCCACGAGCTTCATCACACGATTCAACCTGCAGCTATGAAGAGCGTCATGGCTTCACGTGCAACAAATCCAAAGTCAATCAACTCCCGTCTGATGCAGCTTGCATGATGACTGGTTGCACCGGATGATTCAGGCAATGAGGTCTCCACAGCTCGTCCCGTGGCACGGAACAGAACTTGCTCCAGACCTCTGCGGTGAGCGCGGCAAAAGTGCATAGGTACGGTAGTACACCGAATGTCGGAACGAATATCCATTCGATCAGACATGCAAGTCCTCAGACACTGACATCATCGGGTGGATCGGGGCCAATCACCAGGCGGCCGAGCCTTGGAATGCAGGGCGCTGGCGGGGCTCGGCCTGGGAAGCGCGGTTGTCGTGTTTTGAGACCCACACGCCAGGCTGGCAGGACCTCGCAGCCTTGGCCAGGCCTGAAGAGAATTGGCCCGCATCAGGCATTTTCAGGCCCTAGGCCCTAAACCCTTCACCCGTCACAATGGAGGAGAAGGGTCAGCCCCAACCCCCCAGCCAACGACCCACTCCGTTTGAAGTCTCGCGAAATGCTTCACTCATTCTGGAGCCTCCTGATCGGAGCTGTCAACCCACCGAGCAGCGGCAGCGCCCGCAACAGCTGGAAGGGCAGCAGGAGCTAGCAAGGATGGCACATACCTCCAGGATCAGGCGCAGCCCTTCCTTGAAAACGTTTTCTCCCTCCTAGCTAATTATGAAATTATCCCCATCTTCGTGGTACCGCTGATCATGCTTTTCTTAAATCTGCGGCGATGCCCCATGACGACCTTGGCAAAGAGGCCAAATAGTCGCGGTAGTCCCGTGTCAAGCCATGTCTCCGAGCCCCATTGCGCAGAAGCCGCCAGTATCTTAAAGACGGCGGCCTGACCTGAGGCATTTGTGTCTGCGACTCGAAGTCGCCGTCCACCAAGGCATAAGCGGTCTCGCGCTGGGACGTTGAATACATCGACACCTTTCAGCAGAGCACTCATGCAGCCGTGCCTGTCACCTGCTCCTAAATTGTCGCAGGCAGTAGCAGTAGCAACGATTAGCTCGAGGGAACTCAAGACAAGACAAGGCAGCTTTCGAAGGTGTGCAAACTGATTGCCTCGATGCAGGCATCATGTCCAGTAAGTCACGTGAAACTGCTGAAACTCTTGTATTCGCAGAGAACACATGCGCACATGCGTGGATGTGAGAAAACTCGCAATCAACAAATCACAGGAGCCATGAAAGAAGGCTATGCAAAAAAATCAGTTTCCGCACCGGGCAAATAAACTGGCGCATTCTCTGCCATCAACCTTGCACGCACTGGTGTCGAAAGCTTGCTGTCGTCGTTTGTCGAGTGTGCCGAGCCACCCGGAGCTTCCCGTTTTGTGCGGCAACGCAGAACCCTGCAGGCATGTACTTGCAAATGGACGTGCCAGCCGAATGGCCCCTTCTCACATGTCCGGCATGCCAACAAAAACGAAACCAACGTGAGTCGAAATCATCATGTTGAACCTGTAGAGTCTGTTGAGTAGTGACCATGTCACAGCAGCAGCAGCATGTTTCGTGAGCACATGCTATCTATTGGTCTATTGCCATCGTACACATTGGCAACGCACCCTTGAACAGAGAGTCGGCCATGAACCGTGCCAGGTCCGGTTCGACGACAGAATACTCACTCCAGCACCATTCTCCATCCCCGTGGCTGAATGTCAACGGTGCAACATTCTCAACCCTCCGACCTGCTGTTCCAACCTGTTGACAGAACTCCTCAACTCATCCGAATCAGGGCTTGTATCACAGCTAACAACATGGCTGCACCTCAATCGGCAAAAGCCTGTAGCCGCGGACAGCTTGTCCCCTCTTGGCAGCTCTGTCCAGTATCTCTTCCAGCGGCACTTGTCGTAGTCTCAGCTCATTTACTTCTGCAGCTCCAAGAACCCCTTCACTCACCAGTAATCGGATCCAGCTTTCCCTTCCAAGCTCGAGGCACACTCCGTGCGTGCTGATGTTTTGGGATGGCCGAAGCGTCGCGAACGACGGCTCCAAGAAGGGAACTCCGGCAAGGCTAAACCACAACTCCCAGCCATCAGCAACTGCTGGCAGTGTCTGGGTGGGTTGCAGTTGCCTTCGCATCCTTGTGAATTTATCCATGTTGGAGCCAAAGGCAAAATTCCATGCGTGTCTCAATGGTTTGTCTCCTGCCACCATAGCAGGGGATGGCCGAACTGCAGCCAGAAGCACAGCGAGGGCTCCGAGCCACGGAAGCAAATATCTCTTTCCGGCCGCCATCTCGGAGCATGAAGACTCGTGGAGCGATGATATGTCGGCTGCACTGCTACTTGTATCAGTACCAGCAGTACTATGTGGCATGTAGTTGACAAGCATAGCGAACGCTGTCTGCATTCTTTGGTTTCGTCTCTGGCTTACCGTGTGAATTCGGATCTCTATCTGGCCCTTGAGAAGAATTCAACAGCAGAGTGAAGCAGCTTCGGAGTCTGCAGCGCGGAACGGTGCTCCGTTGTGACCTTTTGATCCGCTGGAGGCCGCGGTTGCAGCTTGCTTTCGCCGTTTTGGCGGCGGCGCTGTGGCCTCGGCCTGCGACGACACGAAGCTTTGAAAGAAGCCCTAAACCCTTCCGAAGCCATGGCCATGCGCCGCATGCGGCCTTGAGTGCTCGAGCTACTGCTTTGGCAGCCTGTTCGATCGTGACCTGTCACGAACCGACGTACTGAAATCCCGCTGCTACCGTCAGGTGTGAGATGCAACGCGGACTCAACACAAAACGGCCCTCTCTTCTTGGTTCAGACCTGGCCTCTCGATCTCGCTCGCGCCGTTTTGGATTCCTTGGATCTCTGGCAGCGCGTTTGGCCTGCCAAGGAACCCTGCCAAGAGTGCATGGGAACAATTACTTGTCCGGTCGGAGGTGTCTACGATTCTGAGTGGTGAGTGGGCTGCTGTTTTGGCACCAGTCTCAGCAAACTCGTCCCCTGCTCCAGAAACTGGCGACGAAGAAAACGGAGGCATTGGGCCACTAGGCTATGCGCAGGGAGGTCAAAAAACGGTCCAGAGAAGGAGGGACAACCAGGAGGAGCGAAGGAGGGAGAAGACTGATGGCAAGATACGGCCAGCATGCGAAGCACATCTCCAGCCTGTGAGCCCGGTACTGTTTCGTAGGCTTTGGCATAGTCCGCAACGAGCTGAAGGGACTGAAGTGGTGGGGTTTCGGTGACGCGCTGCATAGGAGCCAAGATAAAGTTGGAACAGGAGTGGGGCACAAAAGGTCAGAGGGGAGCAGCTTGGCACGTCTTTAGGAAGTCGTCTCCGTCCAAAAATGCGAAGCTGCCTCTGCTCTGGCCCTTGAGGCGATCCCTGCATCCCAAGCGGAGTCGGCGATGTTCGCTGCTTCCTCGGCCTCAGCCACCGTGCACTACGCACAGGTTGAAAGCTCACACAGATCGTCTGGCAGAATGTGAGGGTCCAACGCTGTAACTTCTATGACCTACCTGGCAGTGCGAGCAAGGTGAATCGGGTGCCGGGAGTAACAGGAACCGTTTTGGAAATAGCGGCAAACGATCTCACCAGTTGTAACAGAAACGCGCAGCCGCAGCAACAGCAACCGGACTGCCAGCTTGACAGGACCTACCTGACCTACCATGGGAAAGCAGCAAGGCACGGGCAGGAAGCTTTATGCTCGCAACGTAGGGCACCCGCACAGAGCCAAGCCGTCCTTTACTCTCTTTTTCAGGAGCCCTTCACGCCGCTAGCATGAAGCCAAGGGGGCACAAATATCAGGTTCCTGGAAGTTGACTTGTGGGCTCGAGCCGGGCCGATCATGGTTTACAGGACAAAAGCAGAGCCACCTTCCAGACCCGGCGGTCCGCCGCAGCAGAACAGATAGTGCCTGCTCATTTTGTCTAGGTTACGAGAATATGTGTTAGTCCTAGACAAAAAGCATCGTCGTGCATCGTCTTCCTGGCCTTCCAGGCCAGACCCGACATATCATCACGGCTTAGATAATGCTGAGCCTTGCCTTGTAACCTTTGTGCCGCGATGTTAAAACAACGCCGCTGAGAACCCCCGCCCTCAGCTTTGGAGGATCTAAGAACCTGAGACCACGATGACCGCGTTAGACACGGGGAGAGGGTTCTTTGATGCGTGCAGACAAACCGTGATTCTGTCGGCATGAACCGGCCAAGGCAGTGCCCTCCCCGTTTGGCCCACCTCAGTTGGGCTCTGCATGATGGCCATCCACTCGCGTCCTAGGCCACTGAAGACCCTAAAGAACACGGGACCCAGAAAAGCAGCTGAACAGCTGAACAGGCTTTCAGCTGTCGGCTCAGTGCAGGCCAGCCCTCCGCCTTTGCCTGCCAACAGAACGGAGCTTCTGAGCAGTGACTCTTCGAATTGACCTGCCTCCAGTAGGCGATCCCGCTGCGCCAGGGCTGAATCTAAATCGTTAGTGTGACGGCCCTTGATCTGGCGGTTCACCTCTCAGCCGACTCTTCGTACAAAGCAGTCCATCACCGGTTCTCGGAAGCAAAGATGTGCAAGAGCATGCAGAGAGAGAGACAGGAACGTTCATGGGAGAGGCCTGCAGTGTCAAGTTGTCAGCTCATTTAGATCAGATGTTGATCCCAACCCAACGGAATGTGTCTCGGATGCCTCAAAGTAAGCCGGCACGATAGCGGCGAACGTCAGCGCACGGAGCTCTTGGGTAGGGTCCATTTCTGCCTCCTCGCAGGCCTCGCAAAATCTCCAATAGGTCCTGGTCACTAGTCCTTCCCTCTTTCACTTCTCTCGGACCCTGGCCTTGGCGAATGCTTCGGAAAAGCTGTCTCTGTTCAGTTCTGCGGAGCTCAGTAGCCCTCGCGTGCGCAGCAGCACTGAGTGGCGCTGCAGAACCTTTCCACCGCCAAAGCTGCCAACAACTCACAAAAACAGAGCATGGGCTGATGAATTCGGCCTAACATCAATTCAACAAAAAAAAGTGCGATGCTGGGGGATGCAAGTCGCCAGCTCCAAGGAGGGATGAGGTACGGACATCAAGAACCTGAAGGAGCTTGACACACCCCAACCATGGGTAAGAAAGAGACAGCAAGATGGCCATTCAGACGAGACACAGATTAGGAAGGAAGACGGAGGCTCTGTACGTTGGTGGCGACGTGTTCTGCCGCAGAATTCCGCGGCCGATGCGTCCACCTGCAACAGTCGCCAGTGAGGGTTGCGGCCAAGTTGTGGCTGATCTGCAAGCTGGGCGCCGAAGCTGTAGACGACGAAACCTTCCACCTTTAAGCCCCCAATCTCCGCCACATGCCACCAAAGCCCAGAACCCTGCACAAACCGCGCATAAAAATTCGCCACACCAAGCCGTACTCAAGCAAGAACTCTTATCACCGTACCTGACGGGGAACGCTGTCTTCGGAAACACATCTCTGCCACCCAACCCGAAAAATCAACTCGAAGCTCTCCAACAACAGACAGCACCTTCAGGATGCACATCTGCCAGGGAAGAACATCACCAGCTTTGGGAATACCCATAGAACATGGCTTCTTATATCTTAGAAGTTCCCGACTGCACACGGCAGAAGACATCTCATCTCCGATCGGTCTTGGCCCCTGGCCTCCTGCCCCGTTTGCGTCAGCCAGTGCCAAGTTGGAAGAAGCAGACTCAGCTCGTGGGCGTTGCAGGCGTGGCAGATCAGCTTACAAGTGCCGTTCTTCTTCATCTTTCCAAGCGACCTGAGGCTGCTCGGGCAGGATCTCGGGCTCCTGGGCACGTTGTGTCTGCTATGTCTGACAGCCGTCCTTCGCAGCTACAGGGTACCCTACCCGTCTTGTCCAGCTTTCCCGAACATGTCGACACGTACAGCAATGTTTTCATCGTGTTCTGATTGTTGCCATGACTTCCTCTTCTCATCGGTGCTTCTCATCTCAGGACCCGGTTAAGGCCCGAAAACCGACTAATCAGGAATTCCCAACAACATGACACTGACGAATGAAGGGAGGAAGCATGTAGACAAGTCGCCCCTGTCTGCACGGCCGTGGCAACTGGTCATCGATTCCGGATCCGAAAGTTGGATCCCCGGGTGCCGTGAGAAGAAGTACCGACAACACAAGTTCAAGTCCGAGAGATGAGAAGACTGCCGCGATAACAAAAAAAGTTTAACTTTTCTGAGATTCAAAGGCCGACCAGGAATTTCCGGAAGTCGGGAAGCCCGACCAAGCCTTGAAAGCCTTAAAGCCTCTGTGCCTCTCCATCACGGGCGGTGGCCAGCGACTGCGTGAGCCATCGTGAGCCAATTGGACTCATTAAACGTTGATGTTATCATGGTATGGGCACGGATGCCCTGGCCAGCGGATGCACTGGTGGCATGGACAGTATAAGCATCGCGAAGGCTAGCACGTTCTTGGCAACGTTCAACAACAATGCTCTACCGCGGGACCTCGGTGCCTCCCCTCGTGCACGTCCTGGCTAGCGTACGATTCATACGATTGGCTAGAGTATATTGCAGTTACGGAGTTTGACTGGCATGGCACCCCAAGGACCTAATCTTGCGATGCGCACACCGGCCACCCATGCCTGCTTCATGAAGGTCATTAGTGCCTGCTGGACCTGCGAGAAAGGCTCAGCTTGCGTTCTCAACGGCCAGCCGAAGAACATGCTTGCCTCCGCCGGGAGATTTTGCAATGCTTCGCGACGCGCTTCACGCGTCAGAGTCGCCAGAAGCTGTCGAAGCTGCGCCAGTGCACGATGACTGGCCGGTGCCTCCAAAGGCCGAAAGGCCGAAGGTACGGCTGAAGTAGTCGCAAGTAGTCGTTCTGAACTCGGGCCTTGGCCTTTGCGATGTCCTGACAGCGACCGCGGCCTGCTGTCGAAAGCGTATGCAACCTTGAAGTTTACTAGTTCAAGCGGACAGGGCTGAGGCCTGTAGCTGCTGCCAGTGCATCTTTGGGCAGCAGGCCACGATCGCGGGCAGCATCGTACGTCTGGCGCGTGCTCCTCTGGAAGGAGCAATATGCCAAGTGATGGCTCTCAAGTCTTGAAGTGAGATAGCCATGTCAACTGCAAACAGAGTCGTACGACGTGAGGATGAAGCCAGGGAACGGAGCCAAAGCCCGAATGCACCCTCTCCTAGATGAGAGCACCTCGAATGCCGTCAGGACGGCATGAAAGAGATCCTGCTTTGCGCGCAGGCGTGTGTTGTCCAACACGAAGGACTTTGGAGCTGACCGTCCTCGCTGCCACCTTTGTCTGGGTGCACCTGGAGAGCACGTCTTCGATACGATGACCGTATCTCCTGCTCCAGGGCATCTCTTTGGATGCCCAGCAGCTCGTAGAGGTCCTCGATCATGCCAAAGACTCAAACAGATATCACGGGGCATGCTTCAATAAGAAATCAGTCAGCATGTTTGTTCCATCGCTCCGTCCTGCTGCGCCATGGAATCGACAGGCAGCAGCAGAGTGGAGTATCCATTCATCCATAGGTAGATGCATACCTACCTACGGCATATATCCATATGTAGATGCAGATGCATATGCACATGTGCAAAAGCTGTATATCTGTATGTGCATTTATAATATGTGGGTATAGATGGAAAGAATGAAAAGGAAGGCATTCGGTAAAGGTGTCCGGAGGCTGGATGCCTGGCTCAAGCCTGTGTTGGAGAGGTTATCGTAGTCAATCGTCATCAGGATAGGCAATTGCAAAGTTGCTGCCCACTCGAAGGCTTTGGTTGCCCCAGCAATTTTGCCTTGCCCGATATCCGGGACACGGCTACTGCTTGACATGCTGGCTCGACGTAGCCCCAGCCCCTAAGCGAGGTTTGCTTTGCGATGCCTTCAGCTTCGCATGGCGCCCCTCGGTCATCGTTACAGTAACAGTGTGCCCGGCACAAATGCTTTGCAAATGGCGCAGGTGCACGTTGGTTTCCGTCTGATCGCGCATCTCGTCGACTGGCCCAACAGCATGTTGTGGCTATCGCACATCCAGCGAGCCGCAGAGTCCACCGCGCGAAACCCTCTTGTCCTGAAGTCCGAGGCTGCACGAAGCCGATCCTGATACATCGGCCCCGGTGGTCTTCACAACGTATTGGCTGCTACTTTGCCTGCTCGGCAAGGCACAGGTCAGTCTTCCAAGAGGAGTTTGACACGCTTCGTGGGCTCGAACAAGGGCATGGTGTAACCTCGGCCCACACGCCAGACAGGGCATCGAAACACGCCGGTATCGTTGATTTCTGGTCCTGGGCTTACTGCACTAGCTGTGCTCTCTGCCTGCACCAGTGTCCAATCCAAATCAGAGCCGTTTGTAAGCCGAGAAGCGCCATCGATGCTCATCCCACGCGGCCAGAAACGGCAGCTCACCGACATCGCAGACTGAACTTCTGAGCCCTCGCCCGGCACAACGTTTGTCCTTGTGCTTTTTCTGCCCCACATACCTCGAGACAGTCTTGCAGTCATTCTGCACGGACAGGCAACAAGAAGGCAAACACTGGAAGGGCGCACCATCTTCCATCGTCGCATTGGTACAACCAAGCGTCAGCCTCCGTCTTGCAGAATGTGGGCAGCCTGCAAGCTGCTGACTGGGCTGCTGGTTGCTGCTTGTTGAAAGATCTGGACTAGATAGAAGTGTAACACCTGACAAATCAAGTTCATCCTCGATGCGTGCCTGGTAGGGCATGAGGAGTGCACCTGCCGAAGATATGTCCCATTCCAGTTGTCTGCTGCAGCGCCAGAAACGCGCACAGCCGCCGGTGCAGCAATCACGGCATCTTTGAAGATTCTCAGCTCAGGCCCAGGGATTGAGGACACTCTGCAAGCTTTCGTGCGGACGTAGCCACCGTAAAGAAATGACTTCTCTTCCCAAACATCGATATCACCCGGCAGGGTTCCAGCAGCACAGGTACAGCTGCGAAGAAGCCCACTGGATGCCCAAAGGTTCATGTCATCGGTATTCCCACCTGCGTACCATCGCCGATCACTTGCAAAATATAGCCAGCACTTTGCCGTCCGGTGTTTGAATACCGGCGACCCATCGGACTCCCTCCTGCCAGGCAGAATCCCTATCTGCCCTAGGTCTACGTATAGTGCGTACGGTCGAATCAACCGTGCATGAGCGACATGCGCCGTGGCTCCGGCATCAGCTTTCGCGATCTTTCTTATTATGGTCCTGCAATGCTGGAGCTCGTAGCAGCCGTCTGCATCGCCGCATCTTGATCCACTGATGTCAACAGCCGCTGCGACAGACCAGACATCTTTGCACCACGACCAGTCGTCAGAAGCTAGACGTTCGAACCTGGCTGCGTAAGGTACCGCGACACAAGACAGCATGACAGAACTCCATCCATGCTCGCTGCTTCCGGGCTGCCTCACGTTCGAAGCTCTGAACGAAGGCCTCCTGCTGCCCGATGCCGAGTCACGCACCTCCCAGCTCGAAATGTCGACGGGCAGTGCGCCTGCCTTGCACTCTCGGCTGCGAAATCGGTGGCCGGGAAGGTTTTGTGCTGCAGCTGAACCACTGCCGAAATGCCAACGGCCATCCGTCGCGTAGTACAGCCACAGATCCTTCCCTCTCTGACAAAATCTTGGGGCTTGCCCATCCTCCACGTCACTTGTAAGCATGTCGTACAGTGCATTGATTTCCTCAGCATCACGGCTAGCTGTTCAGAGGGGAGAGTTGGTGTAGCCCAAACCCCAATGACTTGCCTGCAGACTGATTACGCTTCGGTTATTTTCGGTTCTACTTGGTCCTGCCACTCCCCCCACTGCCAGTAGATCCATGCTTTCAACAAGTCTCAGAGATCTCGCAATTTGTGACGTGCACAGCGTTGCATGCGCCCGAAGACTTGGCGGCATTCCACGCAGCCCGACAATCCTCCAGGAACTCGCATCCTTATTGCAACATTGCCATTCGATGCTCCAATAACGTCCACTCGCCATTCACTGCCTATTCTTTGTGAAAGAGCTGTTGACAAGCTGACAAGCCACGTACCTTGGCCGGCGAGGACTTAAAGCCGAAGACGCGACCAAACAGCAATACTCGCTCTTCCCACGGAGCGCTCTCGGGGGGAGGGAGGCTGGTGCAATCGCACGCAGGGCCTCGCAATTGGCGCTACGGTCAGTCGTGCCTTGTGCAGATAACTGCTTACTATCAAATATGCTGGCAAGGCACTCCGCAAAGCAGTTGTGAGCCGCCCTGCATTCTTGCTGGAGGAGCTACCGAAATGCCACCGCGAGTCAGCAGCGTAATACAGCCTGAGTCTGTTTGCAAAGTGCAAGTCGTCAACAGACGGGCATTGGGAAGTTCACCTGCCTCTGACTGGTCTGACTGGGCCGACTGAGGGTTGAGCCAGTGAGAAGCAGGAGCAGCGCGATCTTTCAATGCAGAGAAAACTCCTGGTTCCTGACATCGGCGTCTGCTGGTCTTATAATCTTGACCGATGCGACTGGCTTCCATGCTCATCCATATGCTTCAGCTGGTTGCCAAATCACAGCCAAGCGGCGTGTCTATACGTCCGATTGAGGCATGCTAGCTCGCAACCAGAGATTTGGACCGATGATACGTCTTCGAGCCGCTTGCCCATGGCACACATCTGTCGAAGAGCATCGGGAACCAAACTTTGACCAGGCACCTTCAGCCAAAATTCTTCGTTGACACATCGCTAGTAGCTTGGTGCACCTTGCTGCTGCTTTGCCTGAGATGATACAGGCAACAGAGGACGGCTTTTCATCACACAGGCGCCAACGCGTGCACAGCATTGCTGAGATGCTCCGAGATGCTCAGACCATCTCAGACGGTATCCTGGCATCCTTCACTACTCACTCACTGGTTGCTCTGGCTACCTGCGGCCACCTGCATGTGGAGAGAGCTTGCGACTTCGCGAAGCGTTCCAAACTTTGGACCTCCATTTCAGGCGCAGCTTTTCGGCCCTCCTTCTGGGGTCTGCGCTTCTTCCTGGCAATTCCGAGCCGCCGAGCACATGCTGGCCGTAAGAAAAGAACGCAGAAGGCATGAAAACTAGCAGGTCTGACCGCAAAGTTCCTGAGATCGGGTGCAGTGTGAAAGCCAGCAAAAATGGAGTTCGACATGTTGGCTTCTCAGCTGATTTTGCGTCACGCTGCAAGTAGAAGTGTATCACTTCAGTTCAACCCGAAAAGGTTTCCGCCCGCTCTGAAGATCGATCTCTTTTGCATGCCGGGGAAGGCACCTTTGATGACTGAGCGCGGCTTCTTCTCAAGCTCAGCAGCTCTCTTCTTGAGGCCCTGAGCAGCAGCGCGGGAGGTCTGGCCAGAAACGCACGCAGTCACGGCCACAGCCTTGAGCTTGGTTCCGATGACTTGGCCGGGACCGGAGGATTTGAGGCCTGTTCAACTCTTGGCGCATCCGCCATCACCCCTCATGTGATACACAGCCTGTGCTAAGATCCGCACTGATTTCGCGTCTCTCATTCATGGGAGCGCTGCCTGAGGTGACTCAGTCGGCTGCAGCGAATCAACATGGATGTGTTCACCTGGACAGTTCAATGACAGTTCTGTGCGCGTCCTCGGACGTATCAGTTGTATCAGTTTGTGTAGACTGAGAAGCAAGCCAAGCTTCTTCCTCAGCCCCTCGAGGTGGGCTTGAAGCTCCTGCAAGGCAGCGGAAGCCGTGGAAGGCCCTCTTCCAAAATGTTTCGCACCTGCTCGTATGCCGCCAACTCGCCTGGCCCTGGCTTCTCGAAGCCCTTGCCGGTGTTAGCCACTTGCCCTCGCAAGCTCAAGGCATCATCAAATCTCAACTCGGTGCAGACTTGATGGAAGTCGCAGGACTGAGGCCAGATCGTGACGACGCCTTCTGGAACAGTTTGTTGCTTCGCATGTACGCCTGCGAAGCGCTCTGCGACAGCTTGGGTTTTGTTGCAGACCACATTCAACCGCTCACTCTTCCACGGTGGAATAGCTGTAAGGACCACAGCAATAAATATAAACATGCCACAGACGCAATCAAGGGTGGCAATCTTCAGCAGCATCACTGCCCAGAAGCCCATAAAGCTAGTCCGGAATTTGCAGGGTGGCGAAGGCGGGGCCGCTGCAAAGCCGTGCAAAGCAGAATTCGGAGTTGTCGTCGTAGTAGTCGTGGCAATACACATCATGTCAGCGGCAGCCGCCGCAGCAGCAGCAGCGGCAGGAGCAGGTCAGTAAGTCGTTAGGTCTGTCGGTCGGCAGGTCGGCAGCTTGGGAGGGCGGTCTCGGCAGAAAGGCAGCTCGGTAGGTCAGGAAGGTAAAAGGGCAGGAAGGGAGGTAGGTCGGTAGGACAGTAGGAAGGTACTGTAGCAAGGTAGCAAGGTAGGAAGGTAGGTCGGAAGGTCGGTAGGTCGGTAGGTCGGTAGGTCGAAAGGTCGGCAGGTCGGTGGGTTGGTAGGTCGGTAGGTCGGTAGGTCGGTAGGTGGGTAGGTCGGTAGGTCGGTAGGTCGGTAGCTCAGTAGGAAGGTAGAAAGGAAGGAAGACAAGTCGGTATGTCGGTAGCTCGGTAGCAGGTCTAGGTCGGTAGTTAGACAGGTGGGAAGGTATAGGGGTCAGTGGGGGTCGGTGGTCGTTAGGGCCAGTTAGAGGTGGGGTTGGTAGGCAGAGCATGGTGGGAATAAGGTGTGTCATGGATACTCGCAAATGCGAAGGTTAATGTTGAAATGTGCATTGCTCAATGTGCCGCATGCAGTCTGTATGATGTAGACTGGGCTGGGATGGGAGAGATGGGATGGGAAATAGATGACATATAATTGGAAAAAGAGATAGACAGATAGATGGATAGATAGGTAGACAGAGAGAGAAAGCGAGTTAGACAGACAGATGGAGTAATTGATGTTAGGTAGGTAGACACAATGATACGAAAAATAAAATCCGACCTTGAACCTGGTGTGATTGCCTTCCCCTTCCGTCCATTCAGTGCCCTTTACTTCTGATTCTGAGGGCACGGCATCAGCTGACCGTCTCAAACGTACATCGCGAAACCAGCCTCTGCCTTGGAGCAGGAGACCGCCCTGGCTAGGCCAACTCCTCACATCTGCAGGAAGCGATATTAAACTCATTCTAGAAATAAGTTTTGATGGCAGCCAAGTCGAAAGCGAACATTGAGGGGGGGCAGAGTCTAGCCAGAGCCGAACACGAGCTGACCTGCACCTGTAGGAAGAGTGGTGGATAGTAATAGGTATGGTGCGACAGTGCGAACTGCCACGCATCCGGCACCTCTATGCTGCAGTGGCAGAAGCAGCAGCAGCGACGGGCGACACCAGAAACGCGGTAATAGGTGTCATTCAGCGGGTGTTGCTGAGGATTGTTTGACATTTGTGTCGATAGCTTGTCTCATTTATGATTGCATTGTGCTCGACAAAGCACAAATCACCGTGGATGTTGGTGGTTCGGTCTTCGAACAGCCCTGTAGATTCTGCCTGCTGCTGCGACAAAGGAGCCGATCCGAGTGTATCCTCTCGCCCAAACAACCTACAGGAACCATTTCAAAGAGCAGTGAACAGCAAGTTGAAGCTAGCTGTCTGGCTTGGCGGCTTGGCAGCCCGTCCGACCGCAACAATACATCCCAACATTTCGAGGGTAATTTGCAAGAAGCTGCTGCTTCGAACGAGGGGGCGAGCCTCGAAATGAAAACACTGCGTAGACAGCACAGCATGCTTTGTCCGAGGCCCGTGCGCCTTAGCAGCTGCGTGGTTGCAGCCTGGTGACATTTCCGCCAATGACGGCAGAGAGGTATCGCAGGGGGATACATAGTACAGTCAAACGCCTCCAACAACTCCAAAGCAAGCGCGGCCCCATCGTAGCTTGCCTTCTGAAGTCTGCCGGCAACGATCGCAAGCCACCCAGTACAGAGCAAGCGGGGGGCACCTTCTGAACTGGTGGCGGCGACGGTACCGGAGCAGACTTGGCTGCTGCGATTGGCGCGCTCTTTGCTTTGGGCTTGGCTTTGCGCACTGTCCTCGTAACACGGGCAAACAACTCAAAGAGCTCCGATGGCGCTTTGCTTGGCTGCAGACTTCGCTTCCGGTCTTGTCTGTGCAGTCAACGCAGATCTCAGCGCAGTTTGACAGATGCAAAATGGACAACAGGATGCTGTCGGACGTGGTCGCACGTGAAAGACTCGGAAACGAACCTCTTGGCGGGAGCCAACAACTCAGCAATCTCCGCAGTAGACGCATCTGGCCTCAATCCGTGATGCGCGCAGTGGTTTCGTCTAAAATGCCAGAAGCGACAACAATGCAGCGATAGCCCTTGAAAATAAAGACACACAAATGCACATTCCTGTGGAGATTGGATATGACAGGTGCGCAGCTGCAGTCGGGAGCACAGAGGGAAAATCCTTCGGGTCGTCAGGCCCAGCAGGAGGCTTGGGCTGTGAGGTGGACAGCGGCATCCTTTGCGAAAATAGAATCAAGGACCATTCGTGGCACACGAACAAGCATAACAGAAACGAGATTCGAAGGCTGGCACGTGAATGCACCCGTGGCTTGGCTACGCTTCGTGTGACAGCTGTATTTGCTTTTGCCGACAAGACTTGGTCACAATCAGGCCGAAGATCAGATGTTAAAAGGAGAAAGCAACGGATGATGTATGTAGCAAGGGGCATCTGTGTTGGGCTGGGAAGGCCAAAACACGAGAACTAAGTCGATCCGCATGCCAGGGTCTGTACGGCCCATCCACTTGCGAGATGAGCTTTCTCTTCTTGGGCATGGCCTGGCACGTTGGCTCTGGAGAGCTCCGGGCTTCACATTGCTTCCCCAAGTGGTCTACTGCCAGCCCTGCTGCTAATAGCTTTTATGTTACGTGGCAGCCTCTACATTCTACATGAAAGGATTTGGATTTTAGCTCAACTCAAGGGCTCAAGGTGCATCAAAATTGCTTTTCGCAGAGCACATCAAGGAGTATTGCTGGAGCAGTCGTTGGACGGTGAGTGGGAAGAATCGGCCCTTGAGGCCCAAGACTTTTACCAAGACAGCCAGGTGCAAGAAGTGCATTCATGCTGCTCTCGCATCTCCCTTGCATCGTCTACAGGTCTACCGAAAGCCACGATACGCCAAGTCATCCAGGCCTCAGGCTGCACTGAAGAAATGGGATGTGGGCGACACCTCCCTCGTGTCTGTCTTCTTTGTGTCTGCAATGCTGGTTTGTAACCTTGTTCGTATCAGCAAATCAAGACCGTACTTCGTCGCGGACACTCCCTGGTTGCGAAGGCTACGGCTCAGGCCTAAGACGTAAAATCATGGAGCGGAGCTGGCTGCCTGAGCGGAGGGGCTTTGAGCCGAGCGCAAGGCGACGAGGCCCTTGTCCCTCCCCCATCCTATCCCATCCTCGTCCCTCTTCTACGAATCTGCCCTGCGCCCTGGAATCAGGCGAAACTGGAAGAAGCTCATAACGACTTGCTTGCGACACGCCGCTGAGGATCGCCGTTGCCTCCGGCTCTCTCGGCTGTCCGTGCACTAATGTGCACCTATGTACAATTTCAGAGATCCAGCTTGACTGGGTGCGCGACTTTGGCGGAGCTATTGAAAACTGGTGACACAACCAAACTGCCGTGTTAGCAATTCGCAGTTTCAAAAGTTGACTCAAGCATCTCCCAAATGGTGGCCGGTGAGTCGAAGATGAGCTTTGAAAGCCGCCAGACCCGGAATTCATCTGGGACTCACCCAGAAGTTCCCCAATCGAGGTACCTGTAGCATCGACAAACTCTTTGTCTGATCTCGGATCTCGAGTCAAATGCTCAAGCACAAGACTCAGAAGACATTGAAACTTCATGCATGCAAACAAAGCACTGGTTTGAGTGCAGCTTCGAAATTGTCAAGGTGGGCACAGATGGCACCTGCCACACTATTGCCATGGCTATGTGCAGAGATCTGCAGGTACAAGGTGGCACGAGGACATCCTCTCATTTTGCAGGTGCCTAGCGTGGGCTGCGCACCAGGCATCGTGACCTTGCACAGCAGAGATCGCGAACAAGAACGTGAGCGGCGAGATGCTCCTTGCTCATGAGGGCTTGAGGAGGGCACTGCCTGCTCCGCTTCCTGATAGCTGATGACTGGCCTGACTGGCTTCCATGCCACGTACGGAAATTTTCTGAGCCACCCACCTGTCACCAGTGTAAACATCGTCACGCAGGGTAATCTTCAGCTCAATGATTGGCCTGAAAGTCATCTAGCATCCTGGCTATATCCGGTGTCACAAGCTTGTGCGAACACTGCATCGTCGCCTGCAGGCAAGATTGAACTGGTAGAGGTCGTCGGCGACTATAGTCTCTCCATCAGGTACCCACAAGTTTTGCATCTCCAACCTAGCACGAGTTCAGGGCCGCGGCGGCACTGCCGAAGCTATGACCCAGGCCTCCCTTCGAATCCGGTCGGGAAGAACTGAGCACTGGGTACCTCTGGACGACATGCGTCTAGCATCGCCTACCCGCTTGCGACAGCATGCGCTCTGGACCAAACCTTTGCTTTTCTCATGAACCGAACAACCTGCGAGGCTGAATGCATCTTCGTACGAGCTCGCCTCCACGCTTGCGAGAAGGTCGTCCGAACCCACGAGGTCAGCATCAAGAACCTATTGAAAGGTACAAGCAAGAAAATCGCAGAAAGTGAAAAAGGGGTATGGCACCTGCACAATCAGTGGCTCGCCACGTCTCCAGCCAGGCCTACAGCACAGAAACTAGTCACTGTGCAAAATCTACACTAATCTACACATGTCTTTGAAAATGGAACTGAGAGCTGGCAGACCGCTCTTCTCTGGGCCCCCGAGATTCGCGCACAGCCAGCATCTGGTTCCAAACGGGTGTCTCTGTGTCCGGCAGGGCCTCATGGTCTGCAGATGTCTACAAGGCGAGGACAATGATGCAGAAGAGAATGTGAAATCGGCTCCAATACAACATGCAGCATGTCACTCAGGTGTCCCAAACCATCTTGTCTTCGGGTACGTGGAAGCAGACTCAGTTCTCCATGTGGTTCCAACTTATAGATCTTATCAGCACGAACAGGCTGCAAAGTGTCTGAAGCATGCAGCTGCAACTTAGCGGATTTCAGAGGCTACACGCCGCGACATCGGAAGGGGAACAACAAGCTGCTTCTCTTCACGGATACGTGGGAAGATGCAACAACATGATGAGGGTAAGGTCAACACGAGCCAGACCCAAAAGAAACTCCGTGGTCGTAGTGGTCGTCGTGATCGTCGCTGTCGCTACGGTCGTCGGGATCGTGGTGCTCATTGTGGTCGTCATTGCTGCTGCTGCTGCTGCTGCTGCTGCTGCTGCTACTGCTGCTACTGCTGCTACTGCTGCTGCTGAGGCGGCTGCTGCTGCTGCTGCTGCTGCTGCTACTGCTTTTGCTGTTGTTGTTGCTGTTGTTGTGGTCGTCGGCGTCGTCGACGTTGGTGGTGCTGGTGGTGCTGGTAGAGCTGGTGGTGCTGGTGGTGGTGGTGGTAGAGCTGGTGGTGGTGGTGGTGGTGGTGGTGGTGAACAGCACCCACGCCTGCCACCCCGCCCCGCACCCCTATCCCCCACCCCGCCGACCACCACGCCCACCACCCATGGTGGTGGGTGGGTGGTGGTGGGTGCAGAGGTGGTGGGGGTGGTGGTGGCTGTGGCGGCGGTGGTGACGTTGGTGGCGGTGGTGGCGGTGGTTACTTGAACCCGAACTAGGAGATCGACAACAAACGGATCTACAATGTGACAGATACATGAGGGGTCGGTGGGAGGCGGGAAGATTTGGGCTTCGGGCTGATGTTATCTTAAGGTTTCTAAGATGTTCGGCTTTATGGTATGGATGATGCTGGATGTTGTCCTGGTGATAGGCCATCGAATAGCAGCGGTGTGCGGTGACAGTGATGGGGATAGCAGCTGCATTTTTCTATGACTCCAGTGCCCCAAAACCCCAATTGTGCGACTCCTTTTCGGACATTCTGCTATGCCAACACCCCCGACCCAACACACTGTCGACCAGTGCGGTTATGTGCGTATACGATAGTTTCTGCTGCAGGTGACGCCGAAGCTGCTTGGTTTTGGTTGTGACCTGAAGCTGACAACATATGTCACAACGGAGGACGTTTAACAAGCAGATTGTGAGCAGAGCTTCTGGACATGTGCTGTAGCAATCTCGAAATAGGCACTGCTTGAACGATCGCAAACCAAGTGGCAGCGAGACTGGACACGCAATCGATGGGGACTGAAAGGACGGAAACGACAACACGGAAATTGGACAGGCGAAGGTGGTGTAATATGTTGCTGGTACAGGAAGGACATTGCACGCATGCGGACGGTCATCCTCTCATTCAATCATACTTAATCAATCAAGCCGGCAAGACTTAGTACAGAACTGCAGCTTCCTGCAAACAGGCTCCCCTTCCTTCGAAAAGCCCAATTGAACAAAGCTGCACAACACTTAGTGCGCACGCACTCCGAGAGCGAACGAGAGATGATGCTGCCCGGCGCAACTTCGAAACATAGCATGTATGATGCAGTCGGCTCAGGATGAGCACAAAAATCGAGGAAAATTAAAGCTCTGAAAGACTAGTGACTAGTTGTGGAAAGATCCAAGATGGGAGGCTGGTTCGAAGCATGGAAGCGGTATTGAAACAACCGATACAGGGCCCAAGCTGTCGTCTTTGCTCTCGACCGACTTCTGCCTGGAACCTGAAAACACAACAAAAGCACTGTCAATGCTGCTGTACGATGCGATTTTCTTCTGGAATCTCAACATCGCAACCTGGACAATCACGTACGGATCGGAATGACCACGGCGATCTGCTCTCGGCAGTCCTGTGACGACATGTAAGGCCGTCCCATCCGAGTGTCGACTTCTCAACGTTTCAGGATACATTCAGCAAAGCCTTCTGCCCCGATAATCGTCACGTCAACTGTCTGGCTGCCGACCTCAGTGTCGCAGTGTGAATGCGCCACGCCCTGTTCTCGTGCAGACCTCTGAATAATCTCGATACAGGCAAAATCCTGCTTTCACATAATAGCCTTGCGTTTGATTGTGTAAACGGACCGATGCGCGGAAAGCACCAGTGCTGTTGAAAGGAAGGGGTGCTTTTTGGAACGTTTGAACATGCGCTCGCTTTTGTCCATCCTGAAACATTCCCCAGAGTGGTTATGAGTCCGTCACACCGGAAGCGAGGACATCATCGAGTCAGATCACGAGCCGACAACGTTGGACATCGAAGGCAATAAGCCTCAAGCCATGCACCCCAAAATCCAAATGAAAGACATAGCTCAAGCCATCTAGGAAGATGTCAGAAACCCTCTTGCAAACTCTCCATCCCCACGCGCTAAACCTATACGCGCTGAACTCGAAGCAGCAGGAAGCCGAACACAGCCAAAGGTCAAGCCGTATTGGAAAGTCTGGACAGTCGTCTTGACGGTCCTTGACCTAAACCCTCAGCCCCAAAACAAATCGTAAACCGAGTTCACCGAACCCTGCCATAACTTGCCCCCCCAAAACCCCGAAAACTTTGACCTTTGCGCACCCAACTGCCAAGCCCACAACCATGGAAACCATAAATCTTGCACCATGAATTATAAACCCTTAAGCTCTGCACCCCAGCACTCTTCCCCGTATCCCTACATGCACAAGCCTTGAGCCCCCACTGCCGACCGCAATCCCGTGTCTTCACCTTGCACTCTCATATGTAAACCCTAAAACCCCCCAACTGCCGAACCCGAAACTTTGCATGTTAAACCATAATTATCCCAAAAATTTCTGCACCCGAACGTCCTGCCTCGTACCCTCAACGAACAAACCTTAAAACTTGAGCCCCGATTTCCAACCTAAACACCATGTTCTCACCCTGTGCTCTACAATGTAATTTCTGGAGACCCGCGACCCTACAAAGCTAACGCTATACCCCTTAAGTTCGAAATCTTTGAGCCCCAAACTGCAAAGCCCACGACCATGGAAACCGTAAACCTTGCACTGTAAACCGTAAACCCTAAAGCTTTGCACCCGACCGTTCTTCACCGTGCTCCACATTGTGTAAACAGCATAAAAAGTAGAAACCCGCGACCCTGGAGAGCTTACTCATCATACGCCATGAAGAGTAAGTTCGCCCGCAACTGCAAAGCTCGCAACCATGAATAACCATAAACCTTGCACGCTAAACCGTGAAAGCTTAAAGCTGCGCACCCGAACGTTTCTCCCCGTAGCCCTGAACACAAAAACCTTGAGCCCAGCTGCCAAGCGTACAGCAATGGTCAGCTTGTGTTCCAAAGCTGTATAAGCCCTAAACACCCTCAACCCTGGGAAGCTTACCCATTTACCCCTACTACCCATTTACCCCTAATACAACTCAGCACTTTGAGCCTGACAATGGAAACCATAAACCGTGCCCCTTAAACCTTAAACCCTAAACCCTAAAACCCTGCAGCCGAGCGCTCTTCCGCTTAACCCTACATTGAAAAACGTTGACCCCCAACTGCAAACTAACGACCTTGTCCTCTCAATTCTAAACCCTCAAAACCTGGCCATCGAAGCTTGACCCTTGGCGCTTAAATTCAAACTTTGAGCCCACAACGGCATGGCCCGAAACATGGCACTCTAAATCGTAAAACCTAAAGCTCTGCGCCCGACCGCTTTTCTTTTTCATCCGAGCCGCCAAAACCTTGAGCCCCAACCCCCAACCCTGACACCATGTTTTCACCTTGTGCCACTGTGCTCCAAACTGTGGGCCCTAAAGACACTGGACCCTTGAAAGTGTACCCCTTAACTGCTCGGATTTAACTGCAGCTGTGCCCATCGCCTGGACCGAAGAGACTGCGCATATGTCTTCGGTCAGTCGTCCAAACTCTCGCCAACTGCAAGGCCCACAACAATGGAAACCACAAACCTTATAACCTCTAACCCACATTTTCCCCTTAACGCTCTATGTAAAAGCCTTGAGCCCCAGCTGCCAACCGTAGAGTAAAAATCTGCGACCCTGGAGAGTTTACCCCATGACTGTTAAGTTCAACAACGGTGAGCCCACAACTGCAAAGCTCACAACCATGAATCACCATAAACCTTGCACCCCAAACCATAAAACCTTAGAGCTCTGCACCCGAATGTTTCTCTCCTTAACCCTGAATGCAAAAGCGGCCCAACTGTAAAACACAACCATGGAACCATAAAACTTGCACCCTAGACCGTAAACTCTAAAGCCTTGCACCCGGGCGCTCTTCCCCTTAACTCTACATGTAAAAGCCTTGAGCCCCAACTTCCACCTCCAACGAAATATCTTCACCTTGTGCTGTATTACTCCTTGAACCTCAAATTCAACACTCTGAGGCCCAACTGCAAAGCTCACCACCATGAAAACCGTAAACCCTAGATTCTCAACCGCAAAACCTTAGAGCTCTGCGCCCTAGCGTTCTTCCCTTAGCCCACTAAGTGCAAAAACCTTGAGCTCCAACTGCCAACCGCAAAGCCATGTTTTTCACCTTGTGTTCCAATTTGTATAACCTCAAAAAACCAACGACCGTGGAGAGTTTACACCGAAACCGTTGAACTCAAACCATTGAGCACCCACCACCTGCAAAGACCTGAACCTTGCACTCTACATCGTAAAGTCGTCGAACCTCAAACTCTGCGCCCGAGCGCTCTTCTCTTTAATCCCAAATGTCAAAGCCTCGAGCGCCCATTCCCCACGCCAGAGCCATGATTTCACATTGCGCCCTTAACTGCAAACCCTAAACAACCTCAACCCTGGAAACTTTACCCTGAAACCTCAAAATCCGGGCTGTTCATCCCTTAACCCTAAACTCGAAAGCCTTGACACTCGGCCGCTCTTCCCCTTAAGCTTGCATGCAAAAAGCTCGAGCCCAACTCCAAAGCCATCCGTAAACTGTAAACCCCAAAAGCGCTCGACACGGGAGCGTTTGTTTTTAAAACCTCAAATTCAAAACTTCATCTGGCAACTGTAAAGATCTGTAAAGCTCATAACGATGAAAGCCACAAGCCTTGCACTTTGAGCTGGCAACCCTGCAGCCCTGACGCATGCGTGCTTACCCTCAAATGTGTAAGCCTTGAGCCGCGACTGCCACCCCCAAAGCCATGTTTTCAACTTGCACCCTGCTCTGAGCCCTGAAACCCTCGACCCTGGAGCACGTCACCTCGTACAGCGCTTCACCCCTGAATCCAAAATTAACCCGGAGCTCCAACGGCCAACCCTAGAAGTCTGGAAACTGGAAATGACATTCCTTGTGCTCTAAGTTGTGGACCTTGAAGCCCTCTGCCTGCAGCCTTTCACTCGGTCAGCCTTGCCTTTAAACCTCTGAGCCTCCAACCTCGAACCTGGCGACTATTGAAACCGGGAGGGATGTTTCTTCCCGGCCGGACACTTGCCACCCTGGCGGGCCACCAAACGAAAACGATTGATGCACTGCATCGGGTCAAAAAGCCCTGAAAAACACGTCCTCGTTTTTTACGCCGGCGGCGGACAGCAAAAACTTCTGAGTGGTTTTGTTGTGCTCCGTGGCCTCTCCGGACGCTCACTCAGCGGCTGGTGTGCTACATCGGGTCCAAGCAAACCCGGCGGACCGCCCCGGACGATCTCTTACTCACGGTGGCGGGCTTGGGCCGCCCTCGGCTGGTGTACTACATCGGGTCTAACCCGGCAGAAGAACAACAAATAACCCCGCCCCTGCCTGGGTGTTGTTAGTTGCTGCTCCGAAACCGCTCTCGCACCCCCGGGCTCAAAACTACAAAATGGTGGGGCACTGCAGCGGCCAGCAACAAAAGCACCCTAAAATTCTAAACGCTTTGCAGCCCACAACCGCAAACCGCAGGACCAACACACTTCTGCCCTCAACTCAAGACATTCACCCCCTCGGCCCAACCTGTAAACTGCAGGTCTGTTGCTCCTGAAGACCATAAGCCTTGCTCTCTACATGCGTAGTAAACCCAAAGCTCTCAACCCTAAAGCGCTTCACTCCATGACCCTATAGGTATTGAAACCTTGAGCCCCTCAAATTTGAGCCCTATTGACTGCTCCAAGAAGTGGCATGTGTTCGCTGTTCTGATGATTTGTCAACTGTTGCAACGTTTGCAGCGCATCTCATCCGTCGGACTTCCTTACATCGTGGTCATCGCGGTTTCCTGAATGTTCGCACGCATCGATCGGCTGCAAACTGAATCTCGAAAATTCCTGTTGGTCTGTTGTGAGGACTAGAACAAGCCCGACTTGGGGTCGATTGCGAGCAGGACGGCATGCTTGTCGGTGCGGATTCTGTGAAGTAGCTTGGCATTCTCACTTTTTGCAGCTCTTTTGCTACCCCCTATTACCCCCTCTCTTGCTCACTGCCAGGTTGCTCTTAGCTGAGTTTTCAAAAAAATGAGGGTTTGTGCATCGGCGCAAACTGCAGCAAAACGCGGGATCTTCGACTCAGATGTATAAGCGGCTTACACTCCAAAATGTCCTTCCGCTGATCGTCGGGCATTAGAGGGCCTTTGTCAACAGAGCGCTTGAGGTATTGGAACCAGCATTTGATAGCTCCAGCGCCTCTGTAGCCTGGGAAGGGCGTCGTCGGGGTGTGCCAACATGATGATGATCGCGCACTTAAGTCGTTGTTCGGAGGCGAATGTTGGCGCCGACCACTGCAGAAAACCTGTTTGCTTGGTGATCCCGGTTTGTTCGACCCCTGGGGCTCGACGCGAGCTTTGAAAAACAAGCACTTTGCAGTGTGGGCTCCAAGCTATCAGAAACAAATGTGAATATGGGTGCTATGCCAAAACAGACAGTGCCAGCTCTGGTGTTCCTCGGCTATGCCACACATGCTCTAGATTTACGTGCGCTTCTCTTGGGGTTGTCCTGTAGGAGACTGCTTTGCCTCTTTGTCCGAACGGTCCTGCAAGACTGTGTCTGGGGCATCAGGGCACAAGGGTTTTCCGACGCACGCATGTAGCGTCTATTTGCCGAGTTTTCCAGATTCCTACTCCACTCCTAGCTCCTCACGGCGTCGGGTTGACACAGTATCTCACCTGCCAGTGGCCTAGACATGCTCGCTGGATTTCTACAAACATGGACGGTACATTCACTGCCGGGATGCAGGGGGCCAGCGCTCTGTCCGGGAACTCTGCAAGGCTTGCTCCCTGGGCGTCGCCTGCCGGTGTCTCAACTATTTCTTAGAAGCAGCGTTGGCTCAACACTCCCTCACTGGGCTCAGGGCAGAAGCCAGTGCCCCGTGAGTACGCTTCGGACGCCAGTCGGGGTCTTGCATGTCATCCTCGACCTGCTGTCGTCATAGTGTTCTCTCGACGAAGCTATCGGTGGTACGAATGCCGAGACATGACTCACAAGCTTGTGCAACGACAAATAGCCACGTGTTGAGGCCGTGACATTGGAAACCGTCACGGGGTATACCATGGGGCGAGATGGTGGTGCGTGTTCGAGCTTGGATATTGAATCCTGCAACCAGGAACGACAGTGTCATAGAAGCGTCAAAGGAATTGAGCATCCTTGGAATGGAGGCTTCCACTCTGGCTGGTGTGATCCGAGCGGGGAGGGAACTCCAGACTCATGTGCAAGGAGTCAACAGCCTTGGACTCCGTCAAGAAGCTCGAACCCTCGAAGACAAGGACACTCTACTCTGGCGACAGCATTTCCAAAATTGCTGGGGTGACAGCGTTGGGTTCTTGCAGCAGCATCTTTCCCTGATCAGGCCTGTGGTCGAACTGATAGACATAACGGCAGTGGATCTCAGTGGTGCTGCTGAGGCAAGCACGCAGGCGGTGCGGAGGTTGGCAAGAACTGGTGTTGGGAATGCTCTGCCAGCAACGAAGGATCCTTCAAAGACAGGACATGTGGCCCGCAAGAGCAAGTCATGTGCGGTCCATGGCTGTCCTGCCGCCTTCCGACACTGTGCAGCCGCTTGTGACTCACTGGAACGGATCCCTTGCGTATGTTTCCTGTAGTGACTGCCATCTTCTGTGGCACCGGAGTCGCCGGAGGCTCAGGGGCTGGAAAAGCCGGCTTGCTCTTCACAGATACATCACTTGAGAATGTGGTGGCGAGGTTGTGCCCACAGCCTGGAAACCGTGATTCCAAAGCTGCAGCATGATCGACATGTACAAGACCACGGTAGTCAGACCGTTTGGTGATGTTGGTGATGAGTTTTGGTTGTTGGGGTTGTGCTAGACCGGCAAGTGTTGGAGAGCAAGGGCTGGAGGGGCGTTTTGGCGGATTGTGTGGCCTGGGAGCCTGGCCCGCAAGCTCCATAAGCATTGCGTTGTAAGTCATCCGATGCTCGAAGTCCGCTTGCGTTTCTGCCCTGCGCGCCAGTTCCATATGCTTCCAGGCAACCTTCCACGTTTCTTCGGTCTGGATGCGCTTCGTGATGGAGCGAATGGCTTCTCTGTCCCCATGGAGCACAGTTGGTGTTAGCACCTTCTTCAACTCCTTCATTGGCATGTTGTCCAAGTTCGATGTCATGGTCTCATGGTACTTATGGTACTCGCCTCTGGCCCGTCTGTGAGGAGCCCATTGCGATGCCATTTCCTTCTGCTCGTTTTCGATCTTTCGACCGTAAAATCTGTCCAGAGTCTGCACACGAACCGTATTGACAAAAGCCTTCTTGGCTTCCCACTGCGCATGCTGAGCCTCAATCCGGTCCATGCGCTCCATAAGATCCGCGTCGGTGCGCAGCTTTGGTCCATGATAGTTCCTCCAAGTCCTTGGCCCTGCATGCGTAGGATTGTTCCACTGGTTCTCTCCGGGCCGGGACGCATAAAATGTCTGATTCTTCAGCAGGTGTCCAGCTCGAGACCGCCATCCGAGACCACCGACATCAGGGACACCGTTTTCAAGCCTAAATTTGATCATACCTCGTCGATTCCGCTCTTCACGTCGATCGGGGAATTCCAGCGTCGCCTGTGGCCGCAGCTCCAGGCCTTCCGCTTCCGGCTGCTCGTTCTCCTCAGCCATCTGCTCAGCCTGCTCAGCCTCAGCCAGCTCGGCCGTCTGCTCCGCCAAGTCATCTCGACAGGCCATGGCCGTCCTAAACTGGGCACGGAGGCCCGGTGTACCGGGTTACCGGGTAAGTCTTGCACTCAGGCACTACTCACGGCAAGGAGTTTCTACCTGGCTATCGAAGGAGAGGCTGATCTGATGCATGCACCTCATGTTCGAGACGTTAACTGAATCTGGGACGGCTTTCGAAAGATGTTGGCCACATGGAAGCGACATGAGACAAAAGGCGAAGTGTAATCATGTTTAATTTCACATCGACACAGTATCCTCGTCTTGAAAGGCTACTGCACCACCTGATGTGGGCGACGTGTCAGATCATGATGTCTTTTTGCGCAACGCAACATTTGGTCAGCTAGTCTCTGCACCCATCACAGCAGAAAGAGATCCAAGCTGAACGCATTGCTTACTCATAGTTTCATGAATCTCATAGTTTCATGAGTCAGAAAGAACAAAACCGGCGAATGGACCGCTGTTTCTGCAGCGGGGCTCCCGTCAGGAATCGTCGGTCCCAGTCGGGAATGCAGAATGCCGAAGGCAGCCTAGTGAACCCTCAGCATCCTGCGGCGACAATCAAGAGGACCTGAGCAGCATCTCCCTGCAGATGCGCGGACCCGAGAAAAACCTCGTCCGACACAACACTCACCACAGACTTGTCGCAGTCCAGGAGGCTCCAACGCCTTACCAGCATCAGCCCGCACCTTCTTGCAAGGACCTGCAGCTTTCTCATTTTCGGATGTGCTGGACATTGCTGGACCATGTCTTCCACCTTCTGAGCATTGAGAAGCATCATCGCTGCTTCCATCCTCAGAGGACAAAGATAAGACTCCACGCCTGTCTTCCTGTTCGCTGCTGTTACGGGGCCTCCTCTCTTCTTCGGCGCCGCTCGCCGCGGTCTTCTTGTGCCTAGGGCTTTGAAGCATGGCTGCATGGCCAGGGCACATCAAGAGGCACCGGCCCAAAGGTCCTTGCAGTAGCTATCCTCACCTGAGCATCTGAGCATCTGCAGGGTTGCAGATGTACACGAGAGCTTGATACGAGCACGCAGCACTCCCGCATAACTCGTCGGCACGCTTCCAGACCTCAAGAGCAGTTGACTCGGACCAACGACGGACCGACGGATTGCTGGTGCCGGTAGTGCTCGGGAAATGGCGCTGCCGGAGCTGGCGATTGAGCCTGCACACGGCATCGTTTCGAAATCCTGGGTGCAAACCCACCATTCCGGATGGTGCTGTCTGGTTGACGTCAAAATGGGTCAAGTTTGTCACGTGCTGCATGTTTAGAAGGCTTTCTGCGGCTGCCCTTCTTCGTGCACCCGACTGCACGGGATTCAGCCCGCATTGGCCTGCTGGCCATTATGGCATGCTCTTGCGATTCGCTTGGTGAAGAACAGGAGAAAGTCCTTTGTCTGTTCGAGCTCTCCACACACACGAACGCTAGGGGAAGTCATGCAGCGCTGCTGGCTGCCGGGTGAGCTGTGCAAAGCTTTGCACTCCAGCCGAACGTGAATGGCGCTTGTGGCGCCGCTGGGCCAACGTGGATTGCCAGCAGCAGTTGGAGAAGCGCCAAAGTGGTAAGGGGGACCTGAAGGCAGGTGGGGACCCCCTGCTGGCGTTGAATTTGATCAGGGGGCCTCCCTGCCCACCTCAGTACTGGGTGAGGACTGACAGGGACGATCAGGGACCCGATGTGTTTTTGACCACGGTGAATTAGTAAACCACAATTCCAGAGCTGGCTTTGGTTACCAGCACAGGCTCTCATGGCTGTCTGGCAGTGTACTGGTGCCCTTTCGCACGTTGAGCCTGGAGTCGCGCAGTGCCCCTTGCAACCTGCAAACATGAAGTGATGTTGCAAACGGCAGAGCTTTGCAATCAACTACGCACCGCTAAGGCTTTCGCGAGTCTACCACGTCCTCGTACAACTCATCCAAGTCATCATCCTACGATATTGTCGGCTTTACAGCGCGTGTCCAGGGTAAGACCCTACAGAAATTGCCTGTTCGGTTCCGTGCGCACCCTGCCCCTTCTGAGGCATCTGCATCCATCCAACAGTTGCGCCAGTGCGCACTCTTGGTGTTGGACTGTACGAGAAGCTTCATGGCCTCACGGACTGTGAGAGACTGGCTAAGGGAAAGAGCGAGGGTCCATTCATTCTCTTTGGAAAGTGAGGCCATCCCCACCGCTTTCACAGGCAGTTGCTACCATGACCTGTCCCGACTAGGAATGCTAGGGCGATGTGCTTTGGGTTGTTCCTTAAGCTGCTCAAGAACGCTCATGGCCGATCTATGCCCTTGCCGGGGGCAAGAATCAGACGCAACAACGGCGCCTCCTCGTTGGCTGGAACGAACGACCTCAAATTGACCCACGTGTGGACGGAATCACATCTTTAGCCTGTTGGACCCGGCTTGTTACACCCTGCTTTGCCTCACCCACTGTGCTTCACTTTTCTGATGATGCCGTCTCACCTTATCGGACATTATTCGACAAGTTGCTCTGGTAAGAAGAGAGATAGAGAGAGAGAGAGAGAGAAAGAGAGAGAGAGAGAAAGAGAGAGAGAGAGAGGCCCTGGACTGTGACCAAGGGCTTGGTATATGGAACAACCTGAAGGTTCGCAACCTGACGGTTCGCAAACTAGATACAAGACTACCAGAGGACCAATACATGTATGCATGCCCTCTATACACATATGCATATGAGTAAATGCATCATACACGGACATTGACATCAACATGCACCTGCCATATACGTGCATCCATATGTAGATATGTGTACATGCACATACATATAAACATATATCTATATGCATAAATACATACATGTGTACATATATATATATGTATGTATGTATATATATATATATATATATGTTCATTTCTATGTGTCACTTCTATTCGTATATTTCTCTTTATGTACCTACTTATGTCTTCTCTCTTTCCCTTACGCAAATGCCCAAGATCTTGTTGATAATGTATACAACTGTGAACATCTACATGCACCTGATATGTGCAGTGGCATATGCATCAGCATACACATATACATATGCTTCGCACACATAATCACGTGAACAACGAGCATATATGAGTAGACCTGTATGTATGTGCATACATACATCTATGTACATATACGAGATAAATGTATATATATATATATGTGCCATGGACCTTTATGTATAGTTTGAGTCAGCCTTTGGTCGACCGAATGGGTAAGGCTTCGGCAGTTTGACATGCCGCTGCAACATGGAGTGACATAGTGTTTGGCTTCGTGTAAACCCGTCATTAGCGCCTTGCCGCAATCTAAAGTTGTCCGGGGCACAGGCCACAACATGACATCTTCGCTGAAAATCTTCTTCGATAGATGTACAGGTAGAATAAGCCCCTAATCGATTGAATGGATACGGGCTTAGTCAGGCAGCTTGATCGGTGGGCGTTGCCTTTAGTGAAAAAAAGATAATAGAATGTAGTGTAGAGAGCAAAGCGAAAGGAACGAAGCATGATTCTTTTATGTAAATTCACCACGCCACCGCCCACAACTCACAGCCAGGCACGAATCACATCAGGAGCTGGTTCACTTTCCGTTGGCTTCCTGGCGGTTAGAATATAAAAATATGGAGACAATCAAAGAATTCATTTTTAATTTAAGATAAGGAAACCGAATGAAAGCATGCTTTGACTGTAAATAAACGGGGCTTTGTGATGAACGAAATAGCGACCAAGAACACTAACCACAGATCCACCATCAGAGTTCCAGCCGTGCCACAAGTCCAAGTAAAGATAATGAAGTCAGTCTTTTGTTTACTTTGTTTTAGCTAATGCAAAGAAGTGAAAAACGAAAGTATGCGCGATTAAGACCAAAAAACAGACGAAATAGGAAAGAAATCACCCTTTACCGACAGTTATTTGTCTATCTATAACCTTTTTCGTCTTGCAGATGTGGTGATTGTGGAATGGAATGAAATGAGAGCGTGTTTGTTGCTCTCTTCTTTTCACGCACCACACATTCTGGAGACTTATATTGTAGGCTTAGATCTCTCTTTAAATGGGATCTTCTAATGCGTGGGGGATTGATCTCGACTTGGTTGCTGCTCTCCCCACCAGAGCTGTAATGAATGTAGGTGTGGCTGGCTAGCACTCTCCACAGACTGGACCCTGTCTCTCCCTCTTACTTCCACACGTGCGATCCTATGCAGGCAGAACCGGCGGCCGTTCCTTTTGCACTCACTGCCGGCGGCGGTTCGTCTGTGCAACGGGATAGCTCTGATTGCTCAGGATAGAAGACACATATAGCACTTAGCTATGGGCATTGACTTGAGCCAAACGTTGCGTTGGCGGTCACATGGAAAGGTAAAGATGAGGGATGCGTAGCATGCCCCCTAGAGTCGAGGGACGCGTAGCGTGCCCCCTTCTCTTGCACTTTACACGGTCTTGCTCACAGCTCTTATAGTGACACCTTAGAACTTGACAAGGCATCGCAGTCCGTTCGCACCCCCCATGAGTTGCGTCTCCGACGCTGCTCACCCGGAAGATGGCACGATAGGACAACAGAAAATTTCCGCCGCAACGTTGACATTGAAAATCAGAGCTTTGCATCCCAATTAGAAACGTTGTGACACTCATCTACGTCAGTAACGATCCCCTGAAATGACAAACGAATCAGGCGTCACCGAAGAAAGAAGCATTCGCGATGGCATTCCATGGGCGAAGCTCAGAGGTCACGAACTGATAGGCGAGGAAGATCAGGCGTTGTCTCGCCACCATCTTCGCGTTGACGTAGGATCGCGTTCCCAGGGCCGGAGGTTCTCCTCTGGATACTGGTTCCTTGGCTTTCCTTTGTCCTTGCCTTTGTTTCGGCCTTTGGCGGCGATGTAGTCGTGGTAGGAATTGGTGTTCCAGCCACCATGTTGCTCGCCTCCGGTTCTTCCACGCCCTTTTGAAGGTCCCTTGGATGAAGAAGCGCTTTCAC